GAGGGAAAGCCTCCTGGCAGAAACCTGCGCGTAGATTACTAGAAGAGAGGAGAGACATTCTTTGCAATCAACAAAAGAAAAGGAGAATCAACCATTGGGGAGAGCTTGTGGAACAACAATCTCGAGTGGTTCTGTCGCCTCCTCTTCGTCTGCTCTGATTGTAGGCGAGGGAAGACGAGGAAGAAGATTTAGAGGAATAGGGAGTGGCTCTAGTGCCGATGGGTCAAGGATCTCACCATATTAGCGAAGCTCGTTGACACGGCTCAGGTATAAATTAAAGGTTTTGTGAAAAGCTCGAGCATCGAGCCGAGTTGCGTCCGGGTTGCCCCAGGTAGCGATGGGACACACACCAAGATGTCCGCGGCGGACCATCTAGCCGTACATGCACGTCTTAATGGCCTCCGGAGGATGGCCGAAACGTTAGTGATGTTCGGCGAAATCTCCATGGCCAGAAACCTCCTGAATCCAGCGGCCTAGAACTTGTCTAGGAAGTTCTGGGAACCTCTTGGATGACCAGCCATCCCAAAGACAGGAAGCTGGTTTGTTCGCCGCCCACCAGCGTTGCATGTCAAATGAGGACGCTCGAGGAGGTTTGGGTTACGAGGCTGGTTGGAGGCCGAGCCAAGTTCGTATGCCAGGCAGTTTTGGTTCCCAATGTCCCGATCTGGGGTTAGCGCCTTGAGCAAGTTGATGTAACCGAGACCATCCTTTCTATGGCCTTGTGGCAAGTCTAATAGAGATCGGATGGCCAGCGGGGAGACGTTCAGCCCGAGATCGCCACCTGTAGCGCTTGAGACTGCAGATGTGCTCTGGCGGAGAGCCCACTAACCAGTACAGCATCTGAGTCTGAATAGTGCGCCACACCGGAAAGAGAGCGCGAAGGGTCTGGTTCATCCTCTGTACCGCGATTCCTAGGGTCGACTTGATGTGAATAGGGACGAGTCTGCCGCTATCGCTTGCTCGCATGGAACCAGAATAAGGAGATGATTAGGGGACAAGGTAGAACCAAGACCGTGGCAGTGACCGATCCTAAGGATGAAAGGATTATAACCATCGTTGCCCACGGTCGCGAATGCTGGGCAAGAAATTCAACACCATAGTAGACATATCAACGACTTTGAATATAAATAAGCAAATATTTTGACACATTCCCCAGAGCCATGACAAGGACTTCTCAAGTCAGCACAAAAGAGTTATCAACCAACCGCTCCGTAGTAACTTACGTCCACTACCGTGTAAGGACCTCAGGTCCTACAACGTGGCCACTACTTTCGAATTCATTTCGGGTGGTTTTAGGATCGTCGCTTTGTTATCTTAGTTCCCCTTGCCTTATAATATTGGAAGTATTTCGCGCTTGGAAGGCTATATATTGAGACTTTAAGCTTAATACGATCGCTAAAGCGTACCGTATAGTAAAAGTATATTTAGGGATGATAAAACTTCTGGATTACAACTTACCAGAAATCCTTCCCCTTCACTGCAAAAGCACCAATACGTCTTTTAGATGTAAAGATTGAATGACTCAAATTAAATTCATGAGGATTAGTATTATGAAATGATCTTTTTACATACAAATCGTACATTTAGAAAAAAACGCTGATAAAATAGGAATAATCTAACGTTCAACTATGCTCTGACCGCTGTTGGCTACGATTATCGGGGTCCTCCCTTGTATTTTCTTTGATAGCATAAACCCTTAAATTGCTATAACATAACCTTATCCTTTGAAATTTCTTCGAGTATTGATGATTACGATGATGATGATTCTATTTTTCGGCCACGTTCTGCCCTACTGGGGTACTGGGCCGTGCCCACGACGCCAGCGGGCATAGTTATACTATCAATAGCTACTAACAACTTATAAAGTCCTGTTCAAAGGAAAGCCTAATGGCAGAAACCTGCGCGTGGTTTAGAAGAAAAGAAAAAGGCGTATTCTTTACAAAGCATAAGGAGAGAAGTTACCCAGTAAGGAGGGGGAGTAAGGGAAACCATAAGAGTGCATGATATGTAAATAGATTCCAGGTAGGGCCATCTGGTCGAAAGTCTCCAGTCAGCAATACAGACAATCACCCAAACCAACTGCTGACCGCAGCGGTTCCAAATCTGTGTGAGAGCTCCTATCTCTCAGTTCCAGAAGCCTTGAAGCAACCCCGAATGTCACGGTTAACCGGAACGAGGGAGGCCCTGCCAAGAACAACAGGATGGGAGATGCCAAAAGAACAGACCAATCAAGACATTATCGCCAAGACCAAATTATCACGGTATTATACTCCAGTATCACCGCAGACATTCGTGATAGCAAAAGTGATACTGGAGATCCTCATGTGTATAGGATTTAGCTAGCCACTTGTTAGGAGTTAGTCAGCAATAGGAAAGTTGTCAACCAAAAAATAGTGACCCCAGTCCCTCAGGTTATACAACCTGGCTACTACCTTCAAACCCATCTTAGGAGGTTGTGGAGTCGTCGCACCGAACCAACCAGGAAAGCTAGCTGGATCATCACACCTATAATATGTTTAAGGATAGCATAGGGTAAGGATCAATGCTTCTTTGAAGGTAAGAAAGCAAAGATAATCTATTTGTGGATAATCTACAAGTTATTATACAGATTGCTAATAATGTTTGAGAGATCAGCCAGTGCAACGATGCGTTTTGTACTTAGCTGTCTGCACTGAACTTCAACATGTTTTGTTTCTTTCCAGTCTCTCCCTATGATAATTATTATTGGGAACCCAATTAGATCAGCATCTGTAAGCTTCCATGGTAGAGGCCGTGGCCTGTCATCAATAGCGATGTCTAGTGACAGAGTTTCCGGACACGAAGCATGGATGATGCGCTCAAGAACTTCCGCTGTATCCTGGTCGTTTGCATCCCTCCCCGGAATGATAACACAAGAGAACGGTGCAATGGCAACGGGCCAGTTAAGGCCGATTTCATCTGCTAAATGTTCGGCAACAGCACCAACAACACGGGAAATGCCGATCCCGTGACAACCCATCTGCAAGGGCGATGGCTGTTCAGCTGGAGGGATTGTAACCATAGCTCCCAGAGGCAGCGAGTATCTTGTGCCAAGGAAAAAAGTGTGTCCAAGCTCCATAGCCCTTTGTACCTTAAGCAGTCCCGTTGGACACTGGGGACATTTATCTCCCGAATGTACCCGTAGCACATTGAGAGGTTTCGTTGAAGACGGATGGCGATGGTAACAGGACATGGACAGTGTCGGTGGCCGAGATAGTCCTTCTGGCCAAATTGCACCCGCCGAGTCAAGGCTGTCCAGGTTGTGTACTAGAGATTGTGGCAGTCTCGAGTCAAAAATGTTAACCAACTTAGCCGCTGTGCCCGTTCCAGGAGCAGTGGCTGTCAACCAGAACGGAGCAGCATCATCAATCGAGGTGTCAAGATCTGGAATGATCGACTTGATTGCAGACAGGTTGATATCATTCCCAGTATATTCCCGTGTTGCACCGCCGTCCCGTTCCTGCATCCGCTTGGGATACCATACATTGACTAGCGTAGAACGGTCCTTTGTGATGCCTCGCCATACCTGAGGGGAAGATTCGCTGGGAGAGTTCTTGGGTAGAACGGTGTCTGCTATCTCCTCATTGACCACATAGTCGCAGCTGTCGCAGCTAACAACCCGATCCTCGCCGATTGACAGAGGCAGGTGATACTCGTGACTTAGGTCACCTCCCATATCCCCTGAACTCGCTTTTGCAGAAAGTACTGGCAACCTCAAGGCGGAGAATATCCTGGAGTAAACGGCGCGTGCTTCATGATAAGATTCCAGGGCAGAGTCGACGTTGGTGTCGAACGTATACAGGTCTTTCATGATGAACTCCCTGCCACGTAATAAACCGTGCCGTGGACGGAATTCATCTCGGTACTTGCGAGTTATCTGATATAGTCGAAGAGGGAGTTCCTTATAGGATCTTATCGACTTTGCAACCAGTGAAGTGATCTCCTCTTCATGAGTAGGGGCGAGAAGATATGCAACGTCTTTACGGTCAGAGAAGCGAAATAACTATTCATGTGCACAGAATGTCAGTTATTTGAGTCACTTCAATAGCAAAGAACCGTTCCATGCTCGACAAAGATCAAACAAACCTCAGATGCGACATTTTGAAGACGGCCACTTTTCTCCCAAAGAGTTTCAGCTGAGATGGATGACAATGAGACTCTGGATGCAGCTGTTCATAAGGTAGCACAAACTAGTGGTGAGAACTAAGTGTTCATTTGGGTGAATACAGGTCACTTACCCAAGTGATCCTCCATGAATCGGGCGACAAGGGATTCAACTTTGTCCTGAACCCGACGTCCTAAGGGAAGCATGTGGAAGATGCCTGAATGCGACTGACGCAAAAAGCCCGCACGAATCAACTTCGAGTGAGCATCTTCAATGCCAGGCACGGCAATTCCACCACTTGGAAACCAGACTCGGGAAAGACGAGTTACAGACGGCGGCGCCATATTTGCTGCTTCTTTTCGTTTATTCCTTTTCCAACGATAGCTTGAAAAGCCAGTGACGCGGGGAATGAGAGTGCCTCACTGGCGAATCTTATCATCTGTACCAGCAAACAAGAATTGCTTCTGCCACATTTACAACAGGGTTAAGCAGGTACAATTGACCTCAAGCTCAAGCCTCATGACTGGGTATCAACTCACCAACGTAACATTCACTGAGCCAAAGTTTCCTGGTGGGTGGGTCGATGTTGGTGGGGCTTTGCTTCAACATTGGCCCCGTTCAGTCGGGTCGCGTCGCGTTCAGTTGCAACCACATGAGAAGTTTCTCAAAAAGGCAGGTGGGGCCTGACCTGTGCCAAGGATTGCTGAATCTGGATCTTGGAAACTTTTTTTTTCCCATCTTCGAGTTCGCAGCAGCCCGTTAGATGGCGGCAACGTATCCATTGCTTTTACGTCTACCAAGTTCTTACACTCATTTACCCACGGTTTATCCTCATTCCCCAAGCGATTTACTTCAGTACAGCAAGAGAGGAGTCGCAATGGGTTTAAAGCGTGCCGCCAGGCAACAGAGAGACATTGGCAAGCCTGCGTTTGACGAGGAGGCTCTCGTGGAGCTGACTGGCAAGATTGACAAAACCCTTCCAGCCGTCGAGCAAAAGATAGCGGGCAAGCGAAAAAGACAAAATGCTAGCGACGATGGGCGGGGCTCCAAGAGGCGTCAAACCCATCCAACCGAGGCTGAAGAACATAGAGACTCCCATGCTGCTGCAAAGGACAAAGCGAACAGGATTCTCCTTGAAGAGATTATCGCTCTTGGGGGAGACGAAAAAGATTTAGAGCTGGTCGCTGATGTGGACTCTGGCAACGAGGGCGGTGGCGGCCCTTCGCAACCAAAGATATCTTCGGAGCAGTCTCTTGACCAGTCTTTCAAGGACGAACTTGCGAAATTCGCGGCAAGTCTGGGTTTTCATCAATTTCACAACCGAGAGGACCTTAATACAGAGGATGAAGCTTCTCCGGATGAAGATGCAGTCGGTTCTACTACTGATGTGAGTAGCGACAGTGACGAGGGGGGGGGACAAGAAGAAATGGAGAAAGAGGACGTCGACAGCTTCAGTGACAATGAGGAAAAAGTCACTGAGAAAGTGGACAGCGGGGAAGCCAAAATCATTCCTCAAGATACAAAAAAGGGGAAACAGTTCAGAAATTTGGTCAGTAAGAGATTTGAGCAGTTGTTATATCATATGGTTATATGTGTCGCTGACAGCCGGTAGATAATTGACCCACGCCCCGACTGGCATGCTTTTCCCCTGGACGAGTTACCAGCCTCTCGCCCCGATCATCCTGGGAAGTACTCTGCTTCTATTGCAAATCTCAAGTCATATGCAGAGAGTTTGTTAGAAGAAGATACCGCCAATTATCAATCGGCCCAAGCACATAGCTCGACCCGAAAGTTCATGTCAACCATCATGTCCTCCGGTACTCTTTCAGATAAAATCTCGGCATTAACGCTCTCCATCCAGGAGTCACCTCTTCATAACCGGAAAGCCTTCGAAAGTCTGATAACACTGGCCGGGAAAAAGAACCGTGGTCAAGCTATTGCTGCATTAGGCGCTCTTGTCGATCTCTTGGGCAATGGTGCAGTGCTTCCCGATGACCGCCGCCTTCGTCCTTTCGGCGGCCAGCCCGCTCTTTTCGGGGCGTTGCAAGGTTCTGCGTCACAGACCTGGGTGGCAGGCCAGACTCTTCCCGGGAAATTGACCAAAGCCCATTTAGTGATGTGGGCGTATGAAGACTGGCTCAAGGCAGCTTATTTTCGCATTATCCAGCTGCTTGAGGTCTGGTGCTCCGATGAGATTGAGTATTCGAGATCTCGCGCCCTGGATTTCGTCTTTGGGTTACTCAAAAACAAGCCCGAGCAAGAGGCCAATCTGTTGAGGCTTCTTGTTAACAAGCTTGGCGACCGTGAGCGCAAAATTGCCTCACGTGCCTCCTATCTTCTCTTACAACTCTTGAACGTCCACCCGGGCATGAAGGGCATTGTTATCGGCACCGTCGAGCAGGAGGTCCTGCTAAAACCTGGGCAGAGTTTGCGCACAAAGTATACTGCAATCAACACACTCAACCAGACAATATTGAGCACCAGAGAACCATCAATCGCGGACAAGTTGCTTCGCATCTATTTCGATATGTTCCTTGCCCTCCTGAAGAGCGGTGTCCTGGGGAATGTCGGCGCCTTAAATGGAGACAAAAGAGATGGTGGCACTCCACGGAAGAAGTCGAACCCGTCAGGTTCGCTTACGGTTGGGAACGAGCAAGATGTAGCCCAAAAGCTCGTCTCGGCACTGCTAACGGGTGTCAACCGCGCCATTCCGTTTGCAACTACCGAAGACTCGACGCTCGAAAAGCACCTGGACACATTATTCAGAATAACGCACTCTTCCAATTTCAACACCAGCATCCAAGCCTTGATGCTTATTCAACAACTCGCTACATCGAAGCAGCTTGCCGTTGATCGATTCTATCGGACGCTCTATGAATCACTCTTGGACCCTCGGCTCGTCACATCGTCAAAGCATGCGCTTTACCTTAACCTCATCTTCCGGGCCATGAAAAACGACGCTGATGTTCGCCGGGTTAAGGCATTTGTAAAAAGGTTAATTCAGATATTAACCCTGCACCAGCCATCGTTTACATGCGGCGTCCTTTTCTTGATTTCTGAATTGCAGAAAACATTCCCTGACTTGCGCACTCTTCTGGATGATCCTGAAGAGGCTGATGATGATGGCGAAGAAGTCTATAAAGATGTTTGCGAGGACGGCACACTCGATAATGTTGAAACCCAGGGTGTTACTAGCTCTTTCGTCAGCCCTGCCACAGCTTATGATGGTCGGAAACGCGATCCAGAGCACAGCAATGCTCATCGAAGTTGCTTGTGGGAGCTGGTAAGTTGCCCACACCCCCCTCATCAAGGGTTGATCCAAATGACATGAACCACGACTCGGCTGACCTCTATGTCGGTTCTAGACACCTCTTCTTTCCCACTACCATCCTTCTGTAGGCATCTTTGCGAGAAACTTGCTCTCCCCCCAGCAGTCACTGCCGAAACCAGATTTGGCGCATCACACTTTGATGCACTTCCTCGACAAGTTTGTATATCGTAATCCAAAGGCCGAAGAAACCAAGCGTGGCGGTTCCATCATGCAACCAGTTCTCGCATCTGGCGGCACATCACGCATTGTTGTTTCCAGCAAAGCAGCAGCGAAGCAGCAACAAAGTGTCAACTCGGCCTCATTCTGGAACCTCAAGCCGGAGCAGGTGTTAGCCGAAGATGTGTTCTTCCATGAGTACTTCACTCGCATTGGAAAGCCTGGTAAGATGACGAGGAAGCGTGACGAAACCAAGCGAGAGTTTGGTTCTGGGGATGAGACGGGTGATGAAGATGAGATCTGGGATGCGCTGGTCAAATCAAAGCCCGACGTCGAAGGGCCAAACGTTGATGATGACTCAGACGCAGATCTTGGGGATTTCGATTACTCTGATGACGAAGAAGATGGTTCCAGAACTGACGGGAGCATGTCTGACATCGGTATGGACAGTGATGGGTTTGAGGGTATCTTTGACGATGCTGGGGAAAGTGATGAGCAGAGTTCCGGCGAGGACGAAGCCCCGACCAAAGCCAAGAAAGGAACAGCTACATCAGGCCAAAAGGGTAGGCTCAGTAAAAAGGAGCTCAAGACCCTCCCTACTTTTGCGTCAGCCGAAGATTACGCCGATATATTGGCTGCTGAGGATGATGGCTTGGATGATTGAACTTTTTTTTTTCGCTGGTCATCCAACACTTGCAATGTGGGCCGAGAACAGAAGTGTTGGTAGTGCATTATTACAGTTTTGAATGGAAATTGAATATGGCTTTCGCGGTGAACTGCCCGCTCTCGGCTGAGATCGTCTGTTGAAACTATCGACGTGACCCTCATAATCAGGTGTCAAACCACTCTAGAAGATCATCCCTGGAGAAAATTGCTCGAAAGCTATGTGTCCTATCATTCAAGGGTTTCTCTTCAATATCTGGAGATTGATGTCAGTTCGTTTTGGTATCCCGAGAGTGCTAGAGTGAGGGTTAAAGGCAGCCCATACGGATGCTGTGGAGAGAACATTTGCCTTCCGGTCCTCCTTTGAATGCTCGAAAATGGATGTATGCTGGACCGTCCTCTGGCAATGACGGGATCCTGACTTTGCCAAACAGATGTAGACCATATGCTGAATGGGCCACACGAACTTGACACAAGTCCTTTGAGCTGAATCCTGCTAGTTTGGCATCACTCAGGTGTTCGGCTGCAGCAAAGTATCTCGGTTCATGCTCTGTCATATGAGGCTATCAGCTTCCTTGCCTCCGCCAGGGATTATCTTTTATTTCTGATAGCGATCTGGTAATGACAACCAATCAATATTACTAAGGGGTCCTGAGTGGCTTACTGTTAAGCTGATGGCGAAGATGTACAAGAGCCTTCTTGAGATCATGTTCTATCTGTTCAAACACACTGATGGACTCATTCTTCGGATCATGAGGCTCCCCAAGGTGTACAGTCTCTGCAGTTGCCTACTCGATGTCTTGTAAGTTCAATACATATCAATCTTGAGGGAATTGGGGATTTTTGGTGATTCTCCTCTGCCTACCATATTGCTGTCCTTGGTGTGCAGTCTAACGCCTGTTCAAGACTCAGGATTCAACAGGCAGATAGTATAAGCAACCCACAAGATGGGTGTGGATGCAAAGTTCAGAGAACCACAGTTTTCCTTTGCTGTGTGCCATCGATGATAGACTGACATCAACCAGCCCGTGTCGCCACGTGGATACAAGCCATGCCTAAGCCATACAGGGCATACACTCTACTCTCTATTCCACAAGAAATGAAAAACCTGCACATGATGTAATGCTTGAGTGTTTCAGCACAAATGCTCACTCAGTGAAAGACGTCATAGGAGCCGGCAAGGAGTTTAGCTAGTGTCGGAAGAATCTATGCACCGCAAGAACCTTGTCTATTATTTAAGGAGATACAAGGGACTGGTAAGGGGACAGAGACAGTCCCGCATGCACCCTGCAGAGTCAGGTATTTTTACATGAATAATCAGGGTCACAAGTATGGGGCGTCAGCAAGTTTGCCATTTACCAGATTCCCAATGACCTGAGTGCATAGGTAGTCTAAATCCTCGAGCTTGCATGCACTTGGACATCTAGCACATGCGCATAGTTTTATCCACCGTGAAGGGACTATTATTTATGTAGCTGAAAAATACTCTGACTTTTGTGAGTATATACGGCAGCCTACCTTTTCAAGCAGCATGTTCCCACCTTTGCAATAGGCCAGGCCACTAGGGGGAGGGTTCGGGCCGTTAGCCACCTCTAGCCCGATGATATTTAGCACACATTCTAGAATTTCTCCCTGGCGCTAACCGGTGCACCTCGGCATTTTCCTTTGCTACCAGGATGTCCTTTATTTTACTGGTTAGTAATCCACTCCGGGAAAGCATCCGGAGGGCATATAACTTTCAACATTGAAACTTGTTATTGCACAACTTTTGATTCATTGCTAGTAAGCATGCAGACAAGTGCTCTTCATCAACAAGCACTTAATTTTCCTCGTTGTGTATCATCGGGAGTCATCTTCCTTAAATATCAAATCCAGTCAATGCATATCCCTCCCTGACTTTACCACTTACCCCACCATGCTTCTTGCTGGACCGACTCTCAGCACCCGGAGTGGGTCAGAACGGCGTTATCGGCAATCTTGTCCCATCCACGCCCTTCTCCCCGATTGATGAGACTGATCATGTAGCCGGAGCACCCTACCGTTTAAGAACCCGAACTCCTGTTCATCAGTACTTGGTCTTTATAAACCATGTCTCGTCGCTTATCTTCTGTTGTCCTTTGCCGCGCACATTCTCTGTCTCCGGAAGCTTTCACTCGCTCTTCCTCTCTTCCAGCAGGATTCCGGACCGTTGCACATTCTGCAGGTATGACGCAGTATTAGCTTGCCATAATAAGCTGGCTAACTCTTCATTGATATCATAGTCGGGGCGTATAGTGGCCAAGTGGTTGAAAGAGTGTCACTCTTCCGCAGAGCTGTTCGGTTTACAGGGAGGACTATTTCATTCACAACCGCAGCTTTATTCTTCTCACTAGTAGGCTCTCTGCTGGTGACTGCAACAGAAACCGACACAATGGCCGAAAATCTTCACCGCACCTCTGCTGCTGAGAGCCTCGCACTCTTTGTGCCCCAGACCGATGAAGAAAGGACCAAGGAGGAGTACATCAACTCCCATCCACTTACTGCTTCACTCCGTGCCGACCCCAATCTTGTTGAATCCCGCCCGCACATGCAACTTCCACCCGCATGGCGCAAAATCAACCTTACTGCTGGTACTCTCATGGGTCCTGGCAAGGTGACCGTCCCTCCCTTCAGCTGGGCAGCTCGAGATGGGTCCAATTATGTACAAATTAGTCATGTTGGAACTGACTTGTGCGGCCATGTCGGTATTGTCCATGGTGGCTTCCTAGCGACAATGTTGGATGAAGGATTGGCAAGATGTTGTTTTCCCGTCCTGCCTCATCAAGTCGGCGTGACAGCCAAGCTGGAGATCAACTATAAAGCGCCGGCTATGGCTGATCAGTTTTTGGTGCTGCGGGCGAGGACGACAAAAGTGGAAGGCCGGAAAGCTTGGGTTGAAGGGCATATTGAGACACTTCCAGGGGAGGAGGGGAAAGAGCCAACAATTCTGGCAACAGCGAGCGCACTTTATGTCTCGCCCAAGAACGCTGAGGTCAGTGGAAATGATAACTGCATAATGAATATAAATGAATGAACTAACAAACATGTTTTTAGACAATGGCAAAGTTGGTCCGTATGTCAGATGAATGAAAATGGCACTCCAGTCCCAGATGTTCGACTTGTTATCCCTTTTCCATGCTTTGGCCATTGTTTCCTCCGTCTGTGGTATTGGGCAAATCTTGCCATACAACTAATGAGTGCTTGTCTAAGACTACGCTGTTGACATTGCGAACAAGTTATAGACGGCATGGCGTTGTGTGGCTCTGGTAGGGATAGAGGATGCTGGAGTATTATCAATGACGGCATTTACGGCACTGAACTCTACAGCTAAGGCAATTACAGAGTAACATGACTTATTGTACATAGCGGACCTAAAACTGATGGCCCAAATAGTTATCGTTGGCTATGTTATTACTATTACATTTCACACTCTCTTTTCCCAAGTTGAGTACCCGCAAGCACGAACCTTTGCTTAATGGGACTATCCAACCAATCGACCCTTGTTTATGCTGTTCTACATCATAGTGTCCAAGCAATTGAACTTGTAGTAAATTGATCAGGTGCCTTGCTGGTAATTTATCATTAACGTGACCGTACCTTACACTCTTTGATCTTTATTTGGGCTCTGTACTTACTCCGCAGCATGCATGAACGGGAAATCCCATGTGGGATCTCGGTTGGACTTGAGACCGAGGGAGAGGCCTATTGGTGGGGCACGTACCAGGGGTTAAAATGACGCCATCCATGAAACAGTCTGCGCAAGATGGGGGGTTCCTGAGTCCATTGCCTTGGAACCATATCCGCGGCGCATCGGAGATGAGACAGCATTTTTGTTCCCTTGTTGCGGGAGCTGCAGGCACTGGGTTTGTGATTTGCGACCGTAATCGGACACTGCCCCACCCTCTGTTCACTGGCGGCTACTTTAACGAAGAGTTGCTTCTCAATCCCAGGTTGGTAGGTTGCAAGCACTTGGTTTCTAAAGTCCTTCAACGGCCGGAGTCTTGTTCTCTGCAGCTTCTTACTGCCTTACTGATTAGTTGGACGAGAAGAATATTCAAAACCAAAAAGAATAGAAGTGACAAGAAACACTATGGCAACGTAAGGAACCCTTTTTGCCAAGTTTTCCAAGCGCATCGTCACGGGGCATCGCCGGCCGAGTAATGCCCCACCGTCATCTGCTGTATAGCTGGCTTTTCTAGAGGTTAAAAGACAACAAGCTAATTTTGGGCCATACAGCAATATCACATGGCATCCTTCGCTCAGCCGCCGTGAGCGCTTTCAGCTACGCGGTCAGCGAGGCTTCACGGTCTGGTTCACGGGACTGTCGGCTTCGGGCAAGTCGACTGTAGCAACTGCCCTCGAACAGCACCTCCTCCATCTCGGGCTGGCAGCATACCGCCTCGATGGCGATAATATCCGATTTGGGTTGAACAAGGACTTGGGGTTCTCCGAGAAAGACCGTAATGAGAATATCCGCCGCATTGCTGAGGTGAGAACCTTCCGTGGACCCAACTCTTGTTCTCGATGAAAGGCCATCTGCTGACTTAATTATTCTCTTTCATGTAGGTTGCGAAGCTCTTTGCTGACTCAGCTACCATTGCCATCACCTCTTTCATCTCCCCCTACCGTGCCGACCGCCAGATGGCACGAGAGTTACATGCTTCCTCGCAGGCTGGCGATGATCCTCTCCCTTTCATCGAAGTCTTTGTTGATGTCCCTTTGGAGGAGGCCGAGAAACGTGACCCTAAAGGGCTGTATAAGAAGGCTCGCGCTGGAGAGATCAAAGAGTTTACCGGGATATCGGCGCCATATGAGGCCCCTGAGAACCCCGAAATCACCATCCGAACTCATGAATTAAGTGTCGAAGAATGTGTTCAAAAAATCGTGGACTACCTCAAGGAACAGGGACTGATCACACAGACCGAAGAAACCAGGTGACAAGTGGACGTTAATAGCAATAACACAATTCCAGACAATTTTCTGCCATTTTCTTATCAGACATAATACTGGGGGAAAATCGCAACCTGTCGTTGGCATCAACTCATACCTGGCCATTCAAATGAGACCAGAGGATGCTAGGTTCGCCGACTTGCGAAGACAAAGACCATTATGTAGTAGCACAGCCTTCAGGATGTTATTAAGGGAAGATCATCTCGTAATACACGTACGCGGTGTACTCTGTTCCTTCACTTCCAAAACCCGCGGCCGCTATTTCTGATGCGAGGGACATGTCGTCCTTGGTGATTCGACCGCGTTTATCCCTCCCAAAGGCATTCCCTCCAAGGTACGAGTATGCCGCATCCAAGGCTGCCTTGACTTTCTTAACCTGTTTCGCTGTCGTCTATGCCTTGGTCAGCGAGCAGACAGGATACAGAGCGAAACGCTGAATCTTTCTTACCTTGACAAGCGCACATACGAATTCCAGGGGCAGTCCATATCTTAGGACAGTCTCAACAAATATGCGTAATGTTACAACATGCGCCCAGATCATGACAGTCTCGCTCCAGCCTGTCTGGGCCAGTCTGACCGCCTCGTTCCACACCTTCTGTTCCTCCTTGGTGACACGATCGAGCTCACGTTTCTCCTCTTCTTTACCCCCTTCGACATACTTGTACTGTCGTGGTGTCCACTTCTGTTCTCTACACTTTTGTAGAAACTCAGCACTGGTTTTTTTAAAAGTAGTTACGGCGTACAGCGTGAAATCGTCGTCTTGGGCAACTTGGATGGCCGATCGCGGAACCACCATTGGGGCGATTGTTTCATAGCTGCGAATGAAGTCTTTGCGGGCATTTGTTGGAACAACAATGAGATGCGTTTCCAGGTACTCAGAATCCTGGACAAGCAGGCTGGGATCAACGATAGGAGTAAGGGATTTAGTCGACAGATTACCCCTATAACGGCACCGTTAGTCCCCCATGTAGAGGAGTGAAAATGGAGATAACGAATCAGGCTCACGTTTGTTTCCGCTGCAAAGCTGTGAGCGTCGTCTTAATGCTGTTGTATTGGTTGAATTTGGCTTTGACGTCGTTCTCAATATTGTGCAGCTCCTTTTGAAGATTATCGATCAACTCCCCAAGTGGACGATCGACTCGGTATCGGACTTTGTTCCATTGGAAGTTGCGCAGGTAGTGGTCTATGGGTTCTGGAAACAACTATGTCAGTCAGGCGGACACGGGTTCCGACAAGGGAAACTCCTCCATCAGAGAGCATACTGTCATTGACCGTTTTCTGGTCCGCAAGTTGTTTCTCGTTGCCATGTAAGACGCTCCTGAGCGAGTCTGAAACTTTTGCAGCGGCGGCTTCACATGCGGCATTGAGTTTGGCGAGGTCATCGGCATGCTGGACGAGAGAGTCCAGTGTGCCGATTTTGAATGCGGGTATGGAAAACGGCAATATCTCGCCGTTATCCCGGCCGATTGTGGCGGCAAGTGCCGTTAATGGTTCATCGTCGAAGATTCTGAGGGGTAGAGAGACGAAGACGTATTGGCTAGCTTGCATTGTTGGCTATTTGAGCATGCCTAGAGACATCAACAATGCTGTAAGTGGCCAAAAGAGAGGGGATAGTGGAGGGGCTGTACGACGGTAACTGCTGGCTACGTCGGTCGCCGCTTGGGCAGAGAGCATTCGCTCGATATGTCACAGTTTGTATTGTTGGCGAGATGCAAGATCCCAGAGAAGAAGGGGTGAAGAGACTCACAAGGACCAGGCACGAAGGTAAGGGGGTATGTGGTGGATGGAAGCAAGTCTTGTGGTGTTGGTCTGGCTGGGGTGTTGGAGGAGTTGGAAGTGGGGAGCGTGCGTAACGGGAATGTTTGGGGGACGGGTACCTACTGACCGCCGCGGAAACCTCTTTGCTTTGTGCACACAGTTTGGCTGCCAGAGTACTTCCCTGACAATCGGAAATCATGATAGCTCATGCAGTTCGTATAGATAAGCCCTATCAAAGAACCATATTCCAAGTGTGATACCAAATTTGGATCCATTGCTCATTAAGGCCAGGCTCGAGGAACAAGGTGAACCGTATCCGTACCTTGAAAGGGCAGTGGAAACACAAAATGGTTTTCTGCAGTTCCCATGTTCCGTAGGTACCTTACCTACACTGGGTACAAGCGATGGTGGTACGAAAACTAGGTAGGTGATTTGTAAACAGCTAGATCGTTACTTACCTCCTGTAATCCATACACATGGCATGAAAATGGAATGTGCAGGGCCGCAGCTGTACGCACCCTTCGGCCATGTTTACACAGCAGCAGAGGCTCGAAGCTCCGACCCAGTCTTTGCGCTTCTTCAAGTTTTCCGGGCTTCCTCTAGAACCCAAACATTGGCGACTCGTGTTGCTTGGCTAGACAATCGTCGACCAACCAGCGCAGTACCATAATCGTCCTTTGAGAAAGTACTACTGCAATCTGAATGCGTCCGGGATGGCATCGCTCTCGCTCTTCTGCTAATCAACAGCGCAGCTTGAACTTGACGAAGCCATTCACTGTGCTCCTGATCCCTCTACACAGATGTGCCACCGCCTTCTCAGTCTCGTAACGCATCCAGTTTCGTCTCGCTCTGCTATCCGTGGCACGAAGCAACCTCCTCCCGTTCGCCAGCAGCCGGCTGCACATAACTCGACCTCGACGTCGCCCGCACGGGTTTCGCGCTTTTCTTTTCGCACTGGTAGTTCCTGAGCGTATTCCGGCTGGCCAGCTCCTGTCGTGCTGCTTCGTAGGGTAGGCCGAATTCGAGCAAAGTCACGCCCCCTACGAATACCCACGCAACCCGCGTCGCGTGGTATCGCGAACGTTACGGCGTGCTCGACCTGGCTGCCTGTCTTTTTCTTCACCATTGCTGTTAAATTTTCCGCTTATCGGCTGAACCGACTCAATCGGCTCCTGTACTTTCTTTTATGATCTTCCTCGATCATGCGTGTTGCTCCCTGATCAAATCCGGCCGCGCCGCTGTCTAGCTTAGCCCATAAGCTGGTTCACTGTTGGGCAAAGTACCCGACTATTCATTAGACGCCATCGTTCTCACGAGCACAAGTCAAGCGATCCTGCTTCCGTGTCGCATCATACATGGCGCCGCCTTTGGGTACGTCCAAGCGCGCTCTCTGGCGATTTCGAAAAATCAGTTGCTAATTGTTATTTTTCATTCCGCTCGTCCAGTCGCCACATCCGAACCAGAAATCGGTTCGTTTTCACGACTTGCTCCAATGCCCGGCTCTTCTTCCACCGACCCGGTCTCAGCCCCGGCTCCGGCGTCGTCTCGAGCGGCTAGCACAGGCACATCAACGACGGCATCTGCACCTGTATCTTCCGGCTTTTCTATCCTTGCCACAACCAATGCAAGCTTTCAAGGGGTTTCAGCAGGTGTCCACCGGGACGGCCGGATCCGCGATCCTGTGCCCAGTAAGCTTAAAGGAAAGACTGATGGGTCAAAGGGTAACTTCAGCGTTATTCACATGGATGTTGGGAGGGGAGATAACGTGGACCGCGATGCTGAAGCAAAACGGACGAGCGAGAGCACAGAATTGGCTGCCAAACGAGCCTTTGAGAACGGCTATGTCTCGCTTCGGAGAAGCCGATTTGTCCATGTTCCCGACGAGCCGACGAAGCCTGTGGCGGCCACTCCCCTACCTGCTACTGCACCGGTGTCAACTCGACGCTTCCCTCTGACACCTGCTGAGACCAAAGCCGAACAGGCTCGTCTTCTTACGTTACTACGAAGTTTGCATCCTGTGTTAGTTGTGGACCAGATCTGCAAAGCGCTGGCATTTTTCGGTGGGATCCCCGGTGCTCCTCCCCCTGCCGACGGCAGCTTTCCAGAAAGCGCGGAAGCAAATGGCTCTGGGAAGTTTTTTGTTGGATGGATTGCGGAGATCTTCCCTAAACTCGGAGGAAATAATCCCCAACAAACCTCTGACCCTACACGGCAGCTGAACGCTACACAACCGGTCAAGCGCAAGCGCGGGCGACCTAAAGGCAGCAAGGGCACCAAGGCCCGGAAAGACAAGGGCATTAAAAAGGGGCCTATGAAAAAGTCGTCGAATAATGTGGCGGCAAATGTCGCCCAAGAAGGAAGCCAGGCCCAGTCTTCGACGACACAAGATGGAGGCTGGATGAACGGGAATAATCAGAATGCAGACGGTTCCGATCAGGTTGATGCAAATGTCCTGCTTCTGGCCCAAGCTACGGGCCAGCAAGAACAAGGGGAGCCCTCTCATTCTACTTCGACTGCCGGAACAGCTGGTCAAGCTCCCATGCCCTCCTCTGGGTCCGGGCTGCCAGCACTCGCTCCCCCTGCTGGTGGAACAGCTGAAGAAACCCCGACACCAAGGAAGAGAGGCCGTCCCAAGGGCTCCAAAAACCGGCCCAAGGACCCGAATGCTCTAGTGGTTGGGGGAAAAGGACCACAAGCAACTGCGCAGTCTTCCCAATCCTCCCATGTTCCTTCTTCGCAGCTCTCACAGACGGCCGAAGTCACGTTGTCAAGCGGAGGAACAGGAACCTTTACAGCAGTGAACTCGGTGAAACAGTCACCTCTCAGCAGAATTCCGTTGACTTCAGCACCCTCTCTGTCTGATCAGCCAGTTCAACCATGCCACACACCCTCTATCCGCCGGCAGACGGGATTGGCCGAGCAGCCGAGCTCGAGCATCATGTCGACCAGTCCGACCCAAGTTCCTGTTTCCACTCAAACACAGGCGATAACTATGGCGACGCTAGCGGCTCCGCAAAATCAACCCAGTATCGCCGGAACTGCAGGCCAGAAGCGCAAGAGAAAAGGCGAAAGAGGCGGAACGGGTGCGCAATTGAACGGCCAAGGAGTTGATCCAGCGCCTGTTGCAGATGCCAATAGCGTCACATTAATTACAGCTTCACCTAATACAACTCTACAACTGGCGTTGTCTACCCAACCTGCTCCTAAACGTCAACGCAGGACTAAAGACGCTAGACTGTTGGCAAGCAGCGGGAATGAAGGTGTTGCAGACTCGACTTTCAATGAGACCACTGCTGCTGCAACAGGATCGTTGTCCCCTATTCCTGCACCAAGTACTACCCTTGGGACCGATTCAACTTCGGATTCAACAGCATCCACCAAACCTGAGTCGACGATTGTTTCTACTTCCACTATTGGCCAGACGATTCAGTCTCTTGCCTCACCACAACAAGACCAGTTTGAAGTTCAGTCTCCCACGATGGAAGGCTACCAAATTCAACTTCAAGCACAGCTTGGGCCACAAAGTGAAATAGACCAGCAACCGCTACCTTTGCTGTCTCGCTCCGATTCAACTGCACTTTCTTCTCACCGTCTTCAATCACAGCAGGATTATGCACAGCGATCCGGTCAGGAATCTCAGCAACAGGTACAAAGACAACATCAAGGTCATCAACAGCACCGCCACCAGCAGCAACAACAACAACAGCAGCAGCAGCAGCAGCAGCAACAGCAACAACAACATGTTCCTACTAGGCTCGGTCGTTCGCCCAGAACTCAACCGCAGCAAATTCCACCTCAGAATCACCCTCAAACGCATCCCCAGCAGGCTGGGCAAGCGAGGTCACAGAATCAGTATAGCCAGTATCGTGTTTCCCAGTATCAACAGCAAAATTACATGTCGCTGAAAGCAGAGCAGCCGCATTCTCAGCCACAAACGCAACAGCAGCAGCAGCAGCAGCAGCAGCAACACCATCACCAACAACAGCAACAACACATGGCAGGCATACAACAGCATTCTAGGACTAGCCAACCTTCCCAAGTTTCCGCTGCCCAGTTTTCCACGAGTGTATCTCAGTCACAACAATATGCTTCTACCCAACAGGCATACGGGTCCGGTCAGCAATACTCAACCGGGCAGCAGCAAGTTGCGCAGCAACAGCGGTATCAGCACCAGTTGGCTACAGCATCGACTCCGTCATCATGCGCAACACACCAACAGTCTCCACCCTTTGGTGCATCCGCAACCAACTTCAGCGGAGCAGACGACAGTTATCGAAACTCTGCCGTTACCTCTTCTCTTGATTCCTCATTTGGGCAACGGAGCCAATCTCTGTCTTCAACTGCGGCTACCTCGTTTCGGAGCAGCAGCGCTCATCATGGCCTGACCACGCACAACTTAGCAGCTCAACACTCACCACAGTTCAGTGCGGGAGCTGCTGCCCTACAGCAACGGTCTGGCAGCACAAGCCAGCCAACAACACAAAGCATGCAGAGTTTAGCGGCCAGTGTACAGCCATTCACTGGAGGAACCGGGACTGACTGGGGTCTGTTTGACCCGAGTCCTTTAGATACATCAGCTGCACAGCAGGCCACAATTGGTCTTGCTAGCGCGGCTTACAATCTTAACACTGCTGGAGTGCGAGCATCGTCTAACTCTGGATCTGCGTTTGCCACCACTAGTTTAGCTAATTTTGATACCTCGAGTTTGGGCACAAGTGATCGTTACTATGGTATCGGAAGGAGATAGTACAGCCCGTTGAGCGGAATGCAAAAGGAAGCAGGCATGATATGATAGCTCCGAGATGTTTCATAGATTTCTGGCATGTCAGCCGTATTTTTAAAAAAGGGTAAAGAGGTTTGGAAATGGTATATTTGACTGTCCATGGAATTAGTGGTTGGATGGCAATGTGTTAAGATCATTTGATCAACGGATGGATATTCTCCCTCCTAATGTTTTGTTCGTTCGTTATCCACTCTCGACTGTTGATAAATGGAAGTGACTGCATCCAGGGGCTTATCATACGGTAACCTTTTTTCTACCCTGCATGACTATCTATATGGGAGTGAATGTAAGTATGGGTGCAGATTCTGGGTGCAGATTCTGATTTCAGGTTCTAAGTCATTTGCTTTGTATATTTTAAGCGGGGTGAGATGTGTCGATTTGATTGGTAACTGTCTCAAGTTCAGTTTGTTTCCAATAAAATTACACCCTAACTAAGAATAGAGACTCGTCTTCCGGCTCTGGAATAGAGTTAGAAATTTGCCAAGTCATTCGTTAGCTGGAGGGGGAAAGTAGGAGGCCAGAGTCTTGACAAAAAAAGGGAGAGGGGGTTTGGTTCACACAACTTGACACTAAGAGCTGATTTAAGCATAGTCTTACCAACCCACCCCTAGATAAACAGTGAACACATGGCATCTTTGTTGTGAGACTCACTTCATTCCTTACCTATATATGTGATCAGCAATTGAAAGGGTATGGTAATGATCACTCCATGAGAAAGATAATCATAGTTGAATAACAGGCAACACAAGGACCGAGATGACGGGCGCTATAATCCAGTTTGATACAAGACTATGCATATAACGCAGTTTAGCTACCTATTGCACAGAATACATCTGCTGCTGTCTCCAATAACAGCGCTATACCCATCCAAGCCTGACACTATGTTGAGAAGCGGGATAGAAAGGAAAGCGACGAAAGAGAGAGGAAGTGAAGAGCTATGAATACAAAAAAAGGAAAAAAGACCGGTAACTTTCATGGTTACCGAAGGGGATAAAGTAGATACATTGAAAGAAAAGCCCATGACAGATGAAGATCTGCAGATATATACCCTTACGCCAGATTTGCCATGCTAACCCCTTCCCTGGGGTCACCCAGACACATTGCAGAGGAAGTTCCAGAACGCCTATACATGCTCTTGTTTCCGTGGAAAGTTAAAAGAACTGTAAGATAAGAGAACACATAATGAAAGAAAAAAAACGGCGGTAATGTGGTAGCGTGCCAGCTAGGAGACAAAAATGGAAAGGATTGTCGGTATGTCGGAGAACCAGGATATGGGTATCCTCATGTTTCATACCCCGCCTCTGCTCCCCTTTGTTTCAAACCTTCATAACGAGAAAAGAAATGAAGCTGATAGGGCACAAAGAGAGACTACCAACTGCGTCACTCCAAAGGATCTTCTTCGATGGCGTCGAGGTTGGGACGAACCGAGTCCGACGCGGCGTTGCCATACAACCACTCGTCTTCGTCGTCGCAGGCATCTTCACGAATCAACTCGGTAAATATCTGAGCGTTGCGCCGAATATCGGAGGGTCTTTCAACGATCCTGCGTTCCAGAATCAGGGCTTCGGCAGTCTTGGCCCATATGTCTTGAAGATTGGGAAGATCGGGGAGCAATAGCCTCGCCTCATCAGGGCTTAACGGCGGCATAGGCATACCAGCGGCCAGACTGGTACAGTAGACCAGACTTTCTGGAGCCTTTCCGTTACTGGATCTCCGGGATCCCGGTGCTGAATCACTTGCGCCCGTGCTGATACCGCTACAGCTGCTGTTTTTTCCCAGCACAAGCGAGGATTTCTTGCGTTTCAGTCCCCCAAGCACGCCACGGCGCTTCTTGGTCTCCTGTTCAGTGGTGTCTTGAGTGAGAGAAGCGTACCAATTGTCCACAGCTGCGCGGCGGGCGTTATATCCTTTGATTTCCCATATCCTTTCGACTTGACGCAAGCCACCCAGACAGAGGATTGCCACATGGACCTCGTCAGGAGGCTTTTCCCTAAGATAACCTCTCAACGAGCGCTCAACAAGACCAACATACGTGGGGGGTCGTAGCCGTCGACAGAACGAGGAGATGACGAGAGGGAATGTTTCATGGACAAGCAGGAGCGTGCGGTCGTCGTACATACTCATGATCTGGGCTTCGATGGGATTGAGGGTGTGTGGAGTATTGCGCAATCCGTGTCCGTCGTGTTCAATGAGATACTGGAGATGAAGTCGACGGTAAGTTTCGAAAAAGTGAAAGAGGGTAAAGAGTCTTGGTATAAGGCGGCGTCGCATTCGCTCGCGCTGTGGCGCAAATTCTCTTCTCTTTTCCTCCGTGTTTCTGAAGAACAACTCCTTGGAAACCCATTCGCATATGAGATAGGATAATTTAGCAGCGACATGAAGGCGATGCCAGATGCCGCAAAGATAGTGGAAGTTGAGAGGAACACCGGGAGGGGGAGGGTAAAGGCGCTTCGCGTAAGCAGGAACGTGGTGGTCAAGATGGTATCGGGTGATTGGGGCCTCGTTCAAAGAGACCAGGGCGTGGAGAGACCGTGATGCCCCGCGCAGGTTTAGAATATCGGATAATGGGAGCGATGCAATGATTTCGATTTGAAGCTCGTTTGGGAGGGAGGCAAAGAGTTGGTCAAACGGTATGCTGGACAAGCTGAGCGTTAGCTTCAATAGCAAGATGAAGGCCCCAGTGGAAACAGCCAACCAACAGAAAAGCGAGAAAGTTAGGGACCTGCCTTTGTTTACTCGTGGCTGGTGTCGGGTCGGGTTTAACAGGGTTGACAACAAGCGCGTGTCTTTGGTGCAACTTGTGCCTGAGGAAGCCAAAGTGCTTCTTTTCAGAACGTTTCTGGTCCTGGGACCTTGGAGCAGGCTCATCCGTAGTGGACAAGCCGGAACCCCGAATGGGAAGAATGAATTTGGATTGTGGAAGCCCTGCGACGGGCGGCGGGGGCGCAGAATTAGCATTTGCTTGCGCTTGCTGGTTGATCTTCTCTAAGTATCGGTCAGAACCGAATTCGGTCATATGTAGGGGCTCCATGGCGCTGGATTGTGTAGGCCGGGACGCCCGGCCAGAAAAGGGCTTAAGAAGATCTGGGAGCTACGGTGGAGGAGAATGGACAAGGCAGCAGCCGTGTGACAAGTTTTTCCCGCTCTACCGCCAAAAAGAACTCGTGCTGAACGATGTGACCGAAATATCAGCAGCACAAGGCAATCGCGATCTGATCATGGTGGGAGCATCCGTGCTCGGTAAATTGGCAGCGGAGACGACGAAAGGGCTCGTTGAGAAGGTGAGAGCGCGGCAGCAAGTCGAAGAGTACTTCGCGGGCCTGTGTAGTGAAGACGTGGCGTCCTCCAAGCAAGGATTCCGGCAAGAATACCGGGCCAGGAGGAAGCGCAAAGAGAGGGATGGAGAGGGAAGATGACGAGAGAACGGGCGACCTATGCCGTCAGGCTCTCTATCAGCTGTTTGCAAGCACCTGCTGGAAGACAGCGCCCAAGCCCAAGCCCAAGCCCAAGCCGAAAGCAAAGTCGCTGGGCGGCAAAGGGTATCGAGCGAGCGAACGACAAGGGGACGGTGTACGGTAACGGTGTTGGGTGTTGCGCAGCGGGAAAGACGGCACGCCGAGCAGGTTTGGCTGTGGGGACTCGTCCGATCAGCAACAGTTGAGGAACAAGAGGCTGCCGAGAGCTGCAGATGGGACGTGCTCAAAACAACAGCGAAGAGGTATCGACGGATGGATAGGTGGAACGACGATGTGCTGCAGACTCAGGGCCGAGAAGGCTGCCCAAGGCTTGAAAGGTGACGCGCGATGCGGACGGCACCGTCAAGGCTGGAGCAGCGGAGCACGGATTGCCCGGGAGAAAAAAAGAGGACGGCAGCCGGATCGAGCTTTGGGGATCGGGGACAACAGAGCAGGAGGAGAAGAACCGGAGCAAGAGAATGGCTGGGCGAGACGGGAGCGGGATGGAAAAGGAGCCGTCTTGTTGGTTGGTACTGGGCAGGTGGTAGGTAAGGTAGCTCGGTAGGTAAGTAGGCTGGCAGTCTGGCAGGTTGGCAGACTGGAGGGAGTGGGGTGCCAGAGCCACCACGGCAAGGAGCCAGGAAACAGGAAGCCGAGCAAGTGTTGCAGGTTACGCGGACAAAGCGTAAGTTGTGAGGTGCGAGGTGGGAGCGAAACGGACGCAGAGGACGGGATGGAGGTACGGATGCAGTTGTAGGGTCGCAGGTAGGTTGCACGCTTGTAGGTGACCTCGCCCGAAATGGAGATGCAACCGCCAAGAGCTAAGGGCCAAGGACCGAATAGAATGGAAAGTGAACTGCGGAGACCCAATTGCTGTTCGGGATAAAAGATGGAGAAGACCCCAGAGTTACGCCGGGTGATGTCGCGGGCGATGCTTCTGCAGGCTGCGGGTTGCAAACCTTTGAAGCGTGCGCCTGCTAGCCAAGTAGATAGAGGAATCCGTATGTATGCACGGCAAACCCCACGCTACTTTCTCCGGGCTGGTGCTTGAGCGGTGGTCGTAAGAGTCAATGGATATGGATACGGATGCGGATGCTGATATGGATGTAGGAGTAGGACAGCGTGTAGTGAAGGGCGCGTGCTGGACGAGGGCTGAGCAAAAGCGTAACGTATAGTCGTAGCGGTTGGACTGACGTTGCCAATGTGCTGAGCACGCTGAGCCGGACGATCGTTTCTGGATACACCGTAGGCGCTGTATGGATAGGTAAAGTTTGAATGATAGAGAGCGGGACAGTCGCTCATAGGGTGTCAGATGCCCGGTCGTCTGGCGGATACCGTGGTCGTGGTTGTGGCTCAGGGTTCGCAAGACCCATGATGGGCCACCCGGCGTTTTGGCCGGCGTAATAGTGGAGAGCCGCTGGACCTGGGCCTGCGCCCGCAGCTAGGAGCGCTGGGCCCTGGCCAGCAGATCCACAGTGTTGCGAGCTTGGTACTCTGCCACACATATAACTTCCGCCTATTGACCTTGTACCCTACTAACTCCGGCCGTCTGCGTGCGGCGTACAGCATTCAGGATCAGGAGCCCTGCCGATTGCTTGCGTTTCATTAGGGTGCTCCCCAATCGGGCCTGTTCAGCCCCTGCTTTCCGGCCCCAAAAAGCACCGAATGTTCAATGTACGTAACGGCGCCCCACTTCTGATAGCGATCTCCTCCCACACGCTCCTATCCCGCCCGCTTCCCCGCCTTTTCTGCGTCTAGGGTTCCGCAGAGGCCTAAAAAGCCCCTAACACGTCCCATGCGCGCCACCGTACCGCAACCTGCCCGCTCTCCCTGTCCGGGCTACAGCGTCGCCCGCAGCGTCGCAATTTAGCCGTGGCCAATCAGCGTCGCCCAAAAACGACCGAGCCTGGGGAAAGAGCATCCCAACATGCACGCCCATCCAACCTCAAACGGGAGCAGAGATCCGTTCCTCACTTGTGCGCTCTTCCAGCTTTCCCAAGTTCCCGCCATTTGAGCATCTGCTCTCCCCGGCTCCTGTGGGCAGCGGCCAGCTGAGCCACCGGGACACTGAGGCGCACTGAGGCGCTGACACCGAGAGGCTGCGAGGAAGCACTAAGTTGTCTATGTAACTGCCGAACTTACACTTTCCACGTGGGCATCAAGAAGCAGGAGCAAGCAGTTTTCCGGTACCCGTCATTAGCAGTCCGTCATCCTTCCCATTTCTCACCTCCCTAATTACCAGCGTTTAAACCTGATCCTGCGCGAGACACACGGCATCACATATTACACGGCATTACCTTGGGTACACGTCTCGAGTAGAGTAAAGAGGGCGCACCAGAAGAACAAAGCGCAAGTATTGTAGTTTTCACACTACGACAAACTGTAATAACTGTGAGAAAGCTTTCATTAAGGCCTAAAGCGGCAGTAGTAATGAGCGAGGCATACTATAGCTTCGAATATGAATATAGAATCACCTATCCCTTAAAAGCTATGACGAAGAGTCCTTAGTAATGCAAATAGTTGTCAACTGACAGGGAGTGACTTCGATAAGCTACATACACTGCTGTATGAGCATTTCTATCCCTCAGGTTCTGCAACCTAGCTATTATGTAACGATTCCACAACCTCCTGAGATGGATTCGAAGGTAGTGACCAGGTTGTAGAACCTGAGGGACTGGGGTCCTCTCACAGTAGTGTAGGTAATTTACTACGGTCAACAGTTGTTGGTTGACAACTGTTTCTATTGCTGACTGAGGAGTCCTCATCATGGCTCGGGGGGATGGGCGATTCTGTATACATATTCATATTCGAAGTCGTTCGAAGTCGTTGGGGTGTGTGCCACAGTGTTAAAGTCCTTGGCAAGCATCTTCGTCACCGTCGTTGCTGGTGACACCGATGATAACCCATTTTTTTCAACTGGTCACTGCCCTAGACTCATTCTTACCTGTCTGTTGGCCATTTCCTTAATGCCAAGTGGGCTCTTTATCGGCTTCCTGCCGCACCGATGAGGGACAGCTGCTGACTCACGCTTATAACCGTAACACATCACCTTGTAACTTATCTCAGGAAATCGTAGAATCATTACAATAATCGATTTTTCGAGCTCAAGTGTTTTTATAAGCAAGCTCATAGCATAAAACTCAAAGAAAGCGCAATTCAAAGTAGCTCTAGTTTTTAGAAGGTGAGTCTAATTTCTAGAATCGATTTCATCAAGTTAGTAGCTAAAATACCAAAAAGAACTTAGCTTCCCTGTTATGAACAAGGGCTCGATCTGGAAGAGTGGGCCCCGCGCAGCCAGCCAATTAGAGCAAAGGGTGTCGTGACCAATCTAACCCAGGAAGCGTTCCTCAATGCCATTGAGGAGGGGAGAGCAAAGGAAGCCACAAAGGTATATAATATGCAGATAGATTCCAGGTAGGGTCATCTGGCTGAAGAAGTTTTCCGGTCAGCAATACAAACAGTTGTCTACTCAACTGGTGACCACAGCTATCATTCCAACTGTGTGAGAACCCCTGTCGCTCAGGTTCAGCGGCCTGGTACCTCCTGAACCCATCTCAGGAGGCCTCTCTGGATCATCGCATTCCGAAACGTTCGTCAATAAAACCATGTTGCTAGTATTATTTTCGAGTTGTAAATGAATTTATAGCGGATAAATATATATTCAATTTTTCAATACCCTGTTGGTCATACAAAACCTTCGCTGAGGTCATTCTGAAAATCCCCTTTAACGCGCTATGTAATGTATGGATTACTTACCTAACCTGCTCGACGAAGCATCGAATACGTAGCGTAAAGAGTTGGTTAATTAGGTGGATAGTGTACTTAAGCTGGATGTTGTTGGATAAGGCGAACAACTCCATCGATGATCTTGCCTGTTTTTGTCGGTCGCCCCTGGCCAGCACAAGACGGAATAGCCGAGGTGCTTCTAAGTCTTGCCAGGAACGTTTGGTGCAATATCCAGATCGCCGTTTCGGTTGGTCCGTTGGCTTTGTTTCGGACCTTCAAATTCCCATCTGCTTTATTACCGGGCTATATGTACAGCATATACTGTCTTAAAGTCCGCATAACAGTGTGGTTTGTATCCTCATGGAATGTAATGCATACATACTTTCCTAGGTAGGTATGTAAGAAGAGCTGGGAACACTGCCTACTACCTCATTTCTCTTCGGTCATTCGTCTCTCTTTCACCCCGAGAACTGCGCCGAACGTCGTGGTGATCATTTACCTTACTGCAGTTCGCAGCCTATATGCGAGCCCTGAGCCATGGCCGAGGATGACCTTGCTCCGTACACAGTACTTGCAGTAGCCATCTATACATTCAACTACTTATCCAGGTGTTTAAGACAGGCCTCCCTCTCATCTGCGGCGATCTTCTCGCTCCTGCTCCCCCCTACGCAGTCATTCTTGTTGCAGGGCGGAACGTCTTTCACCGGCTATTGATGATCTTTAGGGGTTATGCTTCGGTACACCATCAAAACCCAGAAGAAAGTGGCGATAACCTAGCTCGACTCGACTGTCCCATGTTGTGCGTATTCGAGAGGACCCGTGGTTGGTGCTCTCCATCCTGTGCCAGTCAAGAAGGGCTCTGAAACAACCATGCGCAGCCAGCCTGGTTTAAACCTGACACCAGTGTTCCTACACTGCGCTAACGGTTATAGCTCCCCTGCTTTGTTCTCTAGAGAGGCCCACCTACATAGCATGGACTTCTATTTCGATAGTTTTTGTCTGCCTTTTACAGGCAGCCAATTCCACTCTCATCAACAAACGGAATCTGCGGATGATGTAAGGGATGATCAGAATGTCATACTCTGAACCGAGCATCTCAATAATAAGTCTATTATCTAGAGTAGATTGGAAGGCATCAACAACGAAACGGATATCCAAGGATGACATCCCCATAGTTGGTTTGGTCGACAAAAAACGCGGCGACTATATCAGCAGCTACCTCAAGTATCTGGGAAGCGTGACAGTATGCTGATCTTTGTGCGTACGCGCCGTCTGGTCTCCAGTTCCTTTGTAAGGCGAAATGCCATTGTCTGCTCATCCTGTACAGCGACCTGTGGACTATGTTCTTCTACCGATGTTCCTGAGGTTTGACTGCATGTGCACTCCTCTCTTTCATGGCATGCTTTGATGAATCATGAAGATCTTCGACTTCACCGTTCAGGATAAAGCGCCACTTGAGCTGGATCAACCCGCCACAACGGGTTTACCTGCCGAACAGGGGCATTAGAAGCGAGGGAACAATCCATAGTCTCGGGACGGCTGTTTTGCCTTGAGTGTGGACTTTGGAGAATGGCAATCAGCATTTGCAGTGCACCCGGCAATAACTTCAACCTGCTACCAGTGTGCCAGTTTGTCAGCACTCCTGCATAGGACTAGTATCAACTGCTTGTAAATTGGCATTGTATTTATAGGCATTTGGATAGTCATAATATCATCTCCATTCCAACACGGGATATGCACAGAATGAAGAGCACAAGTGCCTCACCAGTACTTGGATGTATGAAACCACAGGTCCTTGTCATTCTGTTTGTGCGTGTCGGGTGCATGCTCTGCGGATCGTAAAGCATTGATAACATCATGAGATGTGTATATGATTAAGATATTGGCCTGTATATCAGGATTCTGAGAGACGCCTTCGGCGGATTGTCTGCTGGATAACGGAGTTGTGCATGCAAAATAACAGGGGGCGCTTTCCATATATGGGTCCGGGGGATACAGACGCTTCGCAACAGCGGCGCATAGAGGCCAGGGACATAACGAAAAAAAAAAAACCTCACAGGAAAACACTCCGAAACGGGTTGTTGTACCTCTTGCTTGTTTGCTTGTTTGATATGCCAGAAGCCCAGCAAGTGAACTCGGGCATTTACTCGGCAAAGGTTGTGTTTATCGAGAGCTGCAATAAAACAAGGACAACAAAGGCATGACATGAATCCGAGCTCTGCGACGGTCGGGGAGATTGACGCACCAAGTAATCTGAATTAACGGCATTCTCAGAAGTCAAGATAGGCAAGTAAGTGGATAGATAAGTACTTGCAAGTTAACCGGGCCTGGACGCCCGCGGCGGCGGCGGCGATGGTGGACGCGCTGTCTTGTCGAGATGTTGGAGAGCAAAGGGCCAAGAGGGTGGCTCGCAGCGGGGTCGAATGGGATGCCAAGCAGCTGGTGTGCTATTTTTGGCAACATTCATGTGCGTTAGACCTTTACTGCCGATCGTTTCTCCGCACCCCACCAAAGGCTTTCGCCTCGTCCTCATCTACATGGACTCTCATATATTCGGCTCAGAGACACCTGCTCTCGAATCTTGGAAGCAGTTGAGGGCATAATTAGATGGTTGGAAGAAAGGCGGTGTTGGAAAGCCGCGGAGCAACACCAGTTCGACTGGTTCGGTCCTCCCTTGGTGGCAGGTTATAGATAGACTATGGTGCGAACGTTGTGAGAACACTGCTTTTTTGTATTTTTATGCGGACTAGGCAGATATTGCAGACATGGATCTACACAGTATCCAGCAATGGATCGGAAAGCATAAGATGTCGTTTTACCACCTACTGCTTGTTTATGGCTGCCCATGGCTAACCGACCTTGCGCGTAAGGCTGGCTCAGCTGCCGACCACAGTGCTGCAGCTCTCTATTTGTACGGACCCGTACTTGTAGTCAGTGAGGCCAGACAAGTCCGTTGGCTGGTTTTTATGCCGTCCTTAAGTGCCTAAGTAATGAGTAAACCATAGCCATCCCGCTATAGATGTATGCACGGCGAACAACGGAAGTGCCCCTCACAATGCTTGCTTGGCTTTGCAAGCTGCTTCCTAGTGTGTGGGGAAGCTGTCCAATGACCAGCGAGCGGGCTGTTCTTGGTTCGTCTGTCCAAGACCTAGGCCCGGTAGCTACCGTAGGTACCTACCTGCTTAGGTTCCATATTCATGTCGAATCCACGCATCTACCACATTTACCACACACGCACACCTTCGGGTAGTGTGCAGTCCATTCTGCGCTCTCTCGTGGACTTTGTTTTGCTCCTGCTTCTCCTCTTTTGATCCTGCCCAGCCCCCCATTTCGTGCACAATAGTCAGGCAGCGGCTTTGTCAAGTTCCGACCATAACAGGACCCTCATCTAGGTTACAAGTCTTACGGGCATTTCTCTCGTCCTTCTTCCTTCCTGTAATTTACTTGTCTGCTTCTCTACCAATCTAGCCGCCTAAGGTAGTTTGCTTAACCTACCATACCGGGTGGCCTTGTTCCCCTGACGGCTTCTCAATACCCGCATTCTGCTATCTGCTGTTCTGTCTGATACATCCAGGATACAGCCTGGAATCATTGCCGTTTCGGTAGGTAATTTTTTCCCCGGTATCCCTCTTCAATCACCACTTGATCAGTCATCACCATCACCATCACCACCGTCGGCAAGCGCAAGGGTCGTCCATCTCTCACTCACCAACCACTTCTCCTGTGTTCTTTCATCATTGCTCTGCTTCTCTACAGGATACCGCGGGAGCCATCCGTTTGGGGGCGAATGTGGATTGTGAAAAGGAATCCCGGGCGTGGCCTGCAGATTCAATTAGCCTTGGTCTATGTGATCTCGGCCATCGTTCGCTTGGCTGCTGCCATGTCCCATCCACTGTTACATGCCGGCCTACCTGCAAACCTACCTTCTCAAGTTACTTGTCTGCCATTTATCTACTGCCCATGAGCTGACCATTTCAGACGCATCCGTATTTCCCGGCGGTTTACTGCCATTGGCAACCCAGCTGAAGTGTGCGAAGTGTAAAGGTCGGAACACGTCGAGGGGATCCGGCTTGTCGCCAGTGATCACTGCTGCGAGTGAAACTCTAAAGCTCGGCATTTTGCCAACCCAAGCCCCTAGCAGCACATCTGCCCGCGCTGCAGCCCCCGGTGTCATCCGGCGTCCGTTTCTCCCATCAGCCTCGGCGCTTTCTTCGGACCCGTCGCATCTTCTCAGCTTTTAGCCCGTGCCTTGGTGATCCAGCCTTGCTCCAGCGTGGCCGGTACGGCCGAGCCAAGTCCGCTGCCGCAATCCACACCCCCCACAAAACCATCGCAACTATCGCGCCGCTCTTCTCAATTCTCATCGTCAGCCCCGTGCGTCGTTGATCTGCCCACAATGACGTCTTCCGACCAGCCAGGTCCTCTGTCGGAACCCCCTGAACCCTTAGACGTGGTCGAGACACCCACGTCACCTTCTTCAGGCCTTGCCCTATCCCGATTCGAGTTTGAGACGGGCAAGGCAAATGACGGGACCAAGGTCCTCATGGTAGAATGGGATTCGTCCGCATGGGACAAAGGGCAGCAGCGATACGCTGACAGAGACGGGAAACAAGGCGACGAGTGGGATGTTTCCTGGGAGGGAAAGGAGAAGACGAAGGTGCTCATGGTCCGCGACGCAGATGTTGAAACCGAGAGCAGCACCCGCCGTGTGTACTTTCTCCTCCCCCCCGGCGCATCCATTCCGACGCTTGTCACCATCAGGCGTCAAGACAAAGGTAGTTGCAGAAGCAATGACAACGACGACGTGGTTCTGCGTACCAAGCCGATGCCCGCCATCTTTCCAGCCGAGCTGACAGGTTATCAAGCTGCCGGTCGACGCGGCGTGCTTCATACAATTTGGGCTAAAAAGCGTCTTGTTGATCTAAAGGCCGAGATTGAGGCCGAGGCGAGAGTGAATGGAGAAAGTGTTGGGCTCGAGATGGCCCTGCAAGAGCAACGGTGGATCATTGACAACTTTGGTTTGGACCCGGACCCCGACACCGGCCTTCCTCAGCCAACAAGACTGTATATCCCACAAACTTCGGTGACCGTGTCAAGTCCTAGGAGCCCGGTAGGCGGCCGGCTGGGCGAGAAGCTCAAAGGTCTCAAGCTTGCCACTAGCCCCACAGAGCTCGCTGCTGCAAGTCAAGGTAAGTTACATCAAGCTTTGTCCCATAGAGAAGGGACTTGCCGTGCACTTCTTTGGGTATACATACCTAAACCATCTTGTGGGCAGCCGGAGGAGTGACAGGAGTATTATTCTAAGTACTCGATGCCATATGAAGGCGAGCTTCGATGGTGGCGTGACTCTACCAGGCGGTGGACACTTCTGCTGACGTTTGTGTAACAGAAGCAAAGAAGGCTCAGATGCAACGCTCACAGGCCTCAATCACTTCGGTGCTCCCCCCCTCCTTGAGCAATCGGGAGCCGGGTTCTGAGGGCATTGCTTCCATTGATGCTCTTGTGGGTGGTGGCGGTCCAACGCCAACAGCGGCAAACGATCAAAACAGCGATGATACTGCAGCTGAGGATGACTTGTTCGCCCTCCCCATGAGCCCCCGAAGCCCAGAAATGAAGCGGAGCCCATTCAGCATTCTTCACCACGACAAAGCAGAACAGTAAGTTCGCCCTCGTGGGATGATGGTTCGAAAAGCCAATCGTGTCTATACTTGTTTCTGTCCTCTGAGAGGACAGACAGATGTTGCATGATAGAGAGGGTTCGGATGATAGTCTTGTCCATGGGATCAGTTCCTAGTGACGAGCGCCTGGGAATGGGGACTTAGCCTCAAGGGATGACAAACTCGAGAGACCATCTATCACAGATACGATGCCCTCAATGAGCCTACATGAAATCCAGTCAACATCTAAACATGGCGTCCACTTCAGTGTCTCTTCTTGCCATTCGGACCAACATATACATATGAACATGTTTCATGGATGGATTGCCGAACTATCTGGTAGTGCACTCCACATTTGTTTTCGATGCGGAAGCGCGTAGCTCTTTACCAATGGCCTTTGTGTATATATGATGGGGCTGGCCGTGCTGTCAGTGATCACCTCCAGCCACCGACTCGCCCTTCGTCCCATCTTTCTTTCCTCTCCTGCCTAAGGTAGTACAATTTTTTTGCTTCCCTATACCGCTTAACCCAGTCCATCACCTCCTTCTCGGTCGCAACGCCGCTTTCATCCCCGTTACCGCTGCCGCTGCCGGGCTCCCCTTCCAGAAAGCTCTCCTCCAGCGCCTTGCACACGGCTTCCTGTTCCAGCACGCTCTGTGCTAGCCGCTGGTACAGGCTTGCGGGAGCGAAAGGGGCCAGGGCGTGGTCCATCGCGGACTGCTTGGCGCGCCATTGCCTCTCGAGTGCATGCGTCGCGAGGAGCTGTGCTTGCGTAGTCGATCGCTGCTGGGTTACACGCGCCTCGAGCTCGAGCAGCTGCGAAGCGAGCGCGACGTTCTCCGCAAGAGCCGTCTGCAAGGCCGAATGGGAGGCTTGGAGGGACGGATGGATGGTAGAGGGAGAGTGGGTAAGGGCTGAAAGGAGCGACGGGTTGGAGAGGATGGCAGCCAGGTCTTGCTTACTGCAGTTGAATCTCTTGTGTTAGTCAAACGCTGCCTAGACGTTCACACCACGAGAAAATGTCAGCTAGTGACCAGGGAGGTTTTCTGTATTACGATTTGTCCTGCAGGAACTTGGGCAGCCACTGTTCCCCGGGATCCTCGAGCTCGTCGGGGGAATGACCGATGTGCTGCTGCTGCTGCTGCTGCTGCTGCTGGGAGGCGACACTAGCGACAGCAGTAGCGATACCGTTGCCGGAATCGGTGGAGTTGAGTGACTCCGCGATCACGTCCGGCGGCGGCGGGGGTGGCCGTGGCAGCAGTGGTCCGGCCGGCGTGCTTATCCAGCTGGCTTCATGGCTTCCCGGAGGTTTTGGTGGCGGCGCGGGCGGGGCATGTGCATCCATGATCTCGTAAATGTCCTAAGGAGGTGCTTTCTTGTCTGAGGTCACGGGCATAACGACACAAGCCAAGGAATGTGACAGATAACCGGATGAAATAAAAAGGCATGTATTGGTTGGCAATACGAGTTCTAGTCCCCGCGCTCGGGTTGGAGCCCTAGCTACCTGCCTCGACTTATAGATCGGGGTGTCTCATCAATCGTAGCGGAAAACTTTTAGTCGCTCTGACCACAGCACCTTTAACTCGAACGGAGCGGTCACTGGCACACCACACACATGTCATGTCCACTTTCAAAATACACTGTGCTCAATTTGCCAGTCTGTACCTCTTAGCTTATTTCGAGTGCGCCTTAATTCCAAGCCGCACGTGGCTACTGCTATCGCAATGTTACACATCATTCCTATCAAGTCAAGAATACTGTGGAATTGTTCTGGCACATCGAAGCCAGAGAAAGAAATGGGATAAACATACAGGACGCAGGTGCATACTACCGATCTAGGTAGGTAACCACGGCAAATACAACCGTGAATGGCTTCAGCAAGAACCTCGTGCTTCCTTCCTGCGCCTCTATACATAAAGTGTGTCTGAAGAGTTGTCCAACTGTTTTTCTGACGGCTGTTATTTTCATTTACGATTCAATGAATAGTGCGCATATTGCCACTGTACCCTCGCACTATCTTTGCAGTCTGAACCCATGAGCCATCCTATGCAGCGCATTGACCACACTTCCCCGGCTTTCCTAACTACGAGTCGAGCTGGACGTAGTTGGCAGGGAACAAGCCGGATGCGCCGTTATAGTGACCGAACCACCAGTCTTCATCAGGAAACTCCAGGTTGGTGATCTTGGCCCCTTCCGGGAAGCTCAGTTCTACAGACATAGTCAGTCATGTCCAATGCCCAAAAACAGAAAGTTATATAGCGTTGTCTTGGGTATCCTTACCATTGTCTTCGGCGGCCTCGTAATCAAACAGGGCCGTTGCCGTTGGTCCGGTAGAAGCGGCAGGGACAGCAGGGGCGGGAGGAGGCTGCGTCGCTGCAGGAGGAGCAGGCGATGGTGGTGCGGCGGTAGAGGCTTCGGCAGCCCCCGTCTCGTCATCATTCACCAATTCTACGTAGTTGCTCGGGAACAGGCCAGTCTCGCCCTTGGAGTTGGTACCCATCCACCAGTCATCATCGACCATTTCGATATTAGTCACGTATTCGCCTTCCCTGAGATCGATCTCGTTGTCCTCCGCCTTATCATAATCATACTGAATCAGAGCCTTCCTGCCGCTCCGACCTGCAGTGTCAGCGCCGCTGCTTGCAGAACGACTCAGCGCTTCACTGGCAACTGTGGCAGCCACCGCTGCCGTGGTTCTCGGGTTCTGGATCTCCTGGTCCACGGGCAGCTCCTCCTCCTTGGGCACCTCTTCAGGAGCTGGGATAGGACGAGGGGGTAGCCGCTCGGCCGGGGGCTCAATCTCCGGAACGGCACTACGAGGGACAGGCATTGCGACCCTGACTGGTGACGGCTCACGCTCTTCATAGTTCCTGGAGGGTACGGCGGGGGGTTCTTCCTCCTTCTTCTCCTCTTCCTGGTTTGCGGCTGTGGGTCTGGAAGGCAGACCGGGCAATGCAACACCGCCCACAGGCCTGCTGCCCATTGGCGGCGGCGGAGGGATCGGCTCATCTTCACTACGAGTAGCAACGCTCGAGGGAGAGCGCGGCGTTGTCCCGAGGGGAGCAGCATCCTTGAACTTTTCGCGCAGAGCAGAAACGCTCCCTCCAGTCAGCACGGGCTGCTGTGGCTCGGGCTCAGGCTCGGACCGCTCCGTCCCGCCTGTCTTTTGTTTCTCCACACCGCCTCGACCGAAGTTGGTAGTTTGGACAGGGGCCCAAGTCCTGCCCGTGTACCCGCTCTTCCACTCGGTGCCGCTCTTTTGTGCCGTGATGGTGGTCGCTGCAGGGGGAGGAGAGACCGCGCTGGGCGTAGCGCCTCCTTGCTTGGCCTTTCTTTCTGCCCACAATTGAGCCGGCGTCTTGCCGCCTTGATCAGCAAACGTCCTGCTAGCGCTGCCTACAGTTGGTGGCGGAGGGACCGAAGGAGCTCCAAAGCCCATTCCAATAGGAGTTGGAGCCTTTGTTCCCGTAAAGGGGGTGCTGCCGAACTTTTTGGCAACCTTCGGCTTAGGAAGCTCGGTCAGACGTTCGGCTTGGGTGAAGGCAGCGCTACGTTCGGCGACAGATTTTAGAGGGGCAGGCTCGTCTTCTTTTTGCTGTGCCCGGGCACGAATAGCTGCGATGTCGACCTTGCCAACAGGCTCATAGGAACCCTTTACAGGAGTCGGCCGGTCTTCCTGCTTCGCCTGTGCTCTCAAGGCAGCAATATCAACCTTCCCGACGGGCTGGTAGCCGCCTTTGATGATATCGCTAGGCCTATCATCTCTCGATGGTTCGCTGGACCTCGAGTCGTCCTTGTTCTTCCTTAATTCCGCAATGTCCACTTTGGTTGGCTTGTAGGCCGGCTCCACCTTCTCGAGCTCGGTTCTCGTAACGGGTGGTGCGTCACCCCAGCCGTCATCGTCGTCATCGCGCCTACGGGAACGAACAGCGAGGTTGAAAGAGCTTGTCGTCACTGAGGTTGTTGGGGTGAAGACGGGCTTCTTAGCAACGGGGGGAGGAACAGCGGCAGGGGCGGGGGAATGCGCGGGAGCCGAAGATGCGACCGAGTATTTGGCGCCGGAAGCATCGGCGACCTTCTGAATGATGTCCTCGGGGAGAAGGTCGGTCTCTGAGCGGGCTGTGATCTGCACGTGGTAGCCATGGAGGAGTTTGGTGACGGCAGCAGCATGACTGGTGAAGTAGCCCTTGGTGCGCTCGGGAACACCACCGCCACACCAGGCGATCAAAACATGCTTGGGAAGACCAGTATTGGGGTCCTTGACTTTGACAAAGGCAAACTGGATGCGGCCTTCGTTGAATTCCTCGACGAGTTCACTGAGCTCACCGTCTATGCAGACGAGTCGGCCTGGTTAGCTGATGGTCGAACGAGTGGACGGGTCACCAGGAAAGCAAAAGCAAAGGTGTGTTATTGTCCTGTGCGCTGTCTGGACACTCACCTCCGGTGCTCTCAACCTTGAGTATGCTCTCCTTTGCAACAGTATTCTGAAAAGCGCTCACCAGGGGTGCTTGGACCGTGAACAGCGCCCAGCGGGCAGCAGTCGGCGATGTCGACGAGACGGCGGGGCCATTAATGACGGCCTGATAGCTGCTCCGGATGGAGGGGCCGTTTATCGAACAATTCAGTGACGCCATGGCTGCGGCGAGTCCCGGATTTCCTGCGGGATGGCGGACGGCAGAAAACTGGAGGAGAGAAAAGCAATTGAGAGGGAGAAAGCAGGCTCCAGAGGGCCTGACGTGTGTTCTTGCGAGAGGCGTTCAGTGTTTGAGTGCGCTTCCGGATGGCCTGGGCCTGGGCGGTGACCTCCTGTGGCTCAGTGAACCGAGTTTGGATATGGGGCTCCAGATCCACCACCCAACAGCCAGCAGCCAGTAGTCGCGGGCCATGGAAGCTCCCAGCGGCAAACCGGTGGGAAGCCTTTGCGTCAACCTGGAAAGGGGCTGTGCTGGGGTCCACGCGGCAAGCCGCAAAGCGGGATTCACATTGGCTTGGCAGACCGCCCTGGCGTCTGCTGGGCCCTTCTCTCCTTTCAGCTGGATTTACTGCCGGTTGGGACCTGGCCCGATGCTACGGAGCGCGAAATAATAACTATTGCAACCACGCCCTTCCTGTATGTAATTTCGCGTAAGCGTCACTATTGTAAGTTTCAGCACTGTAAAGTTCTTAATACGCCGCCAGATGTCCCCACGATGGCCTCCTCAGGTACAAGGATACCGTGCAAGCGAGGGAGAAGCGCATGAGGGGACACCGCCCCAGAGCCTCCCAGACACAAACAGGTCTTGGCATCTGTACTCGTGAACTCGCGGCTGGCGCACAACTTTCACCTATTCTTCCTCGTCAAACCCTCACAATCTTAGAGCATCACTGAAATAAAGCCCCCAATAATGTCAGCTGCCGAGTATTATCAAAATCATCCATTGCAAGGTCAGAGCGGGAGCGCTCCGCCGCTGGACACTCCCGCGCCCGCTACTCCTCAAGCATACACATACAATGCTCCGCCGCCTCAGCAACCCTACTATCCACAGCATCCTCAGCCTGTAAGCAATAACAGCTCCCCATTGATGCTGGCAACCTCATGGCCCATTGAATCCGTGAATAAGAACAAATACACTGACAATTGGTCCTTACGCCATGTGGCTTGCACAGTCATATGGTGGCCCTCCCCCGCAAAACTATGGTTACTATCCGCCTCAACCACAAATGCAGTATCAGCAACATCCTCCTCATACTCAGAAGAAGAACAGCGATGGCTGCCTCAAAGGTTGTCTGGCAGCACTTTGCTGTTGTTTCCTGTGCGAACAGGGATGCGAATGCTGCGCCGAATGCTGTGAGTGCTTAGTCGACATGTAAAAGCGGGAGACGAAATGAAAACATCCTGCCATCATCTAAAGGCATACCTATCCCCATATGGTTTGATGTGTAGAATACCAACGGGTGCTTCAAAGACAGCGGAGGAATAATGGATAAGGTATGACTTTCGTCCTGTCATTATCTATCCCTTACACATGACTGTCTGCCGATTTTTGACCTGTTGCTAATACAAAGATCCTTGCCTGTTTTCACGGCGAGCAGCAATGATAAAGAATGAATGAGCAACCTTGATATGAAAGGCATCAATATCGAATTCCATTGACTCTGAAGACCAGGATATCTGCTAAGCATAAGATATCATTCTTTACTCACATGATTTTTATGTTTGAGGAATGGTTCAAGCAGCACAGCATGCTTTTTAAAATGGAGAAGGCAAAGCGGGAACGAAGAGAATCGAGCGCATCCAGTATTGATAGACATATATACCGAGTCTAATCCAAAGCTATGGTCATGCAGTTTGCAAAGATACAGGTATCTTACCTTGAAAATACTCAAATACTGTTCAATCTGTATCTGTGCATGCCTCTGTTTGACGGTATCGGCGGACCTGATGACGCAACATGCACTTAACCAATCAGAGAATGATCTGCCGATAACGTTAGTTGCGGGATATCCATCACCGGTTGGGGTTCATCATTTGATGGAGGGGCTGTTATTTCAGTGGCGAGGGGTTCGGATGCTATTCTCGAGCAACGACAGTTCAAAAAAATTACCCCAACAGCCTTGCAGCTCCCCAACTTTCTGGTCGCCTCTAACAGTCACTACACACCAGCAACGCACAACTTTCCAGCTGAACGACTCCAACCCAACCTACTCACGCTTATACAGGGCAATCACGCAGATCTTGAGACTTCCTGGCTCATTCACTCGCGTATCCATTCGCCTGCCAATTGCATCACATTATGTCCACTGTCAAAGAGATCACCAGCGTCGAGGAGTGGGAGGCGCACGTCTCCTCCCTGCCGCCTTCAGCGCTTCTGGTTGTTTCGTTCCATGCCCCGTGGGCAGCCCCCTGTGCGCAAATGGCGACTGTGCTGTCGACTCTCGCTAGCGAGTACCCAGTAACCGAGCCCTTGTCCACTTCGTGGGTTTCTATCAACGCGGAGGAGTTGTCTGATATTAGTGAGGCCTACAACGTCACGGCCGTCCCATTTCTTGTTCTTATTCGGAATGGCCAGGTGTTGGAGACCGTGAGCGGGAGCAGTGCGGTGAAGGTGCGGAATGCAATCGAGACTCATGCCAGCAAGACCAGAACGCCAACCCAAAGCAGCAGTGCAGACACTGCTGCCAACGCGACAGCTGAAGTGTCAACAGAAGAGGACCCGGAGAAGAAGAAGCAGGAGCTGTTCAAGCGCCTTGCGGATTTGGTGAAGGCAGCACCGGTCATGCTTTTCATGAAGGGTACACCCAGTGAACCCAAATGCGGCTTTTCGCGCCAGATCGTGAATATCCTACGAGAGCACTCTGTCAAGTACGGGTTTTTCAACATCTTAGCTGATGAAGAAGTGCGCCAAGGGCTAAAGGAGTTTGCCGACTGGCCAACTTATCCGCAGCTTTGGATCAATGGTGAGCTGGTTGGTGGCCTTGACATTGTAAGTTCCTCTCCGGACCTCCACATGAGTGTTACAAGGTCTGAGGGGCAGGTTGCTGACAAATGCCCAACAGGTCAAAGAGGAGTTGGCCAATAACCCCGACTTCTTGGCACCCTACAGCGTGAAGTCGAACAGTGAGGTCTCTGCAACATCAAGTACATGACGGTAACTTCACATGTCTCGGTTCCCTCGGTCACGGCACATCCCATCTGGAAACTGGCCGTCTGAGTAAAAGAAGGTCATCTGGTCGTTGACATAGCTTTGCGCACCGTTGACAAGCTGCTGTCGTGATATTCAGCAAGTCCTGCAAAGCTTACGTCTTCCTTCTCTCCTTGCATGAAGTTTATGCTTCTAGTCCATTCCTTCGATAGGCCACTTTACACGAGAATGCTCATTGGAGCGTTCTGCAAGAACGCCACCAGGGTTCATGAAGCATAAGTTTCAGTTGCTGCATGTCACGCAGGACAGCTGTGAAAGGTGCATGTACATAATCGCCGAATGACTCACTGGCTCTTTGTTTGACTACGTGAATAGATCCCAGGTCAATAATCTAACAACATGGTGAATGTTTCTCTGCCTTCCATATCCTACTCCAGTCTTTGCAGGTTTGTAAAGCAGACTTGGCTAGGTAATGTGAATGCGAGCTGATATATTGGTTACTACTATATTATTTTAAGCCAGGAACAATTTGACAGGAGGGCTCTAGCTATGTATATTACTCAGGACATGAACCAAGCAACATCATGCAACCCATAGGTGGATACCTATGTACTATAAGAAGAATTAGTCTCATTACTGAGCCTTTTTCCTCTGGGCTATGGTTAATGGTTCCCAAATCAGTTGTATGGTAAATTTACATTCTACATATCTTACAGGAAGATAGTTACAATGTCCCGCATGTTCCGGGCCGTCGCTTGTGGGACACCCCACCCTTGCCCCACGAATGCCTTGCTGGCCCCACCACCGGCGACCCTGCTGCTACGACAACTGGAAGGTTCAGCCAGTCGCATTGCATCACGACATCCGTCCTCTTTGCGCAAAACAACCTGGAAGGGGGTACTTGGTGCAGAGATCGTTCTCGTCCCCAGTCTCAAACTTCAACCTTATTTTCTCTCCTTCTATTCTCCTGCTGCAATATCTGACATGTCCTGTGTGATTCTAGGTCTAAAAACACCGTTGCGGACTGTTCAACACCATTCAGATCCAGCTCCACAACTAAAGAACGATCATACCTACGGATTACTTATTAGTCTCTGGTTCTGGTGATTTATGTCCTCGGATCTCAGAGCACTGCATTGGACTACGCTTGGTCGTGCTCTAGCGTGAGCATGGAGTAGCGGCACGGTAGGAAGAGCCCTTAATATCGCCTTTCAATTCATGATCAGGAGTCCTATTGGTTTCCAAACGGATCTCTGTACGAATCTGCGTACCGATTATTGTTTTGACCCTTCAAGACCTTCATCCTCCACAGTTCTTATCTGGTTTCGTTTGTGCTCTGCTTCAAGCCGGTCCTTGTAATCTTCAATTATCGGTCCTTAACCATCGCCCTCAACCATGCCGTCGACACCCCCCTCGGTCACGACGTCAGCTTCTTCCGCTACTCGGTCACCGGAACCCCGGTTTCGGGTGGTCCGCAAGAGAAACAGGGTGCCCCTGAGTTGTCATCCTTGCCGGACAAGAAAGTGAGAATTTCCATGCATGTCCCCCTTGCGCTGCGAGATGTGCAGTTGACTAACGCTGTGATGTCAGATTGTAAGTTGGTATGCCCTTTGATTTGAGATGGGTAGACCCCTCAGGGGTTGAGATATCAGTCCGGGTCTTTGATCTTCTCCTACTATCTGTTTTACTCAAGCTCACACACGGTAATAGGAAGTGCGACAGGTCTCACCCATGTAGCAACTGTGTTAAGCGCGAGGGCCCGGATACGGCATCATGCTCTTATGCCACACCTGTAACTCGCAGAAAAAACTTGGGCCAGGGGGAGCCTAGTCCAGATGAAATGCAATCCCGCATCGACAGGTTGGAGGGCTTGGTGCTCTCCCTCATGCATGGAGGAGCAAACATTGATCTTGCAGCTAGCAGTCATATCTTGTCTGTCGCTGGTGGCAGCAGACTTGACGCAGTGTCTGGAACAGACACCAACCCCTTCACAAAGAGGGTTGAGTCCTTGGATAACAACATACAGGAGGATGAAGAAAGCGATATTGACGACTCGCTCGCTCACTCCCTTGGTTGTCTGAAGGTAGATCCAATTCGCTCCAAGCACGTCTACCTTGGGGAGGAGCACTGGCACACCATATTACTTGACATTGCTGAAGTCAAAAACTACTTTGCCAATCACAAGAGGGATTTAGAGAGAAGTTATGAGAGAATCAAGCTCAGCAAGCCCCCCACGGCAAAACAGCCACCCACGTTGTTGATGGGTGCCATCCCTGCGACTGAAGATGAGCTTCGCGCAGAACTGCCACCAAAATCCACAGTGTTAGCCTTGTGCTCGAGGTATTTCAGCTCGATGGACAGCTCCATCAACATAGTCCATGCACCTACCTTCTACCGTCAACTTCAAGGTCACTGGAATGACCCCTCGAAGACCCCAATCATGTGGATGGCTCTTCTCTATGCAATCTTATGCTTGGCGATGCTGAGTTACATCAAGGTTGGGGATGAGCCTCCTGAGTGGAAGGGTCGTGCGCTCGAGCTGGCCGATGAATACAGGCTGCGAACAGTGCAATGTTTGATTGCCGGAGACTACACAAAACCGACAGCTTACACAGTTGAATCCATGCTGCTTTATACCTTTTGCGAGTATTTCTCGCGCTGGGATGCTGACCTTGGCCTTTGGCATATCATAGCCATGACCGTCAGGACAGCTCTTCGAATGGGCTATCACCGAGATGGCAAGTGGTTTCCCACTCTGTCTCCTTTTGAGGCTGTACGTCTTAATCAATCTCCCAACACACATTCCATGATCTGTTTAGAATCCAATACTCACTCGTTTTCGTTGGCAACAGGAGATGAGGCGGAGGACCTGGGCCCTTGTCAGGATGATTGATGTCTGTTTCTCGCACAGAATATCGCTTCCTAACATGCTCTCTGACAATGACTATGACACGGAGTTGCCACATAACCTCTATGACGAGGATTTTGGTCCGGACACAAAAGCCTTGCCTCCATCTAGACCCCTTTCTGATCCCACACGGATCAGCTTCATGATTTATAAAGTCAAGCTCTGCCTTCAGCTTGGCACGATCTTGCAGATTACCAGCCGTGTCAAAAACCAAGTCCACTACGACGAGATTTTGCGTCTGGATGCTAGATTGAGAGAGACCCGCGCGGAGATCCCTCCTCACTTGAAGCTTCAGCCACTCGATGGATCCAAAGATCCGCTTCCACTGATAATGGCGCGCTTCAACATCGACATACTGTACCTCAAGATTATGTGTCTACTCCACCGAAAGTACGTTCCCCGAGCAAGAAACAATCCAAAGTATGCACACTCGCGACGCAGTGCCATCCAGGCTTCGCTGGATACCTTGCGCCATCTTGCCACCATCTACAGGGAATCTCAACCAGGAGGGGTTTTGAGTTCGGCCCGATGGTATTTTGCAACGGTAGCCACAAAGGACTTTCTCCTCCCAGCTATGTTAATTGCATTAGATCTACACTTTGACAATGTCGCTCAGAAGACCGACGGGAAGAGGGGCTCAAGTCACGTGCATTTCTGGACACGAGAACAGCGTGAAGAGATGATAAAGCACCTTGAGCTCACTAAAGACATTGAAAAGGGGCTAGCGGACACCTCCATGGAGGCTCTAAAGGCAGCTAACACTCTAGAGATCATGCTGGATAAAATCAAGAACGCAGAAAAAGAAACCAACACTGGGCCTCTTCCAGAGAGCGATGTGAAGATAGAACAACAGCCAGGACACATGACAGTCACGGCACTCAGCATGCCTATAGATGAGGTGGTGCATACTCAGACGTCCGGTTTTGATTCCCTGCAAAATTCTCTTGGCATCACTTATGGGGGGCCTGATCCAGGGTTCAGCATAACAAACGCAGGGTTGCATGCTAGCACAAGCTTCAACTACGACTCTAACACGGGCGGTCTTCCTTTGCCTGATTATTCAACGACCGCGCTAGGAGTTGACACAACTCGCTCGCCACTGACTGCCGTCTTGGACAACATGGCAGGCGGTGCCATGGATTTTTCGGGTAACCTCGACTGGGTATGAGACCAACACTATCTCTCTGGATCTTTCAGCCATGACTAACATTTTTTCGACGTAGGACTCCTTTGAGAACTACACCCAAACAGCACACTGGGGCACAGAGTCCCTGCAATTCTTCTCTGGAAATCCCGACCAAGCTCTCCAGGAGACGGTTCCCAGTAGTACTATGTTCTCTTGTAGTTTGGACCTGATGGGACCAAGCTGAAGCATTTTAAAGCTCTTTGTCGTCATTTTAGCAGGCAAATTAGAGGATTCAACAGGCAGGGAAAGGGGGGGTAATGAGGAGGCTCAACTACTGGATAAGGAAGTCTCAAATGGCTGTCTGGTTTATTGCGGAATGTCTTTCGAGGTCTATCTGGGTTTACACCTCCTACAACATTTCAATTTTGTCGGGTTTGTGGAACAAAGAATAACATATATGGCGATTTTCATTCATTTGTTTTGCTATGCTGACTTTCTGCCTACCTCTAGCCTCACATAACGCGTCATTCCTTGGTTCAACTATCACAACCATCTCCTCCTAGCTGAAGCATCTCAGTCAGCCATTCGGTCCTTTTGAATGAGAATATCACCTCGTTCCGCTTTCTGGGGCCCTGGGCCGGCACTTTCAAACCCCAGATTGTGGGGAACAAGGTCGGGCTCCGTGGTGCAGCATTGAGCGGCTTGCCTGTTTTGGTGCATCTCCGTCCGCGCCTCTGGAAATGGGTGCAACCTCACTGACACCAAGAGTGTATTCCACGTGGAAGAACGGCCGACAGCTTTCTAGGACGGCCCGATTGAAGTGCGGACTTTTTTTTTTTCGGATTTTCATCTTTTTGCAACTGGCATTTCCTCAACTGTCCAAGGCTCTCTCTTCTGCCCCTTGGTAACCATGGGCCCTCCTCACTCTGTAAGCATGAGACGCAAACCTCCAAAGGACAGCAATTATAAATAATGGAAATGGCCTACACATTCCCTAGCAATTATCTAGTAATGATCTCTGGCGTCAGCAGTTATCATTGTCGTTGATCAAGCTGTCCTCGAGGGGTATTTGGGAAGAACAAATCAACAGCTGTTAGTCAGCCTCTCCCAACAGTATGGGCTCATTAAGCCGATCACTACTTCTTTTTCTAGGTATACTTCCACACAAGGCCAACATAGGTGCGCTGTCGGCAGCCGAGTGGCGGAAGCAGTCCATTTATCAAGTTGTAACGGATAGGTTTGCTCGGACCGATCTCTCGACAACAGCTCCCTGCGACCCGGACCAACAGGCGTACTGCGGAGGAACGTGGCAAGGGCTTAGATCAAAGCTGGACTGTATGTGTTGCCCGATTCCCCGCAAGTGTCCACTCGTACATGGAGCTTTCGAACTATAGAATAGTGATATACCTACAGCTCTCGGCAAAGAGCAAGGCTGTGACTGACACCTCGGAGAAGATATCCAGGGGATGGGGTTCACAGCTGTTTGGATTTCTCCCATTGTCAAGCAGGTTGACGGTACCTCTTCTGATGGGTAGGAGGTTTGCTCTCGTCCATGCCCGACAATTGCTGACCAATTGTGCTATATTAGATCTGGCTACCATGGCTATTGGGCTGAAGATATTTGGACATTGAACCCAGCATTTGGGACAGAAGATGACTTGCGTGAACTAGCCGCAGAGCTTCATGCCCGTGGCATGGTATGCGTAGTTTCAGTGACTTGAACATCATCAGATGAGTCAAATGCTGACAAGTCTTCTTTCTTAGTACCTCATGGTTGACGTTGTCACAAACCATATGGGCTACATGGGGTGCAGATCTTGTGTCGACTATTCGCGCTTAAAGCCCTTTTCGTCGGTACATAGCATATTATGCTTTTGAGGCCATTTCTTCGAGAGACTGACCAAGATCACAGTCATCGTACTATCATGCGCCATGTGCCATTGATTACAATAACCAAACATCTGTTGAGGTGTAAGCATTTGACTTTACTCTCGAGCTTTCGACCTGGCCGTTTCGCTGATGTGCCACAGGTGTTGGCAAGGAAGCCACGTCGTCAGGTATGGCAAAGCCTTTCGATTGTCGAGATGACTGAGAGGGCCGAGTCTGACTTATGGTTTGTAGCTTGCCAGATCTTCGTACGGAAGAGTAAGTGATTCTCGATCTCTGGCGCTCTGCAGCCCTGCTAACTTCACAAATTATAGCGAAGGAGTGCGCCGTATCTGGAATGATTGGATTAAAATCATTGTCTCCAACTATTCCATGTAAGAAACGTGATTTTTTCACAGCACTCGCGCCAGCGCTTAACCTTGGTCCTCCTCAAGTGACGGTTTACGGATCGATAGTGCGAAGCATGTCGAAAAGTCTTTTTGGCCGGAGTTCTCGTCTGCGGCTGGAGTATTTCTGCTTGGCGAAGTATACCACGGTGACCCTGCATATGTTGCGCCTTATCAGCAATATCTCGATGGTGTTTTGGACTATCCAAGGTGAGCTCTTCCGAAGCCGAGAGGCTCCTGGGTTCTCTTCACATTGGTTCTAGCATTCAGGCACAGCTACTACTGGATTTTACGAGCTTTCCAGTCCTCAAATGGACGTATCAGCGAGCTTGTTTCTGGGTTGAACACCCTACGTAGTAAGGCAACCGACCTCAGCTTGTACGGATCATTTTTAGAGAACCATGACGTTGCCCGCTTCCCATCCTTCACCAGTGACATGGTATGTCCGATTCCAACTGCTTTAAGCTTGCTGTCTTCTAGATCTTCCTTTGACCACTAACCGGCATGTTTTCGCAGGCGAGGGTAAAGAATGTAAGGAGCCCCAACCTAACGTACGCTTCTGACACCAAGACTCGCAAGTTAACACTTGTTTTCTAGGCAATTGCCTTCACTATGCTCAAGGATGGTTGGTGACTAGTATTTATGTCCAAGTATTCATTTTGTATGGTCCACTTACCGGAGTGATAGGAATCCCAATCATATACCAGGGACAAGAGCACCATTATGCTGGGGCAGATACCCCCAGAAACCGCGAAGCGCTCTGGTCTTCCAGTTATTCAACCTCATCTGAGCTTTACCAGTGGATTGCAAAACTGAACCAGATCAGGACTTGGGCCATTGCACAGAGTTCTGATTTCTTGACATACAACAGCCACCCGATTTACTATGACAGTCACACCATTGCTATGCGCAAGGGATCATCCGGATCTCAGATCATCGGAATCTTTACAAACCTTGGATCATCACCATCATCGGTCAATGTTACTCTGAGATCGTCAGCTGCTGGCTTTTCAGCCGGGCAGACGTTGGTGGATGTAATGGTTTGTACCGCCCATACAGCTGACTCTACCGGAAACCTTGCCGTAACGATTTGGAACGGCCTTCCCAAAGTCTTGTATCCCCTGAATCGTCTTATTGGAAGCGGCATTTGCCCTTCTTTGATCGATCTTAGACCAACTGCCACAGACATAACGTCGACAGCCATCGAAACATCCACACCAACCAGTGAGCGCTCACCGGACGGTATTACTTTTGGTTGATTGAATTTGCTAACACGGTCCTGAAAGGCACCTCCGGCTGTTCTCTGATATCGGTCTATATCACATTCAATGTCTCGGTAACAACTGACTGGGGGGAGACAGTCAAGATGTCAGTAATGAGAGATGCTCCCCCATTTTGTTCAGTTACGGAAAGGGTGCTCCCTTGGGTAACAGCTAACTGACGTGATTACAATCCTTAGCACTGGCAATGTTCCTGCTCTCGGTAACTGGAATACGGCCGACGCAGTGGCTCTTAGCGCAGAAGGGTATACGTCAAGTTACCCCATTTGGTCGGGTACTGTCAGCTTGACACCTGGAACTGTGATTGAGTACAAATTTATCAGAGTGGGCAGCTTAGGGACTATAAGCTGGGAACGTGACCCGAACCATATCTACACTGTGCCCTGTGCAACGGCAACTGTCAGCAGCTCGTGGCAAGGTTGACTCGTGGAGTTCCTGCGTGCCACAACATAGTCTAGCCTGCGAGAGCACCGAAGAGGGGTTAATGGAATTTTATGATACTATTTATTTTTTTCTCTTTGCCTTTAACCATTCATGTTCGATATTATTTATGAAAGTTCTACAGCGAGTGTACTAAGGGTGTTCAGAGCACTATTTGACTTAGTGTCTCAGTTGATTCTCGAGGACTCATGGTACAGTATCCCAAATGCTTGTTGCTTGTGTGATCTTTAGAAGCCGAATGCCTGCTTTGCTCGGATCCAGTATGCCATACGCCCTTGATCAGAGCCATTAACGCCGACACAGGACATGTAAGCATTCCAGCCGGCGTCAGTGCCGGTTTTAAGTACGTCGCGGACACTATGGTCACAATGCTTCACCAAGAACCACCCAGCGGATCCAAAGTTATAGTCATCCAGCGTGACCATGGCTAAAATTTGGCTGAGACTCTTCCCTGATATCTCATCATCCCCAAAGAGATCGGATGCATACTCGGTGACGAACTGCGGCACTTGTTAGTGAGGTTACTTACATTATACCAGATAGATATGATAATTTGGAGAAATAGAAACAGATTTAGCATACTTTTGGCATCATCATATTCGCTGTCCCCTGGCCCTCGACACCAGGAAACACGTTATGCTTGTATCTAAAATCGACGCTCTCGAAACCCATCAAGGCAAGCAAGGCAGCCTTCTCCTCGTTACTGAAAGGGATGAGAGCTTTGGCGACAAATGGAGCAGCTTGTTCGGCTGTGCGGCACTCGTTAGGAAACTCTGCGCCCTCACATGAGGTGGATTTTGGCATGATGGCTTCAATAACCGTCACAATGTTGATATTTTCAGAGGCTTGAGAATCCCCAAGAACATATGTAGTATTAGATGCTTGCCGGGTCAACAGGGGCGATGCAACGGTGCAGGTGCCAAATAAGAAGGAAGAAATGACTTGGGTCTGCATCGTGTACAAGGTGCACGACCGATCCTGTAATGTTGGTCTTTAACCGCAGCAATATTGTGTCAAGCGCAAGAGGTATTGATGTTCTTGGGAGCGCAAATAAAATACATAAATGCCGCAAAGCAAGAAATACAAACTTCATCAGGGGCCAGAGGTGGCCTGTTACCCAAGATGGGGAAGAACAAAGCACGCATTGTCAACGTAACAAGGAGTATGTTCATCCTTTTGCTGTCGGCCCCTGACTCGCCTCTTGCAACAAAGCAACCCGGAATCCCTGCATGGGATGACGGAAGAACGTATCCGCTTTTACATCCACCACCACATTAAACTTATGCACCTAGGTACGAAGTAAGGCCACAGGATTGAAAGCGGTCTTGCAGAGGTCACGGTACTCCGTTTTATTGTGGTAAGATGAACGTTTATCTAACATCCTGCAGCAATCCTTGGGCATGCGAAGCATTTGCCAGGCCCGGTTGACTGACCAGCTGTTTCTCACTCTCAGACACGGGGCCTGTTGTGCAGGTCAATGTGGCTAGTCACTTCTTCCACGATCTGCGGTCAGCAAGGTAGAAAAAGCGACAGCCAAATCATGAGCCTGCAACAATAAACAGCGCCTACTTTGAAAGTCCTCTACTCGGACTCTAACTCAGCCTTTCAACTTGATTGGATGCTTCAGGTTTCACATTACTGCCCCAAAGTCCTTTTCGGGATTCTAGAAAGGATGCGAAGAGTGTACAAGGGCTTACACCACAACTCTAGAGTGTTCAGGAGTCAGAGACAACGTTTACATAACGATCTTGCAAACTTCTAAAGCATTAGGCGCAAGTGTGCACACAGTGGCTAGTTATTCAATGCTAGAAAAAGGGGAGAATTATGAGCATATAACAAGGCATTGATGTAACTACACTCTGCGAACATCTAAACCATGCAGCCGAGAAGGATTATAGTTCGAGTCCGTAAAGATAACAGTACGCGTGTCATTGAACAGCAAACCAGTATACGTCATTGAAGACCACATCCAGTCTGCGCTGAGACTTAATGCAGGACTGACATGCGCAAGACATTTTCGAAGAGAGCCCGGTAATGCAGTAGGTTGCTTATTACCCAATATGAGTGAAAAGCCTTGCATCATACTCCCCATAATAAGCTGATCCGGACCGACGGTCAACAGGCCAGGTCTCGGGCGCACTACTGCCCCTGGGCCCATCTCTGGGGACAACTGGCTGACCGCCGTAGAGGAGGCGCGATTCGTGACTGGGATGAGGGCCCGCATCGCCACGGTATACTCTCCGCTCTTCATACGCATACCTGGGATCTGGTTCGCGTCGCACTGGGCGCCGGATATAGTATTCACCATTCTCGTCTATTACGTGGACGATTTCATATGCCTCAATTGGAGCCCATGATCTGGTCCGTGACTCATCTGGATAGCGGCGATATTCAGCATCTGGTGGGAATGCATCATAGCCACGATCGTTCGGTCGTCGTGCGTGATACCTGAAGTAGTCCTCCTCGGCATGCCGTGAGCCGGGATAAGCGGGCCGAGAGCGCCCCGCACCATTCGGGTTACTCTCGAAAGGTTCCATGACAGAGTGTGGTACGTGTCCGAGAGGTCTTCCTGGTGAGCTGGGCTCCCTGTGAGAAGGCGAATCATGCCGCCGGTCTCTAATGGGAGACTTCGTATGACTACCGTGGTCTACATGTGGAGGGGGTGAATGTGCTGTCAAACCAGAAACGGATTCACGGCCTCCGATGGTGGAACTGCCCTCTGCAAACCGGCCAGTATTCGACTCGCGGCCATAAGATTGAGAGTGCGAAGGGTATCTTTGCACAAGGCGTGACTCCAACGCATCAAGCAAATTAGGGGTTTCTTCTTTGATCCTGGAGGAAGCTGTATAGCGATGCACAGGACTAGGGTTTTGGTTGAGCTGGGATGACTGAGTCACCAATCGGGATGTTTCCTGATTGTACACAGCAGCTCGTGACCCTGGGGATCTGTGCCTCTCAACAGCTGAATGTGCCGATGGAGTCCCAGAATGCTCAGTGTACCGTTTCCCGCGTATGTCGAAATCCTTCCGTGATGACTCCCTATCATTTATGTTGGCTCCCGCACAATGCGCATGGCTAGATGAAATGCTTCTCCCTTTCCCGCTTCCTGTCCGATCCCTCCCAGTCACTGACAGTGCTTCGGATCTAAGGAGGAATGGTAGCGCGGCTGCTATTAATTCTTTTTCATACTCATTCAGGTCAAGGTATGAAAGGTCTTTGATGTCCCCTAGGAATACCATGTCTTCCACCCAGTCGAGCCGAGGCGGGCTATGATGAGCGGGCTGCTGCTCCATTGGTGCCACATGCTTGATTTGGAAATGGTTTGCCAGCTGTGGGAGAGAAAAGGACTTTCGATCTCGTTCCACAGTCAATTGGTTGTCCAAGTGTAGATGACAAGCCTTGCAAATGAGTCCATTGACATTGCGGACCGGGCGCATATCCTTATGGTTGGACAGGCCATCGATAAACAACGAAAGCGGAGGGTTTTCATGAAACCTAGATCGAAACCTTTTGGCTGTGTGATGGATTGTGACGTAAACCTTCACGTTACCAGGAAGATTGCTGATCGCTCCGAGCAAACGCCAAAGTTCGCGTGAGTTTCGGGCAATATCATCCAGCCTTAGCTGATACAGGTCGGGGAAGGCTGGGGGTTGAGCAGGCACATGCGAAGAATTTGCGTTGCTAGAATATGATCCATAAGGTCGTTCGTAGTGCCCAGGTTGAGAGGGTGCATAACCGTGCGCCGGCTCGGGGTTAGGCACAGGCAGCTGTGAAGGAATGGGGACTTGACGGGGCGGCGGATAGGGAGCAGGTGGAACTGGATAAGATGAGGTAGTCTCGTACGTGGGTGGCGGCACAACTGGAGGAACTACAGGCACTGGATGGTACTGTTGCGAAGGAGGAAGAGGTTGTGGTGGTGGTGGTTGGCAATAATCTCCATACACTGGGGGATTGTATCCGTATCCTGTTGGTGGTGGATAAATTGGAAGCTGAGAAGGCGCGGCGGGGGCTGGTGGGTAGGGGTAACTTGCCGGCGCGGGCGTGTGGGCTGCAAGTTGATATCCCCCGGAGCCGTGTTTGTATACCGGAGGGAAAGACGGAGCGGACTGCCTGGCAGGCCTAGGCTCTGCCCTAAACGGAGGATGTTTCGGCCACTCGGCTCTCCAGTATACAACAGCATTTCCGCGGCTAAGTGCCGTTGTGTGCTTCGCTGCATAATGCTGAATGACTCCTTCGAATCCGTAAGCCCTGCAGTTCCCTTCGCAGTCATTGCAGTAGAAGATCTCCTTGCGAAAACGGTCGGTAAGGGGCCTTATTTTGGTGTCAAAGATCCATTTCATGTTTTCCAGGGTCAGCTTCTGCGTGAAGGGCCCGTCAGGCGGATCGACAGGGAGCTTCTTGTTTGCTGCCCTGGCAGCAGCATGCTCCTTCTCGACTTCAGTGTAGAACCGCTTGCGGACATAGAGCAGGACTTCTACGGCAAACCGCGAGCAGTTGTCTTTCGTCACCTTTTCTTTCGCCAAGAGCTCCCGTATGATTTTGTCGGTGTAGCCAGATATCTTGGCACGAAGAGGGGCTTGGACTTCTTCCCATTCCTTGTCAATACGGTCTCGGGCCTCTTTGGAAAGGGCCATGGTTAACTCCAGGCCTTGGAGATGCTGTTGTCCCGGGGTATTTGCTGCATTACCCTCGCCGTCCCCGACATCTCGAAGCTTCTCTGCATTCGGGCGCGCCGAAGTGGAAGATGATGTCTCAGTCAGGGAAGGTTTGCGGATGGCGGAAGCAGCAGGGAGCTTTTTCGCGTAGTCTGGATATAGAAGCGAGCGCATCTTAACAACCCCTCCAGAAGACTCCCATTTCTCCCACTTCGCGGACTCCTGCCGCAGGTCGCTGCCGCGATCTGGCAAGCCCTTTAGCCACTCGCCCATGGTCCCTTGACCCATGTCCTTGACTTGGAGGAATTCTTCAATCAAGGCTTGGTAGTCGGACGAAAGATACAGCTTCCTAAGCTTTGTATCGGAAGGCAAGGAAGCCTGCTTTAGGGTAGTGCTCGAAAACACATGCTGATCTTTTGTAACAAGCACAAAAGGGAGAGCCGGCAGGATAGCGACTGGGGTTAGCGAAGATACCAACAAGTCTTGCTCCTGTAAAACCGTTAGACAGGACGGACAGATAGAGCAGTTAGGTGGCCGGTTGCCTACCTCCAAGGTGTTTTCCAGCAGACAGGAACCGCAGAAGCGAGCACCAAATGCCCAAATAGCCGCCACACCATCTCGTCCAGGCCCCGGAGATCGGCTCCCAGGGGCCCCTGTTGCGGACGACCGTTCATCAAGCTTGCCACAATGTTGACATCTGTGCGAACATGCAAGCCGCCACATCTCCAGCTCAGTCTTGGAGCGAAGAGGGGTCGGCATTTGCGGCCAGAAAAGACGTCTTGAAGCCTGCCAGATAGCGTTGGGCTTCAGGACGCGCTCGGGTTTGACAGAGGCAGGCATGTCTCTGTTGACAGATGAAGCAGGATCAAGATAGAGATTGAACAGTTTGTTGACAGTCAACAACCTGCCCAAGGTCTTGGGGGGACAAAAAGTAAAAACACGATGCCAGATTTCAGGGCAGACAAGGGACTTGTCTGAGCACAACGAAGTCCCTGGAAGCAACCTGGCCCGCTTGAGAGCCCCCTGGCTATTGTCGATGCTGATGTCAAGCGACCGGCGTCGCTTAAAAGAAGTTGGGCGTTCTGACTGAACTGTTCTTCCATCGCCATGCCCATGGCGGGACAAAGCTGTGGCCGTGTCATGAAGACCGACACTCATCTTACAAGTGTCGGCGTCCTTGTTGAGTCTTGAAGTCATAAGGGCTGATGTCTCCTTTAAATCAAACGAACCAATGTTGCGGTCCGAGGGCTCATTTGAGGAGCTAGAAACAGGGCCAACTTGGCCTTTATGCTCACCATTTGGCGGTGCTGCACTTGTAGACATTAGGGAAATGGAAAGAGAAGAGACGAGTCCGGAAGGGAATTCAACTGGATAGTGCAATGGGGCTGCCACATCAGAAGATGGTCAGATTGATGGTGATATAAGAGGGGAAACAGGCATATGGCAAGCGGGTTAACACTTGTCAGAGGCGATGAAGAGAAACGCAGGGCAACGACCATCAGATAGATCGTTGTCCACGGCGGAGAGCTAACAGCGCGATGCGCAGTGCTGAGGCGTATTCGACGTGAGACGTCTTTTTGAATCAGTGGGAGCTGGCCGCGAGTTAGAGATGCATCTGGTGTTCAACCTTCAATCCGGAGCTACCAAGGGCAAGTTCTGGAATCTGGGTGCAGCAGTTGTCCACCAAGCACTGGCGATTTAAGCTGCAAAGCCCTCGAGCCCGAGTAATATGCGGTCCGCAAGTTCACGTACTCGAAACTGTGTAAGAGTGGGAGAAAGAGCCCCGCGACTAGGGAGACTGATAGGGAGCTCTCGGCCACCCTTTTGCGGGAGTGATTCGGAATACCTTAATTGGGCTAATGGTGGATGTTTGATGTGAGAGAGACGAGGTGCACACAGACTCTGTGTGCGTGGTGCACGGTGACGGCCTTGACGTGAGGGTGTTGTTGCAAGAATGCTTTTGGTGGATGTACAAAAAATGGTGGGATTGAAGTCGCGACGGAGATCTTTAGAGCGGTTGTGCTGCTCGGACTATTCGGGCTTGGAAAAGACCACTGTTCCAAAAAAAGGAATAGTCCGATCTACCTAGTAGGGTGACTCTCACGTGCAATTAGGGCCCCGCGAGGCTGAACGGCAGATCCGTACCCACAATAGCCCCGCTGGGCCTTCTCAGCAGCGAGTCCCATTAACCGTAAGGCACCAACGATGACACCCTTTGCCCTCCGTCAAGGACTCCCTAGGGTGTTTCTCACAAGGCACGATCAGTGAGCAACAGATAAGCGCTCAACGTATTTTGCTCTGTAAACCGTGGAATGATGCTGTTTTGTTTTAGAACCAGATTATTTTGTATATTCAAGGATATGTACTACATTATCCGTACACGGGGACAACTCTGCTGCATGGGGGACACCTCGACTGTCCACCTCTGCGTACGGTCTTACATCCATATAGACAGTTCACTCTTCCAATGATCGAACAGACAGTCTGCCAGTACATTCCTGGAGTGTTTGATCGGGAGACGAAGATTTGAGAAGACTCAGGCCGTCTGAACTCATCCAGGGATTTCTCAATCCTGCTTAGTCCTCATCTTATGTCGGAACCTTTCAGACTTCACTTTGCTGGCCTCAAAAACAAAGAGTGCTTGCTTCGTCCAAGAATAAAGTCTTCGTATGGATAAAGGAACCATCCGCCCGCAACACCAGTCAACATACAACATACACTGCCGCCCAGTCCGCCCAGTCCAACGCCCCCGCTCGTTACCCATCTCTTAAGTTCAACGCAATATACAGAACGACTATCGTGGCAGCAATGGGCTGGCATCTCGATCAGAAGTCATGCAGGCCATCGCCTTCTAGACAACCTCGCCAATGATCTTGGCAGCCTCCCGATACGTCTGGAGCAGCTTCTCGCATTTCTCGCGCTCCTTCTTGACGGCATCATCCTCATAGAGGAGCTCCTCGAAGAGCGACTCCTTGTACAGCTCGCTGACAAGACGATTTTGAACAGTCTCCTTGCAGTAGTTAACAAGAAGATGCATGATAGCCTTGGGAACTTGATCAGCGATCATCTCCCGCACAATGTTGAAGTATGAGGTGATCAAGGCCCGGATCAGCTCGGTCTCCATCGCTTCCCTTTCAGTCATGGCAAGCTCGTCACTATTGGCCTAATGTAACTGTCAGCTTCCAGAAGGAGCTAAGTGCACGGAACAAGACTTCTTACCGGATCATTGGCTTTTGCGCCCTGCGTGTAATCCAGGTTGTCATCTGCCCGCATGGACCGGATAGGGGACCGCAGCGTCCCTTTCTCTTCTGGCCGTCTGAAGCTTTGGCTGAATGTCGGCTCAACCGACTGGCTGACGTGGCGCCCAATATTGGCATTGGGCAGAGGGGCTGGAGTCGTCGCGGCACCATCCTTTCCGAAAAAGTAATTGAGGAAGGAGTCCTTGGCATTGCCCAAGGACTGCCCGTTGAACCGAGAGGGCGACTGAGAGCGGGCGCCGTTGAGCGCAGCCGAGATGCCGCCAGGAGTGCCGACATCACGAACAGCCGGTGAGAGGCTCCGCGATGCCTTTCCAGGGGCTTTTCGGATCACAACAGTATCTGGCCTGTCTACCGAGGCATTGTCATCTTCCTCATTCGCTGGGGTCTCAGTTCCGTTGGCACCAAGCTCCTTCATCCTCCTGCGCTCACGCCTCTCGCGTTCTTCCTGAATCAACCGCTTCCTCTCCCTTTCTTGTCTCTGGCTGACAATCTGGCTCATGGCTGCGGCAGCACCCACGAAATTGGGATGGTTGGTGTTAATGTAGGCTCTTTGAATAGCAATCAGAGACTCGACGTAAGCAGATGCAGGCCCTAGCCGCTCACGGAGAAGGTCTGAGACGACTTCAATAAGCTTCGCCTGCAGCCGAGGGAACCGAGACAGCTCAGTAGATCCACAGGTATGGCAGATCTTGATTAGCTCCTCATAGACAAGCTCGACACAGCGTTGGCTTGGGGGCTCGAGAAGCTTGATCTGGGGCTTGACAAGCAGGTCAAAGGCCATCTCGGGCACAAAGAGGCTCGGCCTCGGGCCAGTAGAGTTGCGGATCGCAGTGCGGATATCGGCAGCCGACAGATTTTGAGTAGGATCGATGGATTCCAAAGAGCTGCCAAAAACAGAGTTGAATATATAGTAGATTCGGGCACCACCGCAAAGCTCCTTGGTTGAGATCTCAGTCGAAGTACCGTCGATCGAGGAGATGAAGGATGTCGCGAAACGGGTCATGAGCTGGAGGATCAGAGAACCGCGATGCTCCTTGCCGCTGAAGTGCATATCACCATAGCTGGCAAGTTCCTGCTGGGTCTGGCCCATGAGAGTATTCAGACGAGCCTTAATATCCGGTAGGCGGTCTCGGATATGAGCCATCAAGGTCTGGTTAAGGGTTTTGGCCAGGAATTGGGTACCGCAGCGGTTTGCAATGTTCCTGTACGCAGGGTGGTGTCTGAAAAACTCAGCCTCGGCCTTAAGGGCCTCAGACATGGGCTTGTTGCCCTGAATATCCTGCTGTGACCGGTTCACGACACCAATCCAGCCTAGCTTCAGGGGGTAGACCCTCCCAGTCAGGATATCGAGTGCGTTGGTGCCGTGGTCCATCAAGTCGACCTTGGTCAGTACACCAATTGTCCTCCGTCCCAGGGGGTCGACGTGCCTGGCAAGTTTGAGGGCTTCCGAGTTGACAATGTCGACATTTGCCGGGGACACAGCAAGAATGATGCTGTTTGGCTTGGCGATATACTCAGAAATAAGGTTTCGCGTCTGCTTTTCAATGTCGGTTGGTTGGTCGCCGATAGGAACCTAAAGCAACGATGGTCAGATCGTGGCCGGACAGGGCTGAGCGTGGGGAAATGTGGGTTCTTGCCTTTGTAAGACCGGGGAGGTCAACCAGGGTCAGGTTCAAGACGTGGGGCGAAAAAATCTTGAGGTTGATGGGTTGGCGGTTTATGCCCTTATTGGTGCCTGCCACTCTTGCGGTCTCATTCTCGATCTCGCGCTTGACGTCTTCAAAATTTGTGAAGCGCCGGTTTGGGATGTGATGGAACTCGGCCCATTCATTCCGAGCAGCCTGGCCAGGGACGCCATAGCTGGGCGTCGGGTCATCTTCAGCGTCGTCCTTCGGGACATTGATGAGCTGCAAGATAAGGGGTCTGCGAGTGACGATGCCGGCGCCACGGGGCAGGAAGTCTCGCCCAACGATGTTCTCCAACACCGAGGACTTGCCGGCGGACTGGGAACCGACAACAACCTGCAGGGCGTATACAACATTAGCATCGACTGGAGGAAGGATGTCTTTGTAAGGAGCGCAAGTTGGCGGGAGCCGGGCATACAATCTGCGGGAGATCTAATGAGTCATTTCCGATAGTGTTAAAGACAAGATCCTGCAGCTTGTTAACAGTCCTCAGCAGGTCGTCGCCGAGGGCAGCCATGGCGGCAGTCGTGCAGCCGGGACTGGCGGCTGGGGTTCTAAACGATGTTTGATAGCAAAGTGGAGGGACCCGAGCAAAGGCACGCAGGCAAACGGTAGCGTTTGCGGCTCTTGAAGGCTCAAAAATGCTGCTAGCAGAAACGCACGAGAAGATGCAGCGCCGTCGAAGATCGCAGCGATGCCGCTACGAGCCTGAGGTCGCGGGGACACAATTTGGAGAAAGGAAGAAAGCTGGAGGCTGGCGGGGTGATGGGTCTTTAGTGCTGGCGGTTGGGTAGACGTCGTCAGGCCCGAACAAAATCTACACAGTAGAGATTTAAAACTGGGGCGATCCGGGACTTGGCCGCCATGGGTATGGGTACCCGCGAAAAAACAGTGGAAGAATGCAACGGGGCGCAACCATCACTTGGCCAAAGCTTATGCGAGCCCGGCTAGCGGGGCCCAGCTGGTTCCACTATGGGTCAGTGAGGTGCCTAGGGCATCAATCTCGATGGCTTCCAAGTTCCCTGCGACCAGCTCGCTGATTCGGCGATCGCTTCCTTGATAATCGGCGATTCAAGCCGATTGGCTCCAGATCAGCTCACGAAACGCAGGCAGTATTGCGATCTCTCCCGGAAGTTTATACGCGTTGCTCCTCAGTTCGTTGAGGTTTCCAACTGTTCCCTTCTCCTTCATTTGTAAGGTTATTGACGTTTTGTGCTCTCTTTGGCTCTGCAGTTGCTTGGGTTGCTGTTATTTGACGTTGGTATGCTCAAGCCCTTCCAAGTCGCAGCAGTTTCCCAGCCCAACTGCATCTTTTGACCTCCTTGCCCTCCATCGGCCAACCCGATGTCGACAAGTAACCTTGACAGCTGACTTTCTGATACAACAGTTAGTAGCTGTTGTCTCAGAGACCCGCCTTGTTTGGCTAGGTGCACATCGTCTCAACAGCCCCGCAGCTACTTTACTTAGTGACCCGGGCAGTTTTTTACAAAGAGATGAGTACCTTTGGCAGTCCAGGTGGGCAGTTGCCCTTGACGAAGCCGACTCCGTATGTGATTCGTCAGGAAGTATTGGATGTAAAGTGAGGATTAACCATACTTTTCCTCTTTCTATCTGCAGACCGCAGAGAGGAAGCTTTCCCCTCGACCACGACGGCAAGTATGCCTGAACCAGGTTGCTCTGATCACTATTTACTCATATGACACGGCAGGAGAGTGCAAAAGCTCCATGATGGAGTACCTGAGCTGCCTCAAGAAAGTGAAGGGGGTCAACGAGGAAGAATGTCGTCAACTCGCCAAGAACTACCTAGCTTGCCGCATGGACCGGTTTGTTCTACCCAATGTTTTCTTTTGCTCAACGGACAAGCTGATATGTGAATTGTAGGAATCTAATGGCAAAAGATGACTTCAAGAACTTGGGGTTCAAGGACGACAGCACGAAAGCTTCTGAGAGCAATGAGAAAGGAGTCAAAGGGGAGCTTCTTTGGTAACCCGTCTATACGATGATACAACCAATGGCCAAAACGGCTACCATTAATGACCTCACAATTCTCAGAAAGGCAGCAGGAGGTAGGAACTCCACCGAGAGTGTTTTTGCATGGCCATGGCAAGAAACAAGTGTGGTCTGCTCACTCACTGTATGTGGGGTTGCTCTGCTGACAGCCACATGCTTGGGTCGTCTCTTAAAGTAACTCCCCAAGTTCTGTTACCACACTACCTCGGCTTCGGTTTCTGCCGGAGCTTATGCCAAACTATTTATGTCTGCACATATAATGTCTGAGGGAGCAATCCATCTGTGTATATCGATGATAGAAATTTCATTACCTGTCTCAAGTTATAGGTTTTGTTGTAATACATTTAGTTTTCAGCTGTCTTTTCAAGCCTGATGAAGGCCTCATCATGCTTTACCTCCCGTAGCCAGATGCTATGGGCAGCCTCCAAGGCGCACCACAAAGCTCCTTTCATCTCTTACAACATTGTCGGGAAGCAGGTTTGAGCTTCAATACCTTTGTCTAATATAGTCTTTGTGTTGCATGCTGACTTGAGGTCAAGTTGATGGAACATGCCACCAGTGGCGAGCAGTTCGATCAATGCAGACAGATTTATGATGCTTTACGCCGACCTCAACAGAACCGAAGGGAACATCTCCCACTCAGTCTACAGCAGAAGAGGCACACTTTTCTCTCTGAAGATGTGTGCATGAATCTGCTTCGTGAAGTGGGTGGAATAAATTGTGGCGTTGATTCAGGCCCTGGCGTCCGAAGATATCTGGCCATTGGCATGGACAAGTCTGCGCGTTCACCATGCATACTAGCATCGCCAACAACTGACGAGTGCCAACTGAAGAGCACACTGAAGCAATATCCTTTTGATTACGAGACCGGGCCAAACGAGCTTGCGATTGAACGCATCGCACATTACTTGCAGCTGAGTCAGAAGGAAAGCACAGTCAACTCATTGCGCCGCCTTGTGAAGAGCCTGGCCTCACTATTCTATGACAAGAGAGCAACCTTTCTGTCAACCTCCATTGTTGAGCGCCTCGGCGAAGTGAAGGTTGTCAACGCACACTTCAGCCTTGATAAGGACAATGATTCTTTCCTAATCCATGATGGGCAAGAATCTCACTGAACCAGCGCGAAATCCTTCACGTCCAAAAAGCGACTGAAGTGTGTTGATGGTTGTGAAACAGAACCTCGGCATGGTTCCATATACTTTAACAGAGGTTTTTTAACATAAACATCATAGATACAATTGCGGCCTTTGCCGCTTGTCTTTGGAACGGACTGAGTAGCCAACAATTTAACGGCACCTGGATCTATTTAAGATTTGCAAATGTGAGTCCCGTTTCAAATAACGTCAGCTTAATGGTGCGAGCAGTGACGAGTTGCCAATTGGTGCTGGAGTGCTATGGATGGTAACAGATGTTGCTAGAGCAACTACGTGGAGAAAGGGATCATTGCAGGGACTGAATCACCGGTCTACCACTCATGATGTTGGGGAATTTATAGACCAGGTTGGAGGACCAGCTGGAACTGACTTGACTGTTGACTCGTGTGACCTATTTGACATGCATAACTCTTACTTTGTATTTATATTCACAATCCCTCTGAGTTTTCAGTTCATAGTTTAACCTAACTCATTGCAAAATTTAAAAAAAATGAAACAATGAGGACAGGACAATCATGTGCTGTTTGTGATTTAACACATCCTCTAATTGAACGACATGTAACTAAGTTCTCATGGCAATATCTGCTATACTTTCTTCACAGCAATAATACAGTGGAGATGCGAGCCAAACCATTGCCATCTGTTTTTGGGCTGTTGAACCTCAGTCCCACAATTAGCTTGTGCATCTTCGCACTTTTGTCTATCTAGACCCAGTAGATCCAGTTGTTGGATTTTCCGGCATCTTAAAACCCATACTAGAGTCATCAATCAGAAACTGTACCTAACCACGGGCAGAGCATCACTTACAGAACAAGAACGAGACCACAAACATTGTTCCTGTGAAGGCTTGAACATTAAGGTATGCATAAATGCCCGATGTCCGGAGGCTTAGGCCGATAACTTCAGCACTGCAAATCAGAAGTTAGCAGGCGCCGTATTAATGAACCAAAGCCAGAAAATTAGAACTCTAGTCACATACAAGGTTGAAGGCAAAACCAATACCAACCAGTATAGAGATAACGCTGCAGGGAATATTAGCGCCAGCCATTTCTCGAGGATAATCTCGGGGGGATGCATTTGAGTGACAGTACCAGCTGGCAACAATTGTAAGCCAACAACCTCGACTCCAACTGGCGCAACACAGGGCCAGATGTTGCCAGCAAACATGCCAAACAAGGCATAGACGATCAAGCCACCAAAGTATTTACCAGCAAAGATCCAAAGGAAGTAAGCGGCAAGGCCTGCAATCAGATTTCCAAGTGCGCCGACATTGATTCTCCCGAGCCGATCACTAGCGAGACCAATCAACGGCCTTCCAAGGCCCTGGGACACTGTTGTCATACACAAGTCGTTAGTTGCCATCCGGATTTCTCTGTGGGGTGTCAAGGATGATGATTGATAGGTTCTCACAGTTGAATATAGCAGCAGCGAGTGATCCTTGACTCGCTGTAAATCCTACAGATTGAGAATAATCCGTGAGAGAAAAGACGACAATTACGTAGGCAATGAGAGAGAAGAAGCCCCAGCCCAGGTATAACCAGTAGTCGAGGTTCTTGAGTAAGCCCTTATGGAAGGGCACAACAATCGCTCCGACAGCCTTATTCCTGTCTTTGACAAGGATGCTGCACACACCATTCACTACAAATGAGACGATAGCCAAGATGCGAAATGCCCAGGCCAGGCCAAGGTTGGAAATCATGGAGTTTGTGGCCAGTGAATAAGTGAGCCCGCCAAAGCCAGAACCACAAGTGGCGACGGCGTTGGCAAAGGAGCGTTTTTTAACGAACCACTGCGGAACAACACCACCTGTGGAGATGAAGCAAAACCCAAGGCCTATTCCAAAACAGAGGCCTTGGCTGAGGAGGAGGTGCCAAACATGGGTAGAAAAGGAAGCACAGATGAAAGAGACCCTAGGGAACGTATATGGCCAGTTAGCTATATGTTCACAGAAGCTAAGATGTGTAAGGAAAGTAGTGGCCGGCCAAATAACTTACGCCTCAAGGACAACGCCACACCGGAGGGTTAGGGAGGTCCCAAACTTGCCAATAGACCAGGTGACAATGGGAGATACCAGCATGGCTGTAGATCAAAGCTATGATGTCAGTCACATTAACGTTCATATCCCTACAAGCACTCATGACCCGAGACGTTGGAAGGTAAACATTGGGGACCATACATGTTGAGATAGAGAGACCGCCCACAAAGGCGAAAGCAAGCGGTGAAGCGCCGGTAATCGTCCCTGACCGTAGATAGTAGGCAAGGAAAACTGCATAAGATGAGTTCAGTCCCCAGGTATGGGCATTAATGAGGAGAACCGCTATGGTCACAACCCTGTTTGGACTGTTAGTTCTCGGTATGGAGCAAAGGAATGTGATATATTTCAAGTTGATTGACATGAGAAAGGCGTAGGTTCAAGGAGAACTGACCAGCCATAACCGCCCTCTTTGAACTCTGTCGTTTCAGGAGACCCAGTCTCTACTTGTGTCTCATCTGATCCAGAGCTCTTCTCTCTCGGGGGCACAACAGCTTCAGCTTGGGCTACTTCCTGCGAGCACACGGGTGCCTCAGGAGCCTGGGTCACGACGCTGGTGGTCATGTTCTGAGCTGTGGTTGAATATAGAGAGGAAGAAGAGTCAATTGAGACAGCCAGGAGTGAATACACTTTGGGGTTGACCCCTATCGAGCCACCATTTGTCGGTTTTCCTTTTCCGATCCTTTTTTACCCCGATACCCTCTGATGGGAGGGGGTGAAGGCTACAAAAAAGGGGAAAGTTAAATAAAAAGGCGGGCGGGGAGACTGGCAGAGGGCTTCTGGGACTGGATCTGGGACGCAAGCTCCTCATTCGCCCTAGTTAGCTAGTATATCTTCGCACATAGGGACGTATCTCGTAGCTGTGTAAGTGCAGCATGTATGTGTTCCAGCGCCATGCTAGTTTTTTTTCTGTTCCCGTGGGCTTCAGGCTTGTTGTTACCCTGTTCCTCTCCACACCCGCCGGGGGCCGGAGCCGGGCCCAGCTGGGTTTAGCGGAGCCGCTTTTGCAGCAGCCATTCCCAAGAGGAGCCACTCCCAGCGTTCCTCCAATCCTCGGCCCGTGTTCTCGAAACGTGCGTGCCCAGTCCCGACTGGCTGGTCCAAGATGCGACGGAAGAGAAGTCGGGGATGTTGTAGCGGTAAGCAACACAGCAACCCAAGAGAAAACAGGAGCCAAGGTTGTTCAACGTTACTTGCGGAACTGTTTCCCGTCTCTACTTGTAAGTGGCTACGTGTGTGCAGTAGACAGCAGTTTGATGGCGCATGTGAACAAGTGGGCGCGCAAAGCAAAACCGGGATTCCGGTACTGTCGGCTCTCGGGACCTCTGCATCGCTGACAAGCAAGCCCAGGCGACAACAGATCCAATAGGCTTCAAAGGCGGCACAAAGCTAGGCGGAACGGAAAACACCACGAATCGTCATTCGCTCAACGGAAGCCAAAGCCTTCTTGACGAGCAGCGAAACGTTGCTTACCTACAGAATTGTAGAGTGGGGGGATAGGAATTTTACAAATAAAAGCTTGAAGTCCTCGACCTGAATGGCCATTACTGAATTAATATTTGCATTAATATTTGCGCCTGCAAATCGGGATGAGGGCGTCATGCGTGGCGTTGTATTAGGCATCATTTAATTTGTATGTTACCCAGCGGTAGGAGCCAAACATGGTCTTGGTTGGCTCCTTCTCAGTGCTCCACAGAAGGCTGCCACACAGTACATAGAATCCCATACATTATCCCACTGAACATATGTCACTTGGGACCTATTGAGCTTATCATCACAAAGCAAACAACACAACTCACTCTACTAAACCTAAAATTAACCAGGCAATATAAAATTCTTTAGAGTTAAGAAATACAATTTTTCAATTGCATCGAGTTAGTATTGATTTTATATCAAGAAATTTTACTAGAATGCAGGTGCTAGCACAATGTCCCAAGCTTAGACCGTGACTTAGATATGTGGGAAAAACGCAAAATCACTCTACCGTTGACCATACAGGAAGAAAGAAGCGCATTATATTTCCAAGTTCATTGAGACATTATCTTTGATTTGGCCGATCTTTAATTTTTTTTAGTTGGAACTATTGCTATTGAGTTTTCGTCGTTGCTGACTTCTGTTTCCTAAATGTATGGGATTCTATGTGACTTGCTCCGTTCAGTAATGATTGCTCCCCCTCCGTGGAACACAGAGAAGAAGACAGCCAAGACCACGTTCGGCCCCTGGACACGTGCCTCATTGGCACTGCAAGCGGGGTACATGTTCACCAAGATGTTGTAGGTGAGCACCCATCGCCTAATCTGTGGCCTGGACTGTATATTGCAAGCCCAGTTTCGTAGCGAAGTGGTAGACGCCAACCGCACAGTCGCAGACCTGTCTGGCCAGACCCTTTGTGTCTGCTTGAAGCAGCCTTCAGATGTATTTGGCATTCGGAGCGTGTTGAGTGGTCAACTGCTGGAGAGGATGGAGCATGTGGAAAACCCGGTGCATTCACCGCTTCGTAGAGTCCACCAGAGAGATGGGATATAAATCGGTCTGCGTATTCCAGGTGAGTACTTGTACCGTCCCATGCGGTGCTCAGCTGGCTCTGGGACTGGCATCCATGAAAGTAAAAGATTGAGAAGACGGGCAAATTTATTGAATGGAGAAAGTGCTCACACCATACGGATTCGCTAACCTGACTCAGGGTCTGGCATGATAAACTGAGAGCGTTTGGAAGGGTAGGCTAGGTATCAGATACGGCACGACTGACGACGACAGGCCTGATTGCCGATGGACAGGACTTCGAGCAAAGAAATGGGAACTCTGCAGTTTCAAGCAGAAACAGCTCAAAGAAACAGCTGGAACGCAGGATCCACTCCCAGCCCCATGCAATTGAGAATCATCAACTCCACAAGATATTCGGATCTGTCTCAACTGGTACTGTGTCGCCCTACCTTCCTGTTAGTGGGAAATTGAGAACTGTGCTGCCCCGACTACTGAAAGCGCCATGGTGGCCACAAGGAGACAAGAGGATTGCAAATAAAAGTCAGGGGACGTCTCACAATGCAAATCACACAGGGCTGCTAACTTTTAGAACCCACGCTGCTGTTAGTCTTTTTATAGGCTGCAGACATCAAGCCAGACTAGATCACTGTGGCATGCCCGACGCTAGCAGGCTTCTGGGGAGCTGGGGTAGCTGCGTGACCTGCTAACAGCTGCGGGCGCTTCCGCCTTCCTTGTTGACCCCTGCCTGGCGGCCCTAGCACAGGGCACAGCACCATCTGTTTGGTCACTGTGGGAACGACCGTGAGTGTTTGCACTGTTTGCCTTGGACGGTCCTGGACCCAATGGCAGGCTGGCAGCCGGCCAATAAACTATGGGGTTATGGTCGACCTTCGTCAGATGAGCTCGCAGGTGCAGACCGGACCCAAACATCTCGACCTCCTTGACTCACCTCGTCCCTTCTGTCCTTCCTCTTGTGCCGTGGCCCAGGGTTGCTGATTGTTTCTGTTGTGTCCCCCAATCCCACAAGGGCAACGTCTCCGTACTGCTGACACCGGAACAGGTTAACAATCGCTTCCCTGGCCTTCGCCGCCTTCCTTCCATGAAGGAGGTGGGTGCATAAATTCCCGACGACGTTATCTTGCGCCGGGACTTGCACCCCGGCCTTTTGGCTTCCTGGCTGTCTGAGGCTTTCGCTTGATGACTTGAGCCTGAGCCTGAGCCTGAGACTGCCAGTGCCTGCCTGGCCGTCCTTGTATCCACCGCCGGACCTCTCTTTGTTTCCCGTCTCATCGCCCTCGAGCCCGATTGCCGTCGCCGACCGAGACTGGGACCGAGACGAGCGACTCGTTCGACCACGACTGACGCATCAGCAGCCGCCATGTTCGCCCGAGGGAAGTCGAAGGAGCGCTCTTCGACCAGGAAGGTCACGCCACCAGGGCCAACATACATGACCAGCGAACAATTCGGTATGTCCTCGCTCGCAGAGGACAGGCATGGCTTTCGCTGCTATGTACAGGCTGCTAACGGTTCGTCTGCAGCGGCATACCTTGCGGACCTGCGCAATAACCGTGTGAACCGCCCGGCCGGTGCTCGCCCCTTGCCAAATCCCCCCAAGCACGATTCCACTGGCGTGTCTGGGAGCGCCAGGGCATCTGTTGATGCTCCTACTAACTCGGAGATTGTCCCTTCGCCGCAGAGCCACCATCAGCGCAGCCAGTTGGATGTCAACAGCCAGTCGCCATCAATCATCCGCCATGCCGTCTCACCTAGCATGTCGTCAAGGTACCCGACTCTGTCTGGTGGCCGGGACTACTATCCAGACAAGCCCGTTCAGCCCCTGAAGCCTTCCGAGGTGGTGCCTAGTGCGACTTACATCGAGCGTGGTCAGCGATGGATGGAGAAGGAAGAGGCTCACTCCCTGCGTCGCGCCATGGAGGATATGGATTTGAGGGATCGCCTGCGCAAACAAAAGGTGTCTGATGACGAGCTCAGCGAGGAGGAGCGTATCTATCAGGCCGCTCTCAACGAGGCCGCTGAGCTCGTGTGGCAGCATCAAAATCCAGGAAAGGTTCCCCCGCCCGGTGCTCCGTACCGTTACAGGCCACATCTGCGGAAGAATAGTTATGCACATGCCCGCACGGCCAGTACCGGCTTGTATGGAAAAGATGTTGCTCCCACTGGCCTGGCTCGGAATTCCCACCACACCCGCTCTATGTCCGGTAGTTCCACAGAAGGCGACTCTCCAAGGCTCGCGACCAGCCGGACTTCGTTTTCATCTAGTCGCCAAGGGCAAGGGAGCGAGACGCCTCGGCAGACTTTTGGAAGCGGCCATGAGACCAATAAGCCGTATGGAGATGTCGCATCTGGCACACCTTCCGCCTGTGTTCCCGGAGCGCGTGCTAGGGGCAGGCAAAGGAGAAACATCAGCGGGGAGGTTGGCAAGCCTTTTTCGCCAGATCAGATCTGGGAAGAGCCGGATGCCGAGACGTCAAGCCAAGCTCAACATCCGATACGGGATGAGGAGACGCCGCTTCGGCCGAAGCCAAGTGATCCTCTCAACAGGGCCCCCGTTCTCCCCAGCGGATCGACGAGCAACACCGCATCTCGATCGTCAGTCCAAAAGCTGATCTCGAAGTACGAGATTCACCGGAACCCTCCAAGCCAGTCCCGGAATCCCGAGTACACCATCAATGCTCATCTTCCTACTGCTACTTCCCGCGATGATGTTCCTCGCAAGCATGGCATGGAGATTCGCAGCGAGGATATAAGACAAGCTACGAGCAAGAAGCTGAAGGACCGCAGCCCAAAGCTGCCCACGCCTTCTGCCGTCAGCGATAGTCCTGGTCGACCTATCGTAAGCTTCGATAAGAATTGGAAGCCCCCAGAGGAGGCTACTGACGAAAGGTCAGAAGAGTCAAGATCCGGCCGCAGAATCGGCCCTGCGACGGTCCTCGTCCCGGGCAGACTTGATCAACAGCAAACACAGCGGCAAGCGCAACAAGCGATCCCTGCTATCTCTGTTGCGAGTGATTCTGCGGCCTCGTCAAAGCCTGCGTTGCGGTCACCGTCGCGGCAGCGCACCGCCCACCCCCCTCGCCCGCCTTCTCTTCAGGTAGATGCGCCTACTCCCTCTTCCATCCCCACCATCGCTGTCTCAGACTCTTCCTCCTCTTCTCCAACTCCCCCCTCCATCGTCATCGAGCCAGATGGAGGGGCGAGGGATGGCCCTAGCAACCCCGTCATTGTAACCCCTGACGACAACAACATCAACAACTCATGTAATGGTTCCTCTCGACCGCTTCCTACTCCCCAACCCGGAGCCCCGCGTGTTCGACATCAGCCTCGCCCACGCGACCCCTGGCCCTTAGACAATCATTCCTTCTCCACGCGTTCTGCTGCGCGCTGTCATGAATGCAACGGGCCTATTCAAGGTCGTTTCATCTCTCTTGCTGGCAGCACAGAGCGGTTTCACCCAGAGTGCTTTACGTGTTACGCCTGTGGCACTTCTCTCGAGGCTCTCGAAATTTCACCTGAACCAGAAGAGCACCGCGCGGCCCGTTTGGACCGCATTCGTCGCCGGCGAGCTGGAGAGATCCTTCCCGAAGAGCCCGGCAAGACCATGGCCGAAGACGGCGACGAGCGCCTGCGTTTCTACTGTCACCTTGACTGGCACGAGCTCTTCGCCCCGCGCTGCAAACATTGCAAAACTCCCATCATGGGCGAGCACGTGGTGGCATTGGGCGCCCACTGGCACATCGGCCACTTCTTCTGCGCCGAGTGTGGTGAGCCGTTCGGCAAGGGCCAGACGCATATCGAAAAGGACGGCTATGCGTGGTGTGTCAGCTGCCAGACGAAGCGCACCGAGCGGCGTGCGCCGAAGTGTCGTAAGTGCAGGAAGGCTGTCATTGGTCAGTACATTAAAGCGCTTGGCGGCGAGTGGCATGATGAATGCTTCCGTTGCGGGAGTTGCGGCGGCGGATTCGACGATGGGCAGATCTTCCCTCTTGAGGGGAGAGCACCGCCGGGGGAAACGTTTGTCCTGTGTACCAGGTGCATGGAGATGGAGTTGAAGGCATGATACAGAATGATCTCTTTTTTCTTGGTTTGGGTCCTGATAGATGGCAAGGTGGGTTGATGGTAAAAAAAGGGAGGGGGAATAAAGGGATTTCCTTGGGAAAGTAGTTCATCAGGCGAGGATGGACTATTGACATCATCGATCTTTTCGTTCACTGGTGTTGGTTGTATCAGACTGGACTTATTGCTGCATGTGTCATGTTCTTTGTCACTCTTTTCTGTTGAAATTAGTCATGGGCCTTACCATACCTAGGTAGGCAGAATACATATGTAGTTATGTCCTCTCCTTCAACAAGCAGAATGTCAAGCATGGCGAATGTAATGGTTAATATGGGCCTATTTTTCACAGAGGATAAAACAAATCATCAGATGACTGTCAATGGAACCGCAGTTTGAAATCAAGGTTGTGCTCTGTCAAATATCTCACTCCAGTACGCCGACCTTGCGTCCAACTGAGAGGGTTTGTACGCCAGAGGCTGTTGCACCCCACGACAGCATCAATCGTGATCGAGATCTTCCATTGAGAACTAGCATCCATTACCACTTCTCCATCCATCGGTCCATGGCCCCATCTGGTATCATCGTCTTTCACAATCATTGCCAATGATTATGTCCACAACCTCGCAATGTGGATAGTAATCTTGGTCACAATTCCACGATATTCACAACCGCGGGATAGCCTACGTAATGTTGGCCCCAGGTGTAGAATCAAATGTCCTTTATTTATGCGCGCAGCACTTCTGGAACTCTGTCGTGTATCGTGTCTCGACTTCTCCCGAATGCTCAACTAGTGTTCAGCAGAAGCCACCGACTTGCTCCTGGTGTACTTCAAGAGTATCTCCGTCTTGCATTTCGAGCTGGTTACAGAGGCCAGGGGAGTCAGTATTGGCAAGTTTTTTGGACCAAATATCACTGTTTGGGAACCAGAAAACGGGACAAAAAGGAACAGAGTTGTTCAAAAGAACAAAGGACGTACAGTATCCGGAGTGTCCTGGGGCTGAACGCGCTGACCCTCGAACAAGAAACGCACCGACGAGAGCGACTTGCCCTGGCGCTCACAGAAAGCAGTCATCAATTTCTCCAGCTTGGTGCTTCGCTTGATCTTAAAGAAGACCTCGTTGTTGTTGTCGGTCACCTTGATGTTCAGGTGTTCTGAGGTCGGGGGAGCCGGAGGCTCAGCACCACCTGGCTGGCTGGGACTGCCGTTGGGCTCAGCAGAGTCGGCCATCTTGTTTGCTGGATTGGTTGAGGTGTTGTCGATGTAGTTGCCGTAGGCTGCTGTGCGCGAGTCTGCTTGGGCTGGGAGGAGCAGGTTAGTGAGTCAACCAATAGCCCATAACGATGTGGTTGAGGTGAAGTTTTGAGAACTCGGTTGGTTGCCAAAAGTGCCAAAAAGACACAAATTCAGAAGGTAAGTGAATTGGGAGGTATAAGAACCGGAGCTGGTGTGTGAAAAGGCTATGGAAAGGCAGCTTGAGGGAGAGCTGGATGGAAAAGGCAGATGGGAGGAGCTTTTGGCGAGGAAGCAATGCACGGGGCCGACTTGCTTACTAGGTCCTTCAGAGGTAGGCAAGAAAGCAGTGCTGGGTGCTAAGATGCTCGCAGGCGGCTGATGCTTTGTTACTTCGTTTTCAGGCTGACCACGTGTTGCCTGAGAATTGTTAATTGCGCGATCGAGAGGAGGATTGTGGTGGCTTTGAGTCCCTTGGTTGGAGATGTTCGCGGAGGGCTGGTGGTCACTTGTTTGACTGGCGCCGTCTGCTTCGTTCGTCATGGCGGGGTTAGGAAGTGGGTCGTCGCTAAATGCAGCCTAACAAGTGTACCGAGCTTACGGGTTTTGCAGGGTACATCGAATGGTTGGAAGATTACCCGGAGTGCTGTGATGACAGAGGAACGAAGAAAAGGTTTAAGAATCTAAATTCTCAGGTTATCAAAGAGTTGGTTATACGCCTTGATTTGCAGGCTTTGATCAAAGAATGCCAAATGCGCTTTCCAATTCTTTGGTATCTTTCACTGGGCTCAGGAACATCAAGGCCAGAGGTGGAGAGTTTGCCTGTTTTTATGGTATTGATGCTTTTTGTTAAGGAAGTACAACTAGTCTTGTATCTGGAAGCCGTCATAGAGCGCATGAGCTTCTTTTTGAGGGAAGGGGGAGACTTTGGATTACAACCAGCACTCCCAAACAGGATCATGCCTTCAATCATTAAATGTCAAAAGAATCAAGGGGCAATTCTTCCTCTGAGATATTGCAGCGGCACTGTACTCCACTAAAACCAAACCAGTATGCACTTTCATGTCAGATATGTGATTTTTTTCTAGCTGAAAGGACGCAGGTCTCAACGACAACCTGTTGACATGGGAGAGCTTAGGTTTGGTGATGAGCTGGAACTCGAGTTCAGGTTGTCTGGTCTGTGCCGGTTAAGACTCAAGAGATCCACATTGGTTCAAACTTTTTTTTAAGAACCTGACATCATAGCTTTTCACTTAAACCAAACACTCAATATCAGGAAAATAGCTATCTACCCAGGTTGGGCCCGATTGCTTTTTCACTTGACAAAACGATTTCCATTCTCTTTGGTATCGATCCAGCCCATACTGGCCGAGATGGTTGGTTGTTTAGAGACATGCTGCCACCAGTTGGAGCCTTACTCGAGTCTGACAAACGCCAGGGACTTGAGCAGGATTTAAGGAGTGATCCTCCATGTCATCCCCGTGCAGTTCGTCTTAATCCTTCGCCTGTTATTTATGACCTACAACTTGCACTGACACTTGGAGTTTTGACAATTAGTGTGCCATCCAGAGTAAGGAGACTGTCTCTGCTTCAACTATGCCCCATGCTATCCACACCATCACCCTAACGCATTGACATTGGCAGACTGCTTAACAAAAAACAGCTACAATGAAGCAAAATGTACCAGATTTATCGACGCGCTTTATGAGTGCTGTCATGCATTTTACAAGAGAAATGGCGATCAAGCCAAAACTGTCAGCTGTCCTAAACCAGAGTTGCTTCGGCTAAAGATGGAGCAAAGGAGAAAAGGCATCCGGTGACGCCACCAGAGTAAAGCATGGGTCAAAAATATGCGAACTGAACTGTACCACTTTGTCCAATATGCACACCTGAACAGATATTCAGGTAACTTGGAGGAATCATGGAATTGATCTAGGCTATCATTGAGCGCGCGTGAGGCCTAAGGGCCTGAACAAGCACCGACAAGCTTGTCCCGAGACTCTAATATGAATGCCATGGACATTGAAGAAAGGAGAAAAGAGAAGTCCAAAATTTGCACCTCGCGTCAAGCACTTTTCAACCCCCAAATTGTCTGGCAAGTGGGGCATTGGATCCACTCGCTGTTCCCTATCTCTGGTGGTCCGTGCTCAAGGTCCATGACAGGCCAGGGCCCAGGCGCAGGCTGAAGGCTGCTGGGGCTCGCCGCTGACAAAGATGATTTTTCCGACAGCTGCATCCATCGACGCGACGACCGCGCTCCGCTGACCAGGCAGAGGGACCACCATATGTCTGGTGGTTGCGAACTCCCCAAATATTCCTCCGTCCACGAAAACAGCCAGTCAGACTTGCGTGGGTTTTGCAGTCTAGACTGCCGACATTTTCAATTCGACCACAGACAATGCAATAGCAGTCCTTTTGGTCGTCATAAAGTACTACGCCTTTTGTCGTGCCTGCAGTTGGGGTGCCAACCTCACAATCCCAACTTCTCAATACGCTCAGGGCTGCCCGGCCAACCTAACGTTTAGTCCTTTCATCATCACATTCGCTCTTCCGAATCCCTAGTGCAAAGCGTAATGTCTCCAGCATTTGTGAGTCTTCTACGCCGCGCTTCCTTGCGCATGCCAAGGTCGTTTCCTTGCTCTTTCTGACGCCAATTCAGAACATCCCAGATTCCATTGAGAGCTCTCGCGGCAGCTCTCAGAGCCCCCATCATGGTCAGTTCCCTTTCTGTGTGCCTCAATACTTCATGCAAATGGAAGTCGCTCACATGTCGGTTAGGGCTCAATCCTGAGGAAATGGCCGATATTGAAGCTACTTCCCAGGACAATGCTGTCCGCGTCGGTGAAGAAATTGATTACTTCGCCGCCCAACTTGATCGCTATGATGCCGACCAGACCGGTTCTCCCCCAGAGCGGCGCTCCCGTGCATTCCAATTAGTCGATTCATACTACACCTTCACTCGAAAGAGGCTCGACCGACTTCGTGAACGCCAGGCGCGCCAGCGATCCGCGCAGAGGGGGAGTTGGCAGAGGGCAGGGTCTATCGAAATGGATCTTGACGATGCCGATGAGGAGAACGATGACATCTTGGACGAGGAATTGCAGCAACTAGAAGACGAGGTGCAGATCTGGGATTTGTTGAGGCGCATTCTCCCTCTTCGCTATCACGATGCTACCCAGAATCAGAAAAAGGAACATGATGGTTCGACTAAAAGTCGCAGGCAATGGTGGAACGAGTTTATGGTTTCCGACTCGGTAGCTCGTGAGAGAAAGGTCGTCCTTGAATGGCTTCAAAACAGCGCCAGTTATGGCCCACCCATTGATGAAGTCGTGAGCGACCTCCAACATAATGCGGAGAGAGGAGACATTCTCGCCCATGGTTGGCTCCATACACGCCACAAGATCAAGCTCCAGAAGAGCGTAAACGCCTATCAAGGTGTTCTAGACCCTCGTGACGCCGCAGCAGCTCAGTCTCATCTGAGCTCCAATTCCCTGATTACTCAGCTCGATCCGGATGCTGTCACTCGTCAGGCTCGCAAGCTGGAACCCCAGGATGAATCCTTTGAGCGTGCTATCTGGCTGGGTTGCTTCGAGATGCTGCGCCGAGGTTGCTCGATGTCTGAGATCAGGGAGTGGTTGGCGGTTAGGACTGAGCTCTGGAGGGCTTTTTCGATTGCTCCCCTGCCCCTCTCAAATCCCGATGATGAAGAGCAACCAGACTTCGATCCAGTTTCTCTGATCTTGTGGAGGAGAATGTGTTACGCCATTGCTACCGATGGTGGAACGAGCGACTACGACAGAGCAGTCTATGGTTTGCTCGCGGGAGACATCCCCAGCGTTGAAAAGGTGTGCAAGACTTGGGACGACGTTCTATTCGCTCACTACAACGCCCTTCTCCGGACCCAGTTCGACTTGTTCTTAATCAAGCACGGCGGAGACGCTGCAGCAAAAGCAGCCCAGCAATTCCCTTCTTTCAACGCTGTTGCATATCATGGTGATCCCGCAACGGCGACCAAGCGTTTGATCGATAGCTTAGAGACGGGAATGAAAACTTCCGCTGAGGCCTTTCGTCCAGCAAAAGCACTCCAGGCAGCCATTGTCGCCGATGATCTGGATAAGTTCCTGTTTCATCAAGGCCTTTTGCTGTCGATTCGCGCCAACAAGAAAGAAAAGTCAAAACTGATCCCCGAATACCCATTCCCGCACGAAAGTTTCAGCGACAAGAAGTATTATGACTTAGGAGACCACCAAGGCTTGCGGATACTTGCTCATGTCCTCATTATCATCCTGACTCTCGACCGCCTCTCGGGTGTTGCTAAGGACAAAGGCCCTTTGCAAGCACGCCATCAGGCAGCCGAGAACTCCATTGCCGCATACATTAGCTATTTGCGGCTGGTTCGTTTGGAAGAAATGATCCCACTGTATTGCTCGAAGCTGCACGGCCCACGGGTGTATTCGACGCTCAGCAGGAATCTCATCCACATTGTTGATATTGATGCACGGCTGCACCAGCTTACGATCATGAGGAACCTGGGGATTGACGTTTCAGAGTTTGTGAAGAGTCAACCTCTCATTTATCTGGATGATGTCCAGGACGAGCTCGTCTCTTGCGACGCTAAAGACCAGTTCAAGATCTTGGAGGACGGCCCAGCGACTCTGAAGTATGGGCGGCTCGTCAAGCCTGACTTCTTTGGGGACGACGCCGACTACGTCGACCCCGAAGATGACGCCCTCATCCGCTCCATGGAATGGCTCTTGCTGGTTCCCGGCTTGTTTGTGGAGACCTGCGCCTATGCTGTCCGTATCTACAAATATTTCCTGAGTATGTTGGCTGCCTCTATTGGCTTCTTATCTAGGTTACTAACTGTTTGGCAGAGCGTACTCGGTTACGGGCTGCTCGCGCGTTTAGTCGGCGTGTCCGCGGCCACGAGATCATCCGCACTAAGTTCCCCAACCTCCTGAAGGATGTTGATGAGAACGATCCGGCAGCGTGGTTCGAGGAATTTGCTGCTGCTCAGCTCCCGAGCGACCTCTTGGAGTCATGCCCCGCAAGCCAAGAGAAACTGATCACAATTACTCGTCATCTGTGGGAGTTGGAGAGTTTAGTCCGTGCTTTGGACTCGATTGAGACGCTCACTTCGTTGGCGGCGCTCACCAGAGAGTACGCCAATCCCTTACGCCATATAAGTTATTTTGTGTCATATCTAACCTTTCTTGCTCAACAGGGAAAGCGTCCCAATGACTCGCGAGATGTGGCAGGAAGTCAGCCAAACGGTCCGCATCGCTAAAGCTTGCATGCGTCCAGTTCTCAAGGAGTGGCTGCTTACAACTTACGATGGAAGTAAGTCATTTCATTCAACTCTTCCAGGTTTGCCCTGGCGGAGCTGACAGCGCTACAGGATCCGTGGAGCAAGACTTCCTCGACATCCGCCAGGCCTACATCCCGGAAACGATCCTTGCCTACATTAGCTGCTTGCACTTTGCGGGCACCTCGCTCTCGCGCGACAATCTCCTGGAGTGCATGGACCTTGCTGCGATAATTGCCGAGAAGGATTCAGACGTGGCCAAGGAGTTCATGCGGTGCGGCAGGATGAAGGAGCTTGTTGAAGCTTTCGCCTCGGCCAGCAAGGCTCTGGCGATTTGGTCTGGCGAGAAGAAGGGATCGCAGACCAACTCGAAGAAGCTCAGAGAGCTGGGATGGTGAGTCATCCAAATGTTTGACTTTGTATCAGCTCTTACTAACAGTCGGCAGGTCACGGGAGTTGTGGTCGATCAAGTCCTAAGATTATTGCCGCAGGAGTACATGCGTGGGCTGAACCAGGCGTTTACCTGCTTGACTATATCCATGAAATACTCGGTTTGTTTCAGATAATCGTTGCTTGGTACCGGTACCTAGATGTATGGATTTTGAGTGTGGGCTAAGCGGCATGCACGTTTTTATCGGTCATCGGGATACGGGTGGATGTTCGCAGAGAAGTTATCGTTTCTTCCCCATCAACAACTCTTCCTCGATACTAAGCTTTGTGGCTCACGTATCACATGGCCCACATTTTCCAGTCTGCCGCTGGTTGCAGTCTTTTTTTTTATAGAAATCTTGGCGTTCTGGTGTGGCAGATAGCGTGAGGAACAGCCCGGAAAATACTCGAGTTCATTGGGGTAGGTGCAATTAGTTAGGACTCTGAAATACATAACCTGCTTGCTTCCTTGCTTCGCGAGGTGTGAGGCTTGGTTTGATCGAGGACTGCAATGTTGTAGAGTTAGAGATTTGGATAAGCTCTACAGGTCTTGTGGTTGTCCCTGAGAGAATGTCGGCCTCAACCTTTATGTGTTTGCCTGTCTTCTGGCACACCGACGATCCCCTTTTTCTTTTCACGTACGAAATATTCACAATGACATAATCAATAAAACTCGTATGTTCGTCTTCTTGGTCTTCCAAGGGCAGGAGAGACCTTGGATTGTTCTATTTATGGTAGATTTGTCCGTTTAATCTGCCACCCCGTCATGTGAGTATAGGTACCTAGGTATATCAACTCATTACACCATCCCAGGAACTTTCTTGACATCACCGAGCGTGAACTCATCATGTTTCCTGTCTGGACAGCTCACCTCAATAGTCTTGATTTGATATCACAAACCTGATCCCTCAAGAGAATCATGCCTGGCCACGATATCGATGAAAGCAACCAATCCGTCGCTAAAAGGAAAAGGTACAACCTATACCTCACCTCTTCGACCTCTATGCCAACACCATCCTACATGGACACAAACCTATACTGGCCACCGACCCAACAAAGCTGGAGGAAAAAGCTCAGAAAGTCATGGCCCGCAATGCATACGACTATGGTGTGGGAGTGGCCGGTGGGTAGGTCACCGTGAAAGCCAACCGCTAAGCATTCAGCAGTGGAAGCTCGTTCCAAGAATGCTATGGTCTACGAGTGGGACATGTTTGTGATGTTGTTTGGCGCGCGATATGGGATGTGCTACGGACACCCATTAATCCAGTCCCACGTGTACTGGAACCAGATCCGCTAAGTCTAACGACACTTCTACAGATACACCCATCCTCATGGCTTTCATAAGGAGTCCAACATGCGTACCATCCCGACGGCGAGAATGGCGTCGCAGCAGCCTGTGCACCTCTCGGCGTGCCCCACATCTACAGCACAGCGGCATGGCGACCACGTGGCCCCGATAACGGATCTTTCCCCTTCGCCATCAACGGCGAAGGGTGTGCGTTTGGCTTCATCGGACCACGTCTTCTGCGCAAAGGTAGCTGCTGCAATGGGAGGAACGACGTTGTGGATATGTCCGTGGCGAGCAAGATGTGGATGCAGGAAGTCTTTTCGGGGGATGCGCACTCGTGGGAGGAGTTTACTGAGCTGAGACGGGCGTGGGGTCCAAGCCGATCATGTTGAAGGGGTTATTGAGTGAGGAGGATGCGAGGCCGGCGGTTGGGTATAGGATGGATGAGATTAATGTGAGCGATCATGGGGGCAGACAGCTTGATGGGGCAGTGGCGAGTTTGGATGTGGTGCTGGAGATTGTTGAAACTGCGGGGATGATATTACAATATAATTTAACTTGGGGGTGAGAACAGGAGCTGATGTGGTGAAGGCTCTTGCTCTGAAGACAAAAGCTGTTCCTAGTGGGCAGACAAGTGATTTACGGTCTTGGAATTGTAGGTCAAAGAGGAGCAAGGCATGTTTTAGCTGGCCTGTTGGCTGATGTGGATCGGTCGATGGGAATGATGGGCGTTAAGACAGTTGGTGAGTTGAACAAAAGCATGTTGAGATGGATCATCTATGAGAATGGGAGGACTAGCAGTGATGAGAGAGCTGGACCGGATAATGGCAGCAAGCTGTTCAGTTTGGACATTCTCCTATGCCCTACCCGAGGATATCGATATTGATAATTTTGATATCCTCTACTGGTTTCTCCTTGTACGTCTTGACATTCTCGATTCTGTGTATCACATCAAACCCTTGGACGGCACGCCCGAAAATGGTGTGCTTACCGTCCAGCCATGGCTTGTCGAACGTTAGCAGCAGTGGTCAGTAGAGTTATTGAAGTATGAAATAAAACACGTACCGTCTTTTCCGTTGTGATAAAGAACTGGCTCCCGTTCGTGTTGGGCCCGGCATTGGCCATACTCACAGTGTATGGCTTGTCGTGTTTCAAACTACTGATCTCGTCCTCGAACTCCTTACCCCATATACTCTCGCCGCCAGTACCATCACCCAAGGGATCTCCGCCCTGAATCATGAACTTACGGATAACACGGTGGAATATCGTGTTATTGTAGTACCCACGCCTGGAGTGTGTGACAAAGTTCTCGACAGCCTTTGGTGCCGCTTCGGGATACAGACGGATGTGAATGTCGCCGTATGTAGTGTGCATGATGGCCATAGTACCCAGCTCCTTTTTCTTTTCCTCGACCTTCTTTTGGTTGAGCACAATGGGCTTCTCGTTCTGCACATCTCGTGATGACTTGTTGATTTCTTCGTCATTGGTGAACATGTAGAAACGGACTTTTCCGATGCCGGTCGCCACCAATAATGGGTCTCGTGTCTCGGACTCCTGGAGAAGAGGGTTGTTGGAGGCTGCCATGGCAACGGTGGTGACACCCTTTTTCTGAGGCTGCCCCTGGTAGAGAGCTAGGCTTAGTGGCCGGAAGTTTTCTTCTTTGCCGTATACCTTAACGATCTTATTTGTGTAGGTGTTGAGAACCTTGATTCCGAGGTAGGAGCCAAAGAGAAGGAAGTGGCCCGACTCATCAAAGACGATGTTGAACTTGTCGCGCATAGATGGTGACTCAATCTCGCGCTCCTGGGCAAGTCGGCGACCGAATTCCACAGGGTCTAGCTTTTGTAGTGCTGTTCCCGCTTGCTGCATTTCCTCGATGGTGCGAAGGGATTCATCGTATGTCCGGAGGAGCTTGGCCGAGGCGAACTCGAAGAGGCGGATCTTCCGGTCAGGGAAGGACATGGTTACGAACCGGCTACCATCTGGGGACAAAGTGAGAGACGTAGGCACCGACTTAGCTTTCTTGAATTCGAATAAGTTCGTAGAGCTCTTGTATTTGAAGACATTGTCGGGCTTCTCGTAAGAGCCAGACGGACGCCAATACTCGATCATGCCTCCATCATCTACTGATATGACGCAGTCATAATGGTCGTTGAAGGCCATCAGTGATACGGGACTCCGATGTAGCCCGGTAACGGTATGTAGAAGGGCTAAGCTTTCCCCTCTGCCGTCATAGATTCGGATGCTGGGCTTGGCTTCGCTGTCAGAGACGGCCAATAGGGGCAACGAAGTACCCTTTTTATGAACCCAGCAGATGCATCTTGGGACAAAGTCGAGTTGGAGAACTGATAGGAGGTCGAACGTGACGACATCGAACAGCTTGACCGTCTTGTCGACGCCGGCCGTGGCAAAGCTGCGGCCATCTACGCTGCACGACACGGACCGGATTTCTCCCTGGTGTGCCTTGAATTCTTTTACGAACTCGATGCCTTCGGCGACCTTCTTCCAGAACTTGACCACCCCATCTACTGAAGTTGTAATCAGGAAATCAGTGATAGGGGTCATGGTGACAAAGGCGAGCTGCTCCTTGTGCATGAGCGATCGGGAGTAGCGAGTGGACTTGGGAAGAGCTGAGATATAGAGCTTCTCATATGGCAGGATGCGGCGCTTCTTCTTGGGAGCTTCCGAGGGCATCTGCGGCCCCATGTTATCGTCTGAGGAGCTGTCTGCACCACTGTGTTAGTGAGCTGGCATCTAGCCGTCAGGTGGGTATCTGACGGTTGATTTACACACCTGAAGCATCGTTCTCGGTGAACTCGGCATGGCTGCGCTTGTTGGACTTGACGTCCTCGTCACTTTTATTGTTACCAGATGACTCTGCCATGTTGTATGGTCTTTGTCTTGTGAATTGACTTGAAATGTTTGATGCAGCGCAGACTACCTGGCTCGCTGGATGTCGCGAGGTTTGTCGCGTAGGTTGACCGCGAAGTTTACCTTCGCATGGCTGCAAAACGACCCTGTCAAGGTCTTGGCAGCTGCTGTCAAATCGGGACTGCTCCTTGGCGGCATGTGGGGCGCCATGTGGTGTGGGTCTTTTCAGAAATGCCATTGCCAAGACTTGGGGAAAGACACAGCTTGTGGTCTCCCATCTTCAGCCTTCCTGGCATCCAATCTAACGGGGTTCATTTAGGACACCCTTCTGTCCGATGGATGATCAGCTATGGAGAGAGCTGGGAGGGATTGTAATTGGGAGGCTGGTTCTTTATTGTTGTCCAGAGAGACGGAAGAATGAAGCATTGTTTCATCTGGACCTCCAACACCTCGAAGCGTGGTTGGTGTTAAGGCCGATGCGTCTTCGTTCAATACCCCCATCATTGCCACCCAACCGCTGTGATGACTGACGATTCGTTAACTGCTGTAGACACTGCTCGCAAATCCTCGACGTGAGCTTTGTTTTCTCTGATCGTCCCTTCAAATCCCACACCCGGCCCTTGTTTGTCGCGAAAGCATCGCCCTCACCTTCAGTGGTCCGAACTCGGATGTGCGGGGCCAGGGCGCCAAAAAACTTGCCCCAGACGAGTTCTGCAACCACTGAGTCGGATTGCTTTTACCTGATTGCGATTGGACAGAGTCACTGCGAAAAAGGAGTTCGCCCCCTTTCATGCAGGCCGATGGCCTGTTTGCCGGGGTGTCGCATGTGTTGCGGCCTCGCGGGATGCAAAAAGGGGACGTCTTTTTACTGCTCAGAGCCTAGCAAGGCCAAGGCTCAAGGGCAAAAACGACCCCACATTGAGTCATTCGCCCAGATCAAGTGGTCGAATGAGTGCGGATTGCCCCTCGAAACAAAAAATCTACAAACTAAAAGAGCTGCTGCAACCGCCATCGGCGCAAAAGTTCGAGTTCCATTGCATCTCGTTTTGCTCACATCTCTGGATACCCAATCCAGCTTCTGTATTTTCCAAGAGGCTGTGTAATTCTACTGTCTTGTCATTTCCATCTGCGGCTTCGCATTCTTTTGCTTTTGACACTTTGTTCTACACCCCACTCGCATCATAATCGTCATGTCTGTATGTTGGACCCGACCCGCTTGGACTGTGCGCGCCGCAAGATCCAGGAACATCTTGAACTCACCATGGCAACCAGACTTTCTACATCGAGAACAAGAACGTCGGCAACAAGGCCGAGAGTGAAGACTGGAGGAGTATGTGCCCCCTTTTATTGTGACGGCAGGACGCAGTTGCACGGGGCAGTCACTAATATCAGACTACTACAGTTCGTGGTTACAACCCCCTTACACCACCCAACCTTCTCCAGCACGAGATTCCTCAGACCGTCGAGTCCAAACGAACCGTGCTTCAGGGCCGTGAGGAGGCCGTCTCCATCATCCATGGCACCGATGAGAAGCAAAGGTTGCTAGTCGTCGTCGGCCCTTGCTCGATCCACGACCCTAAGGCCGCCCTTGAATACTGTGACCTGTTGCTGAAGGAGAAGGAGAAGCACAAGGACGAGCTGCTAATCGTGATGCGCTCCTACCTTGAGAAGCCGCGCACCACGATCGGCTGGAAGGGTCTGATCAACGACCCAGATATCGACAACAGCTTCAATATCAATAAGGGTCTGCGCATTAGCCGGCAGCTGTTCGTCGACCTTACCTCCAAGGGCATGCCCATTGCCAGCGAGATGCTGGACACCATCAGCCCCCAGTTCCTGGCCGACCTGCTCAGCGTTGGCGCTGTCGGCGCCAGGACAACGGAGAGTCAGCTGCACCGCGAGCTGGCTAGCGGTCTCAGTTTTCCAGTTGGCTTCAAGAACGGCACCGACGGCACTCTCACTGTGGCCGTTGATGCTATTGGAGCCGTTAAACATCCCCATCACTTCCTGTCCGTGACCAAGCCCGGTGTAGTGGCCATCCTGGGCACCATTGGCAACGAGGACTGCTTCGTCATCCTGCGTGGTGGCTCGCGTGGCACGAACTACGATGCTCAGAGCATCGCCGAGGCCAAGGCCGCTCTGGCTAAGGCTGGGCTTAAGCAACGCCTGATGGTTGACTGCAGTCACGGTAATTCACTCAAGAACCACAAGAACCAACCCAAGGTTGCCGCCTGTTTGGCTGAACAGATCGCCAACGGCGAAGAGGGCATCATGGGTGTCATGATCGAGAGCAATATCAACGAGGGTAAGTTGGGCCCCAATGCCGTGCATGCAGCCGGGTCATAGATGTGCCATGCTAACTTGTCGACAGGCAACCAGAAGGTTCCTCCAGAGGGCCCTTGCGCGCTCAAGTACGGCGTGAGCATCACAGATGCCTGCATTGGGTGGGACGATACCGTCAAAGTACTGGATATGCTTGCGGATGCCGTCAAGAAACGGAGAGAGGTCCTGGCTCAGAAGGCGGCCAGTGCTTGAGGGATGTCAGTTGTGCATGGTCGAGGATGTTCGGTTTTCTACCTGTAGTTGTATATAAGGAAGGGCAGCCAAAATAGAAGGGTAAAACTGGGCGTTGCGGACGTCGATCTGGCTGAAAAGATCGAGGAATAAAATAACTGGATTTGGGATCTCGACTCTCATCAGTCGTGCCATAGATCGATCAGATGTTGTTTCTGTGCATGTTGTCGGCGTGTGTTGCAATCAAGGAGAAGGCAAAATCTGAACGCTTGAGTAATCAGTGAAGTGAACGCTGAAAATCATGCTGTCCTCGAAACTTCCTTGATAAGGACCAGAAGCTTGGGCTCTTCTACAGTGCTTGGCTGGGTTTCATCGGCTGTGCGGAAAATCAAAGGGCCGTGGTGGCCGTTGTTCCGCTGGCAGAGCTTTGATTGGCCAGCCAATGAGAGTGCCAGAGTTCCTAAGAATCCCGAATTTGTCGAGCGTCCACCGTCGAGAAACCTGACCTGGCTACCCTCACCAGCTCGAGCCTCCTACCTTCCGCAAACACCGACGGTGGCAGCGAATTGCCAAGTCAATCCGATCCCTGACGTCCTCTACAGCTCCGCTAGGTGTGTTCGACCATGCTGGCGAGGTCCTGCCTGCGCTCCGCGCGCGCGTTCGCCGGCGCGAGAAATGGCGCGGTGCAAATTGCTAAGGTACGTCCGCTGCTGTGGTGCGGGTGTTGCTGTGCCCGAGGTTCTGCAGAGGCTGCGAGCTGCCGTCCATCTCCTGACCCTGACGGCTCCCCAATCGACGACGACTACCTTCCTAGCCGCCCGCTGCCATTGCGCCCGACCCTTGGCCTCTCTCGTCGACATGTGTTTGAATATCCTCTTCTGTGCTGCTCAGCAGAGCTAATGCCCCTCCCTCACAGCGTCACGCGTCCTCCTCGAGCTCTGGGTCGACTGCCGAATCGCCGCTCCGCCTCAACATCGCTGCCGCCGCCGCTACCGCTGTCGCTGCCGGCTCTATTGCCTGGTACTACCATCTCTATGGCCCTACCGCCGATGCCATGACTCCGGCCGAGGAAGGGTGAGTCTCCCGTCGCCGATTGTCCTGCCCCGCGCGTGGGGCGTTGTCGCCGGTCCCGCGTTGAGGCATATTATTTTCCCGCCCGCTACGCCCGCCGCCCGGGAGCCCGGATGGTGAGGAGTGAACGGCAAAGCTTACTTTCGACGCAGCCTACACCCTACCAAGTATCCCTGGGTTCATAACCAGTGGTTCAAGACCTTTGACCACCAAGCGTAAGCTCGACCCCCACCCATGTTTGAGCCCCTCGGCTCTTCTAGTTTGGCACATGCGGCTCACAGACTTCCTTCCTCTACAGACTCCGGAGAGGTTTCCAGGTATACCGCGAGGTCTGCGCCTCGTGCCACTCGCTCAGCCGTGTGCCCTACCGTGCCCTGGTCGGCACCATCCTGACCGTCGACGAGGCCAAGGCTCTGGCTGAGGAGAACGAATACGACACAGAGCCCAACGAGCAAGGCGAGATCGAGAAGCGCCCCGGCAAGCTCTCCGACTACCTTCCTTCTCCCTACAAGAACGAGGAGGCTGCCCGCTTTGCCAACAATGGTGCCCTTCCTCCGGATCTTAGCCTGATTGTCAAGGGCCGCCACGGCGGCTGCGACTACATATTCAGCCTTCTCACCGGCTATCCCGATGAGCCCCCGGCTGGCGCCCAAGTCGGTGCTGGTCTGAACTTCAACCCATACTTCCCCGGTACTGGCATTGCCATGGCTCGTGTTCTGTATGACGGCCTTGTCGAGTATGAGGATGGCACCCCGGCTACTACCTCTCAAATGGCCAAGGACGTTACCGAGTTCCTCAACTGGGCTGCCGAGCCAGAGATGGACGACCGCAAGCGTATGGGTATGAAGGTTCTGGTTGCCACGAGCATTCTGTTCGCCCTGAGCGTCTGGGTCAAGCGGTACAAGTGGGCCTGGCTGAAGACCAGGAAGGTCGTCTACGACCCGCCCAAGAACGTCGATAAGAAAATCCGCTTTTAAATAGGTCAGGATTTAATAAGCGGCTGTTCTCTCGGAGGAGCTCAAAGGTCTCACGTTAGAGCATAAATACTAGAGTTTTTCACTGTGTACCATATAACTGCCGGGCGCCCCCCCCCCATGTTTCTCTGTCTATGTGGACGTAGAAGCAAAACTCCAGGGGACAATAGGGAAAGGTTCTCTGGCTTTTAAAAAGGTCTTGATGGGTGGGGAAGAGCAGGGTGGGTTGAAACGAGGGGTGGTTGGAATGTAAATCAAGTGTTTGGACGAAATACAGCTAGATGGAGAGTCTTGTGTGTGACTAGAGCTCATCTTGTGCCTTGCTTGTTTTGCTAGCTCTTGAGAAGTTCATGTTTTCTGTAAGTGCCCTCCCGTCCCGACAGCCTATGAATGACCCCGGTATTTTCATCCCATCCTCGGTGACTGCATGTTTTTCTCATTTTGCCGCCTGCAACCCGATATTTCCAACAATACCACTATTACAACTACTACAACACACCATGCCAAAATGACCGACTCACCGACCTTGCACATAGACGACCTCCTTTACAGCTTCAACGTCCAGAATGACAACCTTCGCCAGTTCCTGTGCGACTTGCTTGCATCCGGCAAGGTACCGCTACGCGTTGTAGATGAGCTCAAGGGGTTCAGCTTGATGCGAGGGGTTGAAGGATGGGAGATGATATTTGAGGCTACTGAAGAGCTTAGGCAGAGGGACGGGAAAAGCTCGGAGGGAGATGGTATGATTGCAGATAGAAACTTGCTGTCTTTCATTGAGGATGTTCTAATGGGGAATGGGGATATAGATGAGGCTGGTCGGGAACACAAGGAGGGGGAGAAAAGGAAGTTGGAAAATTGGAGGCAGCGGAGGTTTGGGAGAGAGGTATCGCATTTCTTTGGTGATGACGTGGAAGAGAATGGAAGGGGTCGGGCTAGGCGTTGTAAGGAGGGACACCGGGAGAGGTCTCAACTTCGTGGGAGCGGATGTGTTTCATTCGAAACGCTTCCTTACGGCGAGGAGGCCACGGACATGTCCACGGAGGTAAAGACCGAGCAGGCTGAAGCTCCAGCATACGACAGGTTATCCGATAATGGCCTTGGGAGCGACCCGGCTTTGGACCTCGAGCAGACCCAAGACATTTCAACTGACGACCAAGGTTCTGCACACCTGCTCTCTCCTCACTCGACGTCAAGAACCGGCAAAGAATCCAGTTCAATATCCAGATCTCTTCGAGCAACGAAATCTCCTTTCTTCGTGCCATTAACCCCATCTCCGAACAACACGCATTCCAGACAGCTTTTATCTTCATCCTCGTCACCACACCACAAACGCAAACGCCCTCCCCGCGGCACAGTCTCCTCCCTTCCCATCCCCCCTCTCTCCTCCCCACGCTTTGGCCTTATCCAAGAAGACCTCGCCGACGACCCCTTCGCCCTGCTCATCGCTGTCACTTTCCTAATCCGCACCACCGCCCGTCAAGCACTCCCTGTCTTCCGACAGCTCATGGCGCGGTGGCCTACGCCTGAGGCTCTAGCCTCTGCGGATGAGGACCAGATCGTCATGTTGATCAAGCCGTTGGGTCTGAGCCAGATTAGGTGTGCCGCGATAAAGAGATATGCTAGGCGTTGGGTTGAGATGGGGCCTCCAAGCAGGGAGAGGAGGTATGGCGTTGTGGGGTATCCGGAAATGGGGGATGGGGTAGGGTTTGTGAAGATGGGGGAGGATTATGGGCCTGAAGATGATGAGGAGGCTGCTGCTGCTGCTAAAGAGGGGGATGTGGTTACAGATGCGAAAAGACGGGGCGTGGGGTATGCGTGGGAGATTGGGTATCTTACGCAAGGAGCGTATGCGATCGACTCGTGGAGGATATTTTGTAGGGATGTGTTGTTGGGCAGGTCGAAGCATTGGACTGGGTGGGGTAGTGAGAGGGAGGGGTTTCAGCCGGAGTGGATGAGGGTATTGCCAAAGGATAAGGAGTTGAGGGCTTGCTTGAGGTGGATGTGGTAAGTAGCTGGCCTATAATTCCGAGAAAAGGATGAGCTGACATGAGTTTAGGATGAAGGAGGGTTGGGAGTGGGATCCTGTGACAGGGGAGAAACAGCCTTTAAGGGAGGAGTTGAGGAGGGCCGTGGATGAGGGGAGGGTAAGGTATGATGACCTCGGGAATCTCGTCATTGTGGATGAAGGGGCTCAGAGTAGCGAGTAGTTCTTGGGTCTGCCCTAGGATACATTGTGAAGTTTTCAATTGAGTTCGACTTTTATATGAACTCAGCCGACAGAGCGACTGCAGGACATAATAGCAATCAAATAGAAAACCAACCTGTTGGCCGTGAGAGAGTTAACTATTCCTCGCCCATCCTTCATTGATTGTGACAACCTCTAACCTTGGATATATGGACAAACGAAGCCGTCATATTCTCTCAATGTGTCTATGGAACATGTTTTTTAAAATAAGGTGACTTGGAGGGCGTTCTGCTTCAGTGAAGGCCACGGACTGAAGCAGAGCGAAACTGAAGACAGGCACCAAGGCAGTCAACGGTAAGCAATTCCATAGAGGTGAAAGGAAGGAGCGATCTTTCATATTGGTTTCTGAGTTCATGCTATTTCATCCAATCATTCATGGCTTTGAACACTACAGTGAGATCTCGCACCTGAGTTTTGACCAATTTCTCCAAATATTTCTACCCCAGTGAGCACAGTGGTTCACACACACTTCCTCCAACCTTCTCGCACTCCCCCATTTACCAGAACCAACTCTCTATTTGCAAGAATATCATCCACCCGAGGCAAAATGGTCTCTCTCGCGTGCATCGTCCAGGCAATTACGGTCATATTAACTGTTTTCACTTCCCCTACAGGGGGCCAAATCACGAACGGCGGCTTTGCCAGCTTCTGTGCCTTTACGGGTGCTATTCTGGTCGACGGCCACTTGCTTGGGATGTACTGTGAGAATAATGACATCGCCATCTTTGGGTACAACTACACTTGGTATGAGCAATCGCTTGCTGATATCGGTCAGAAGCAAGTGTTGACTTAGAATCTCAGGATCGATCTTGACTACTGCATCGGTAATTATATCGGCATGCTCCGTCCCCAGGAGTTGTAGGTTTTTCAGTCCTTATCCGACCTTTTCTCACGAAACTGACTATATTCTCTGCAGTGGCCACTACTCTGCCAGTTGCCGTGGCTGCATAATCAACTTCGACTCGACTCTCTGGTTGGACTGCATCTGCCCTGACCTGCGCCATCTTCCTGTTCACTCGACCATCGATCTGAGTGAGTTATCTCTGGTATTACTTCTGGCCTAATAAATGGCGCTAACGGCATGAGGTAGATACGACCCTCTTCGACTACGATGGTGCCCTTGGTTGCTTCAGGGTTCTGGGTAACAAGACCAGGGAAGGTCCTCCTCTTCCTAATAACTGAATGCTTAATCAAGGTGGTGTAATATGGTCAGGAATGTCCTCGACGATGAGATCCACGTCGGGGGATGAGAAGATAAGAGGTGAACTTGCTTAAAGTTTAAGCTTGATTTGTTTCAGCACGAGCATAATTCTGTAATGATCAACAAGTCTGGGACAGATTCATGGACATGGAGATCCAATTTTAATCTTAGACCACTTATACAGCGGCTGTGTGCCTTGATTTCTCGGTTAGGTGACTTCGCTGCAATCTCAGGTACTTCCAGCTTCAACCCCACTGATCTAGGGCAACTGTGGGGGTTCTGATGTCATCAACTGGCAAGTGTTGAGTGCTGATTCAACACCGAGAAGCTGTTATGTCATAACCTATTGATGGACTCTAAACTCACAAGGCAACTTCGTGAAGTGCTATTTTGATACATGCTCTTGTGCCACTTCTATGTGAACACAACAATACCACTGACCACAGCTCGATTCCTTGCTCAAGTAATCAACAATGACAGACAAAGGCCAATTTGAGCGAGGTGAGTAGGGCACTGACTTGGATTATTGGACATTAGTAACAGGAGCAGGTCACGAGATCCCGATCTCCAAGCAGGACTTCCCTGGGTTGGAGACCAAGATGCCATACCCCAGGCCTCTTTTTGACGAGATTCCGACCGATGATGGCAAGAGCCAAAAGTACAAGGCAGCTGGGAAGTTGAAGGGCAAGCATGCCATTATCACTGGTGGTGACTCGGGGATCGGACGGGCAACAGCCATTATTTTTGCGATGGAGGGGGCCGATTCCCTTATAACATACCTTCCAGAAGAAGAGGATGATGCGCAGGAGACGAAGAAGCGAGTTGAAGCGTATGGTCAGGCATGCTTCCTTCTGGCTATTGACCTCCGAGATTCGAGGAACTGCAGAAGGGTGGTTGATGAAGCAGTCAGAGCCTGGAAAGGAATCGATATTCTGTTCAACAATGCCGCCTACCAGATGGAGATTGAGGACATCAGTCAGCTTTCTGAGTGAGAACCCAACTTTCCCTTGTGAGTAAGCATGTGTGCTAACATTCGCTCAGGGAACAGTGGCTAAACACATTCAACACAAACATTCACCCTTACTTCTACCTCGCCAAGTACGCGCTTCCACACATGAAGCGGGGAGGTACGATCATCAACAATGCCAGCATCAATGCTTATGTTGGGCGCCCCGACTTGCTCGACTATACGGCAACCAAGGGAGCCATCGTGTCGTTCACACGCGGGCTAAGCAATCAGCAAATTGGGAAAGGAATCCGTGTTAACGCGGTGGCTCCTGGCCCAGTATGGACGCCGTTTATTCCGGCCACAATGACCGAGGAGAAGCAGAAGCAGTTTATAAGCCCGATGGGGAGGCCTGCTCGTAAGGACCTCCGCATCTTGCAGGATCTCGTGGATTGAGTGCTGACAAGGTGTGTAGAACCCAGTGAGATAGCAACATGCGTGGTCTTTTTGGCCTCGTCTGATAGTTCCTTCATTAGTGGCCAGGTAATCCACTGCAATGGTGGCAGTGTCGTGGGTGGCTAAGGGGGATTATCGTCTCCATGGACCCTATCACGTCGTTGAAGGCTTCGGAAGATGACTTCACTGTCAATGAAGGAGGGATAGCTGAAGCAATAAGTTTGAGAGTTGGAAGCCACTGTCCGGTAACTCAACTGCAGGACAATGCTTGACTGCACCCACGACGTTGAAACGCCAACTTTAGGACGTGCTACGTCCAAACTTATATTGAAACTAAACAATCTGTACGAAGGGCGATGTGGAAAAATTTCAAAGAGCACTTTTTTGAGAGGAAACCAAAACTTCCGAGTCCAGCTTCAAATTCCATCAACGGCAAGCAGAAGGCAGGAGAGACCAACTTTAATAGCCGGGATGACCAGCTTAATCCACTGTGATAAATCACGACACCGTGTATCCAGATGTGCACTGTGCAGAAACACGGCCTCCCCTTGGCCTTGCCTGCCTTGTTGACAACTGTGTCTCCTTCCTCTCAATATTGACTCAATCACACCAGTTTATCTCCTTCAATTCTCCTTCAGTTACGAGCTATAATAGCCACTATGCTACCAACGGACTCAGTTACCTATTACCGCGGCATCGATGGTAACACCTCTCCGTACACCTACCCAGCGTTATCACCACTTAACAACCATCCAGGGGCCTAAGATTGCTCCCCTTCAATCCACAACGCCAAGCCGATACTCCACGTGGAGCAGCGCCAACGGCTCGACATCCGATTCGACAATCGCCCGCTATGCTGCCCATGCTTGGCCCTAAGCTCAACTATGATATCATCGGTGCCCTGGCCATCAGCACAGTTGCGTTCCTTTCTGGTCCAGCCGTGAAGTATGCATGGCAGTCCCACAGGAGAAGGCTAGAAGGGTATACAGAAGTCGATGAAGACGGGAATTTATACAAAGATGACGATGGCATCGCGACCGAGGACTCGATTCGTGCTTATTCGGACACACGACCACGCGTCGCGGTGTTGTTGGGCGTGATCCTTGGTCTGGGCACGTCAGTTGCGGCCAACGTTGTCAGGCTGGTTGAGAATGGCAGCTCTAACGTAGTCCCGGGAGTGACTGACTGGGCGGAGACTTTGTGTTGGGTAAGATCCTTTTAAGTTCAGTTGTCTCTTTATGCTCTGTTTTTATGACGGTGTAGTGAAATGACTCCATCCATGCGGTTTAAAAAGCTCTATAACTCAACAGTGGACTGTGCTATGGTTGTGAAACCACTAACTCATGATAGGTCTTTCTCTGCCTACAATATGCCTGCCTGCCCAAAAAACATCACCATAACACCAAGTTCCGCATCACACTAGTTGGATCGGTATCAGCAATATTGACGGCTGCCTGCGTGGCCCTTCGCCACGGTTATGAAGCTCTTGAGCGACTTACCGACCCAGCAGCAGCTCCAAGGTCCCGCGTTCTCGCACTTCTCTATCTTGGTCAATTCCTTTTGGCTATCGCTACCTTGACAGCCTTCTCTTCCTTTCAACTTCGTCCAGATGTCTATCATAACATGGGTTTGGTTGACCAGCAATACACCCTCTCGCTGCTCTCACGGCTGTCGTTTACCTGGAACCGGGGTATTTTTGGAATTGCCGAGGAGCGTGACATGACCATAGATGACATCCCGAACTTGGACTATAGTACTCGTTCAGAGAATGTGAAATCACGGTTTCTTGAGAACCGGACTGAAGAGCCCCTCTGGCGTCAGCTCATCAGGATGTATGCAGCTGAGATCGTCCTTCAATGGGTTTTGACCTTAGTCATTTCTTTCCTTTCCCTTCTCCCACAGCTTCTTCTCTATGGTTTCCTTGCTGACCTTGAGCGAGGTCATAAGGGCACATCCAGTGACCCGTCTCTCTTCATCATGGTCTTCGGTCTTCTTTTCTGCCAGGTTTTGCAAGTCGGTTTCAACAACTGGCTGAAATGGGTCACGGCCAGCCGTCTTGAAATTCCTCTGGAATCACTCTTGCAAAGTATGGTCTTCTCTAAGGCCTTGAATCAGTATGAGACTGCTACTCCTGGTCTTAACCATTCAAATGACAAGTATCAGCAAGAAACCAAGAAAGAATCGGACTCCAAGCAGTCAATCATCAATCACATGAGGCTGGACAGGTATGTATGTTGGTACTGATGAATAAACTTAATATTTTGTTGGCTAACATACTTAGTGAACGAGTTACCATGTTCTGTTCATACAACACCAACTTGCCCCTGGCCGTCTTCAAGTTCATATTCGCCGGAGGTTTTGCTGTGCATCTCATGGGCTGGCTACCCATGTTATGCGGTTTCAGTGCTGCTGTAATCATGGTTCCCATCAGCACCAGTGTATCAAGGAAACTAGCGCAGTTGAACCGTGAATTGATGACCTCCCGTGACGGCAAAGCTCATCTCCTAACCGAGGCCCTGCAGGGCATGCGGCAGATCAGGTACGCTGCTCTGGAACATACTTGGGAGAAAAAGATCATGGAGTCACGTTCTGAAGAGCTTCGGCAATTCTGGAAATCGGCTCTCTGGCAGTGTCTAACGACCCTTCTCATGAATCTCGGTCCAGTCTTCCTTGCCAGCGCAGCCTTTGGTATGTATGTCTGGCAAAATGGTACGCACATACGACCGTCGGTCATTTTCACTTCTCTTGGTCTGTTTGACCAACTAGAAGAAGCCGTTTCGTTATTACCTACCCTCCAGGTATCCATGTTAGAGGCATGGACGAGCATAGAGCGGCTGGAGAAATACTTTCGCCAACCGGACAAGGACGTCATCATCGAGCCAGCAAACGTGATCGAGCTCGAAAACGCGACCGTCTCGTGGCCGACGATAAAGGACGATAACGCACGAACGCCGTCGCGAGGCCATCATCCGGAAGCTCGTTCAGTCCTGAGAAATGCCACGCTCCGCTTCCCTCTCGGGGGACTGAGCGTCATCACTGGCAAGACTGGGTCCGGCAAGAGCCTGCTGCTGGCTGCCCTCTTGGGCGAAGTCAACTTGCTCGACGGGATTATCCGCATGCCGGTCCCACAGCAGCAGACTGACGATGCCAGCCGCGACGCCTGGATTGTCCCTGGCCGGACCGCCTTCGTCTCGCAAATACCCTGGATCGAGTCTGGTTCGGTCCGCGACAACATTCTCTTCGGCCTGCGCTTCGTCGAGGGCCGCTACCGCAAGGTCCTGGCTGCCTGCGACCTCGAAAAGGATCTGGCTGTCCTCGCCCACGGCGACGATGCCCAGGTCGGCCCGAAAGGTGTTACTCTTTCGGGCGGCCAGCGCTGGCGGATTGCCCTGGCCCGCGCCCTCTACTCTGAGGCCAGTATCCTCGTGCTGGATGACGTTCTCAGCGCCGTGGATGCCCATGTAGGCCAGCTGATTGTCGACCGGGCGCTGACGGGCGAGTTGGCGAGGGGCAGGACCATCATTTTGGCGACTCATCACGCGGAGCTGGTCCTGCCTCACGCGAGGTACGTGGTCAGGTTGAAGGGTGGGGAAGTTGAGGCGGCTGAAGAGCTGTCTCCCCTCTCTGACGTCTCGGAGGTGGCTGGTACTGCGGGCCCGGCTTGTTTGGACCAGGACGGCCCGTCGGCTGCCCAGGCTGGGTATGCGCTCTCGGGGCCCACTGACGGTCTGTCGTCCCGCCTGGACCAGCAGTTCCTTGTACAAAACCAAGCGCGCCCAGAGGAGGAGAAGAGGGAGACTGGCCGGGTCAAGTGGAAGGTGTACATGGCCTATTATGGGGCCAGTGGTGGTATCTTGCCTTGGCTGCTGGCGGTGTTTTTGGTCGTTTTTAGCCACGGCATGACGGTAGCCCGAAACTGGAGTCTCAAGGAGCTTTCGCGGCACTCGACGGAGAATATCCCATTTGCGTTGTTTACTACGCAAACGACTGCGTCTTTAGGGTTCTGGTATCCGAAGCAGGTTGTCACTGACACCGATGATGATGATGGTATCAATGGGGTCGTTTTCTGTAAGTCTTGATAACATCTGACTGGTTGGTTAAATGCTAACCTCCAGGGCTGCTCGTATACATCGGAATCGAGCTCGGTAGCTCCGTGGTAGAGCTTCTAAGGGTGGTAGCCTTCTATTACATCGGGTTCGGTGCATCGAAAGCGCTCTTCCAACGCATGACCCATGCCATTCTTCGTGCTCCGTTGCACTGGATCGACACCGTCCCAGCTGGCCGTGTCATCAACCGCTTCACATCGGATATTTTCACGCTGGACAAGCAGCTGGCGCCGTATCTTTCCAATGCCATCAAGGCGTCGTTGTTTCTACTAGTTATTATTGCTGCCAGGTGAGTGAGCTTCCTCCATGCTTCGCAGTAGACGTTGAGTCGTCTGATGGGTCGTTAGTGTTACCGTCTCCGTCTACATAATCATCTTCGGGTCGATTCTTCTCCTTCTCTACATCCGCCTCGCGCACGAGTTCATACTCGTTGCCCGCCAAGTCAAACGAATTAACTCGGTCTCCCACTCTCCCATCTACGACCAGTTCAGCTCTGTCCTCTCCGGCCTGTCTACGATTCGCGCGTTCGGGCGTACCAACGACTACATGAGCCGCATGTACCAACTTATCGACAACGGTGCCAAGGCCACCTGGGCACTGGAGCTCTCCAACCGCTGGATGACCTTCCGTATGGGTGTGGTCGGAGCCTTGTTCGTCTCTATCGTCGCGACTGCCGTCTCCCTCAGGGAAGTCAATGCTGCCATGGCCGGCTTCAGCTTGGCATTCGCCTTGCGCTACACCAACGCTCTGACGTCGCTCCTTCAGGCGATGACCGCCGTCGAGCTGGGGTTCAATGCGTGTGAGCGGGTGCTGGAGTATGCTGAGATCGAGGCGGAGCCCGAAGGCGGGGAGGATCCTCCAGCTGCTTGGCCTGCTGAAGGGAGGATTGAGGTAAAAGAATTGACGGTGAGGTATGCGAAGAATTTGCCGCCCGTTTTGAATGGGCTGAATTTCACTGTCGGAGCGGGGGAGAGAGTTGGTATTGTTGGGAGGACGGGAGCTGGAAAGTCGACTTTGGCAGCGGTCTTGTTTAGGCTGCTTGAGAATGTTGAGGGGACTATCCTGATTGATGGGATTGATGTCTCGAAGCTGAAGCTTTCGCAGCTTCGCAGCCGGCTGGCCATCATTCCTCAGGATCCGTTCCTCTTTTCGTAAGTGCTCCTGAGTGGCTTGACTTCGTAACTCCGCTAAGGATTCTAACGGACTTGATTCCAGGGGAACTTTACGCTCGAATCTCGACATAGAAGACGTTCTCGAGGACCGTGAGCTTTTCGAAGCTTTGAAGCGCGTTCACCTCATCGAGGAACAGTTTCTGATGCCCTCTATACCCATGCTCATAGTCACTCCTTCCGCAAGCAGTTCCCGTTCAGCAAGCACATTGTCTACCCTTGGCTCCCGACATCCTTCTTCGTCCTCAATACGAAGCTCAAATCCTGGTCCCAACGAACTCAGATCAGAACCACGCCCAAATCCAATCCCACCTGTCCTACCCCGCAGCAACGTCCCTCTCCCCGTCGCCGATCCATCTAACCCGTTCTCAAACCTCTCCCTGCCTATCAACGCTGGCGGCCTGAACCTTTCCCAAGGCCAGCGCCAGCTAGTATGTCTTGCGCGTGCTATGCTTCGCCGGCCAAAGATTATTGTGCTCGACGAAGCGACCAGCGCTGTGGACCGTGCCACGGATACCATCATACAAGAGTCGCTGCGTGAGACGTTTGCTGCCACGGGATGTACTGTGCTGGTTATTGCGCATCGGCTGTCGACAGTGGCGGATTTCGATAGGGTGATGGTTTTGGATGGGGGGCGCGTTAAAGAGATAGGGGCGCCGAGGGAGTTGTTGATCCGGGGAATGAGGAAAGATAAGGAGAATGGGAGCAGAAGGCAGAATAGAGATAGTAAGAAGAATGAGGGTGGGTTAGAAGACGGTGTTGCAGGGGCGTTTTGGGAGTTGGTGAAGAAGAGTGCTGAGAAAGAGAAGTTAATAGAGATGATTTTGGGGGAGGAGAAGGATGGGATTATGAGGAGGTTTTTGAGTGACAATAAGGGGAAGCAACGTGAGGAGTGATACCCTGAGTTCTTGAGAACTATCTGGGAGTCTTCTTTGGCATTGCTGATGGGATGATTACCGATCTGGGTTTGAAACTTCATTGCTTTTTGGTGCGTAAGGTATCGGGATGGGCTGTCACTGTGGATAACAATGGGGGATTACAGTGTGGATATGGCTCCATGGATTTAGCAATGGAAAGTCAGGTAAGTTAGGTTTGTGAGCAGAACTCAGTTTGTAATAATACTAAGTATTGGATTTTCGTGATGCTATCTCACATATATTGATGGTGAGTCTGACATGAAAAGAGAAGTCATGAAGAGAAAACCTTGCACTGCAATAGACAAAGAGTACTGCATTCGTTAAAACAAACCGGATCAGAGGAGCTGCTGTAAAAAAATGTTGGTCCTTAAGCTTACTGGTTTTCTCAAACTTCCTTCTCTTTACCAGCAAATGGCTTCAACACAATAGGTATTAACCGGACTGATGGAACATCTGACAATGAAGTGGAGCCACTTTGTGAAGGAAGGAAGCTTCTCTCTGCGTTTAGATGGAACACTGCAAAGTGAAAATAAAATGCAAAGCAGATGTTACAGAAAAGGCTCTGTGGCAAAGTCTATGATCTATTGTCATATACGGCTTTTATCAGCTCTTAACAGCCGTTTATGTTTATGTAAAACCGTACCTCACAGCTCAGGACACAAGTAAGCATGTTGTAAACCTCAGCTTAAAAGATCACAATATCTCCCATATGACAACATCTAAGCTTCATGACTTAACTGCAAAACAATTAGCTATCCCGGTTTCTTTTTGCCTGTGTATGTATATTCTTCAAACCGAAGAACAAGACCAAGAAAAGCTTACAAACCTCCCAGTAAACAGGCGAAGCAATGGCAAAGCATGCAACACTCTGCTCATGTGTGTCCCAAAACATCACAAAGAAATTATTGAACAATTACGAAGCAACTCATTAAGCCAGGTACCAGACAAGCAATGAAGAAACCAGTAACCCAAGTCAAGCTCAAGCTTAAGCAAGCAAAGAGACAAGCAAAGTCAAACAAACCTGCAGCAACTACAACATAACGCAACGCTAAAACTAGCAGCAAAGCCAAAACTCCCCCTTCCCAAAAAAACGCAATTCTATGCTAATGAGGCGGTAAATTCTAGGGGTATCATGTACAGCAACAGAGACAAGCCTGCGAACCGACCCTTGAACGCCAGTCCATGCCAAGCCCCATTCCCGAAGCCCAAAGCGCAAAGCGCAAGCGTCAGCAGTCCCAGGCTAAGTAGGTAAATATAAGGTAAGGGACACCTTTTTTTTCCTAGATCAAGGCTCCAGGATCTCCTCCGCGCACAACATTAGGCGTTATGCAGGGCTTATCCTCCTCAGCCTTAAAAGTTCCCCAGATGAAACAATTAGTTTCCCTCCATCATCGGCCCTACCATCCATCCAATGATGATCAGGGAGAAAAAAGAAAAGAAAAAGAGAAGATAAGGGAAATTGTACAGGATATTACAGACAAACAAGCGCCATCCTCTCAGTTCTCATAAGTCATAACAGTCATCATATCTTCCCCATCGTATCATTCTCTTCAGCAAACAACCCCAGCAAATCTCAAACCCCCTCAGAAAGAGCCGCTTAGTGGCGCTCGATCTCGTCGTTGTCGTAGCCGGCGCGGCCATAACCGGGGCGGCCGGTGTCGAAAAGAGTCCTCCAACCACCGGTCCAAGAAGCCGCACCATAGCCAGAGCCGGTAGCCGAAGCAGAGTCAGAACCACCACGACGAAGTTCCTCCAGAGCGCTAGCGGCATACTCGCGCACGCCAGGCTGGTGCTGGTAGCGGGCAGTAGTAGACTCGTAGGTGCTGGCAGAGGACGCGCCAGCAGGGGCAGAAACGGAAAGCGAAGCAGAAGGGCCAGCGGAGGAAACTGAAGTGCCGAAGCCAGAAGAGGGCCCGCCACCAGAGCCCGAATTGAAGCCAGAGCCAGCAGCAGAAGCGGTGGTAGAGTGGTTGTGACTGCCGTGGGTGTAGCGGTCGTGAAGAGAGCCGGCAGAGACGACAGACGTGCGGGACTCGTAATGGTCGTTGAGGGAGGCACCAGAGGGGACGGCAGGCGAGCGAGACTCGTAGGCCGGAGCGGCCGGGGCCAAATGGTCGGCAGCGCGCTGGTCGTGGGCAGGCGCGGAACCAGGGGCTGAGCAGAGGTCGTGGCGGGACGCAGAGGCCAAAGGGGAAGCGAAACCGGAAGCACCCCCGCGGGCAGGTGCAGGCTCCTGGCGAGCAATCGGGGCTGGAAAGTAACGGTAACGGCGGGCCCGTTCCTGGTCGAGTTGGCGGCTGAGGTCATCACGGACGCGGACGAACCAGGCGATAGTCTTGTGAGCCTGCTCACGGAGGTTGAGGTGGGCGCGACGAACCGAGAAGACGTCCCAGAGCAGATCAAGGCCGAAGAGGCCACCCTCAGCGGAGCTTCCAGGCAGACGGCAGTTGTAATTGTAGTCTTGACGATAAACGTCAAGAAGGCGAGAAGAGTGCCAGGCGTCCATAAGTTGACGGTGGAGGACTTGGGCCTCCTCGTCATTGGCAGTAGCAGCCTCCTCGTGGCGGTCGGTGCAGGGGGCACGGGCGTAGCAAGCATACTAGGGAACCCAGGTTGTTAGCAGAGTTTTGATGATTGTGCAGCTCAAGAATCATCTGAAGATGTTGGAAAGAGAAGATGATTGTAGAAAGAGGGGGAGAAGCTGCGGTTGTCAGGGAATTTGTGAGAGGTAAGGTAACAAAGGCTAACGAGAAAAAGATAGTTTTGAATTTGGCGTGCACGACTTCAAATAAACCAAAGAAGCAGAAAGGTATTTGACAGGATGTTTGTGCACAAAATTGGACATGACGACAGGAGCTTGACAAGGCGTGTTCTTGACGATCTTGGTAGATATGTAAAAGATGAGAAGTTGGACGACATGAGAAGAAAGTGATAACAGGAAGACAAGACAATTTTGAGGGCGGAGGGAACAGCAAGAACACAAATATCTCATAGAAGAAAATGGTTGAAAGAAGTTTCATGATGTTGATGAAGAAATGGTGTTGAGGGAGTCAGGATGATGTTGATGGTGAAGCTTAAGACGATAATAGCGATTTCGACGAAAATTTTGTGATGATGCTGGTGCTGAAGAAAGAGTAAGAAAAAGAAAGTTAACTCACTTGATCATGGCCAAAGGCTTGATGAGTAGGGCCGGCATTGTAGGTCTCATGAGAACGCTGATGGTAGTCGTCGCGGGTGATCCAAGAACGAGCGGGCTGATCCCAATGAGTGGGAATACTAGTGCCGATGTAAGAGATAGCGTTGTCAGGTCGGCGACCAAACATGTCTTGGTAAAGATCTTCAACCATCTGGACACGGAAATTGTACAGTTGATTGTAGGTGTTATTGCCAGCATTAGCAGAAGTTGTCATCCGATTTTCGTGCTCAGTAAATTTGTCGGTGCGGGTCCAGGTGCGCATGCCCCGCGTGCTTAACTTGACTTCAAAATTGTCGCTGCGGCGATAAACGTTGTTATCGCCCCTGCACTGGGCAACCTGGTGCTGGCGGGTACTGTCGTCGAAGTTCCCAGGGATGGTATACACGGGTACCTCGGGAGCGCGACGGGAGAGGGCCGAATGCTCTTGGGGCTGGGTCCAGTTGTCGTTGCCGGTGGGCTCGGTGATGTTAGGTCGCTGGCGGCGGGTGTAGCGCTTGGTCTCGGCGGGTTCAGAGGACTCCGAGTCCTCGCTGGGCTCAGTCGCTGCAACACTCTGGTTGCGGGAAGTCTTCCGGCGCTGAGAGAGCCTGGAACCAGAGTTGCCTTCACAAAATCTCTTCTGCCGGGACGCCTTTTGAGGAGTCCAGTCTAGCAAATCAGGGTCGATGAAGTGCAGCCGGTCTGATTGCCACTTTCCCTCCCTTGCACATTTCTCACAAATGTGCAGTTGGCAACCAGCCGCCTGACACACGTAAAGCGTGCCGGGAGAACGAGCATTGCAAATATCGCACTTCGGAACGCGGCCATACTTTGGACACCAAGTCCTATGAGTGCGTCTAACATCTTTGGAGAAGTCGGCCAGCTCTGGATGGATTGACTGGCTACGCTGAGAAGATGGGTCTGTTGACTTGGACGGAGCGGACGTAGAGGCGCAGCTTGCCTGGCCGATGCAAGCAGAATCGACAACGGTCATCTGGCGCTGACGGTTCTGAGAGTCGTTGTCTCGAATGATCTCTTTTCCTTCTCCCTTATCTGGGCTCGAGGCAGTGTTGTTTGGATCCATTGCTGATGGATTACCAGAGTTTGTTGCTGGTGGCAGGTTAGCACAAATGACGGATGGTAAGTCGGTGATGAAAAGGCTACATCGAGGGTCGCGGAGGAGAGAGGGCTAAAGATATGGAGAATCTTTTGAAGATCGCAGGGAAATGTTGCTCTGGATGAGTAGGCGAGGTGAAAAATGTGTTGAAAGAAGTGCGAACTCGGGCGACTGGACTCGGAGGAGTGGCAATTGGGAGAAAGAAGCCTGAGATCAGGCGAATGGGAATGGAAGAGGGCGGCTGCGAAGAGAAAAGTGAGAGTTCGAGAAATCGAGAGCGGGCGGGGAAGGAAACAGGAGCGACATCGGGCAATTGGGAATGGCAGAGGATTTGAGAGAAAATTTTTGGGGATAAGGTGGCTGCTGGGGAAGATCGCGAGGTGCTTCTTTAGAACAAGATGATTGTGCAAATGAAGATCGAAAACTCACCTGTCAAGATCGCTAAAGTCGGAGGGCAGTGGTAGAAAGCCCGAAGAATACTTCGATGGCCGAGGGACCTTAGTGAACGACTCGCGCGCGATCAAGAGAGATGGTCTCAGAAAGCGTTGACACAGGCGGTAGGAGAAGGAAATAAAGTCGAGGGTGAAGGCCGAAGAAGGAGAATGCAGCTTGGCGAGGGTCGAAACAGTAGAAGTGGTAGTGAAGTTGAGTGGTGATGAAGGCAGGCGACGTTGAATGAGCAAAGGTAGTCGAGAACTTTGGGTAGATGAGAATGTCGCAGCAGGCCAGTTCTAAGCAATGTCCACTGCGATTGTTGTATGGTGGGAGAGTGCAAGAGTTGGGGGAAGGGGGTCGTCGTCGTTAGGTGGAAGGGAATTTATACTCCGGGAAGGGGGCTGTCGTCCGGATCAGCAACACTGGGGCTAGACGGAGGGCAGCTGCACAATAGCAAGTAAATGGAAAGCTGGAATAGATCAGGCGACAATAGCAATGAAGATGGGATCGCAAGGCACGCCGGTGCGGGTGATTGCGTGCGGCTTCCCTACTTTCTACCTTTTTTTCAGGCCAAGTTGAGACCGCAGAGCAGCTGCCACTCCAAGATCCGACGGCAGCGTTGTTCTCGATAAGGTCCCAATGCCAGGGCGAGAGGTGAAGCCAATACGTCATCATTGTCACATTGTCCTCTTCCACGCTATTTCGCTGTCGAAACTTTCTTTCAGAACTTGATCAGGGTGAGACGAGGAGGCAACCAGTCGACTTTCTGACAGCAGCTATGCGAACGATGAAATCCAATGTTCAATGTGAGAGGCGAAACTGACACGTAATCGCCGTCCAGATATTTTTCTTCAACGTTATCTTGCCGTCGAAACTTTCTTTCGAATCTCTGTCGAGTTGGCCCCTTCCCACCCTCCCCGAGAGGCAACCACTCGATGATTCGACGGCAGTTAGGGCAAACGATGCGGTCCAATTCTCAAAACGTGAGGTAGAATTGACACGTCATCACCGTCCCGAGCCATTATTCAACGCAATCTGGTGGTCGGAAGTTCTTTCAGAACTTTTTCGAGGTCATACCCCGATGATCTGACATGTTTTCTCGTGTCAAGGAGTTGAAAGAAACTGGAAGGTCCATTGCCAGATCCGCCTGGTTGTCCTAAGTCGCTTATCGTTGAAAGCCATTGATGTTTGCCTTCAATGAAGTCATTTTGATAGTGGATTCTGACGTTTCAATCTGTGTTGGAGAGTATATCACGAGTGCTGCCATTGATACTGAGTTCCCCTCCCCAATGGACACGACTCTCTTGCGTCTGGAGGACGTTGGACAATCGACTCCATATTGTAGATGATGTTTTTAAAGTCCTTTGAAGTTGAACAAGACATTCTTATTGCTATTGATGGTAACTGGGCTCAGAGTCATCGGAGTGTTTCGAGCCTCAGCTGTCCAAGCAACACGAACATGTCACGCATGACATTTGTTGGACAAGCATCTGTGTTAACAGTTATGTGTTTGCCAACAATTGACCAGAGCATTTTGTACCATGATGGTAGTCAGTAAACATCCCTCACAATAATGACATACAAAAGTAAACAAGAGGCCAAAGTACAGACATCACCTTTCAGGGGTTCAGGGGCTCAGGGGCTCATCCGTGTTTGCTTACTTCACGTCCTTCACAGCATATCCATTGAGTTTTGTACAAGGGACAACTTCGTGAACCAAAATGCACAAGAACATTGTTCACATGGTTTAGATAGATCCGATTGAAAGAATTATTCCTCGAACGAACAATGCATCAAGAACAAAGAGTGAAAAGCTGTTCCATCGCAGATATAGCTTTTGGCTACCTGTTGGGAATGGAGCACTCGGCAAAAGTAACCATGCAGACAGCCACATCGAGAGCCGCATCGAGAGCCACATCATGGGTGGCTAACAGGCTGGGCAGACGTCAGATATGGATCGTTATAACACCAATCCAGCAACAGGTTGTAGAGCCACGGACTGCATAACTACCTACGGTTTAGTGGAAAGATAGCCCAAGAAATGTCCATTTCAGGAGTTTAGTCAAGTCAAAGTTGGTGCATTTAAGAAGATACATACACTACACTACATCCACAAAGTCATGATCATCGTTTTTGACCCGATTTTATCTAAAGACATCAGGGACGTCAGGTACATCAGGTGAGCATGAGTTCACAAAACCCTATCCTCGGCAGCACCCAGCGCGGTCTGCTGTGATCAGCAAGCCCGAGATCGTCATGCTACCCCACTTTGGGCGCATTGTATTTCCCACACTGGCTTAGTGAGGTTTCGCCGCCGACTCGATGATTCGCCAATTGCCCGGATTTAGCTTAATGAGCCCCACTCCGTGAGGGCGTCCGCGTCGCGTTTGCTTTATGTCTTTTCGCGTCCGCGACGCGTCAGGTTCTTTCTGGGTCTCTCGTCTGCCCTCGCCTTCGTGAGCCCTTTGGGTCTCTACACTTTCCTCAGGTCGGCTGGGCTTGGGGCTTCTGCCCTACTCATGCCTTTTTCAATGCTCTGCTGTGCATACCCGCCATCCCCGCATGCAAGCCATGCAAGCTGCAGTTCTAGCAAGCTTGTGATAACTGGTTTGAGCTTCTTTGTCCAGGGTACAATAGAGGGCAATTTTGGTGTTAGTGTCACCACGGCGCGGAAGCCACCTGGACTCGATTTGGGCAGCTGATTCGTTGGCAAACCGTAGCAAGCGAGGGCAGCAAAAATTACCTTTATCTACAACAGGAGAGAAAAAGAGAGACAAGACTCTCTTCCCTGCACCCGGCCAACACTCTCCATCCTTTCCATTGTCAGTGTAACACAGACCTCGTCGGTGATGACCCGGCTCAACGGTCTTCCACGAACAGCCGTTTCCCGCCCTGCCATGCAATGGAAATGGAACCCCATGACGTCGGGCAGCCGGCATATTACGTTCATCATCACTACTCTAGCCCTTTGATATGCATCTTTTTCAGCCTGCTTAGATGGATGACGCAAACAGTCGACCGCTCCATGCCGCTAGGCTGCCCATGATGATGTTAGCACCCCGTCCAGAGCAGCGTTCGCTGCTCGGCCGGACGAACTGGAGAATTCGGTCATAGCCAGCTTGATGGCCTTGGTGATAGGCAGGTACTGATAAGGTATACACATACACATGCCAAAGCGACTTTCTGCTACCCATGGGATACTGCCATCTACGGAAAGGTCACATCCGAATCTAGCGGTCCGTCCCCTCCCGAAAGCCAGGCCCAGTGTAAGAGGGAGGAGACGGAGACATCGAGCGATGATGTGCGCCCGCTTCCAGGACCATCCTTGCAAAGTCATGGTGGTTGGGTCGTTCCTAAGGGCATCTGCAACCAGACGCAGGGCAGAATCGCTAGACGGGCAGTATGCAACATAGAGTTCTGCCGATGGTGTAATGTGCATGTGCCTGGCTCCTACACGACTGAAGACCTTCTTATGCCTAACTACCTACTCGAAGCTGGCAGAGAACAGAATTGGCGTTGTGAGACAGAATGAGCGATAGTGCTGGACAACGCTGCATGTTGCTCGGCCTGAGTCCTGAATGTGCTGTGTGAGAGGGTGGTCGCAAGCCAAGCAAGGTCACGAGCAGCAGGTCATGGCAGACCGATAAACCGACCGCAGTCGACGGGTGCCTGTCATCGGAAATGGGAATAGGAATGGCAATGGATAGAGGAAGGAAATTCGCCACGGCAGAGTCAGAGTTAGTTGGGATTTCAATGCTTTGCCCCGCAAACAAACCAAACCCCATCGAGCAATTCTGTTTCCATCCGCCTGCAGCACGACGACACACACGACGTAATTCACAATCTCACACGCGACACCCGAGCGGAGAGGGAAGAATCCCTCGCTCTCTTTTAAAAAAAAAAGGGCTCCATTTTGGTCACCTTTTGTTAAGTGCTTGCATAAGTGGGTCTGTTGGAGGGCATCAGATGGCAATGGCGAGAGGGGTCCCTTGCAGGCAAAGCTGCCCTCTCATTGGCCAGCCTGCCTTTTGGGGCCCGATGCGAAGCCCTGTCACAGTCCGTCATGTGGTCCGTTTTCTGAGGCTGGGAAACCCCTGCCAGTGGTCTTATTAGGCGCATTATGTCCTGCTTTAGCGGTCCCCCTCCCAACCCCAAACCCCCAAAGTTCCCCCCCCGTTTTTCTTTGCTTCTTCAGTCGCACACCCCTTGCGCGTGTACACACCGACCTTTTCGCGGTTTTCTCTCCAGTGAAATCTGCAACCACTTTCAATCTGCGATCTCAAGCGTACTCGTCGTCTCAATCGGCGTCGTCTCTTACTAATCTCTAACGCTCTGCGACCGCGCGCCTTGTTCGATTGCCGCACTGGGATTTTGAGCCGTTCGTTCGTCGCACGACCAACAGCTGTTCGCATCGCCGCTGCGCATTTCAGACCCGTCGCAAACCTTCCATTTCCGGGACTTAGAATCGCCATTTATTCGCGCAGTGCGTTCTCACTCTAGAAATCCTTACCTCTCGTTGTCTTGCGTTCAACTCCTTTCCAACCTCGTCGCATAGCGCCTCCCCCGAATCGCGCAATCGCGACAATGTTACTACCCTCCGCGCTCCCATCCGACTCCTCCCAACAACCCTGGACTCAACCTCAGCCTCAAACTCAAGCTCCTTCTCCTGCTCCTCCTCCGCTCATGACGCGCATACAGACAGCCCTGTTTAACTCCCCTCCTCCTAGCCCTCCTCGGCTTTCGACCGAGAACGCCTTCGGCAGCGTCTTTAACTCGTGTCGCACCCTCCAAGCGCTCATCGCAGCCGGTAACCAGCCCTCTCCGCCCCTCGAGCCGAGCGTTGAACCGATTACCCCGCCTGATTTGTCCTTCTCAGAACTGCCGACCCCGCCTTTGGCGCCCGCGGCGTCCCCTCCACTGAAGCTGCGCTTGCGCGCTAGGAGGACGGAGAATAATAAGGATACAACTGGAGCAACGAATGGTGAACATGGCCCACAGAGAATGAAGATCCATAAGAGGTCGGCCGCGGGAGGTACGGCGAGGGGACATGGACTCAAGCGGAGGAGACCAGCAGTCGAAGAAGATACCCTTGCGAGGGAAAGCGCGGGAGAGGAATCAATGAGTGATATTGAGGGAGGACAGCTTCTTGGTTCTGCGACAAGCAGCTTCAGCGCACAGCCACATCTACCACGAGAGCAGAAACTCCCTCCATTACCAAGGACCCCGCGCCGCTCGCGCATCGCGCCTGAAGTCCTTCCCCTCGGACTGGAGCGCTCCGATTTCCACACCCTCGCATCAGAGCAAGGACCACAAGTAAACAATGAGCCGAAGGGAACAGACATCGTCACCGAGTCCGACGGGTCGACCTGGAGTATCGAAGAGGATCGCGTACTCGTCGAGTTAGTACTGGAGAAGCTAAAACTCTCCAAGGAAGATTGGCAAGATTGCGCGCGCAGTCTGGGCAAAGACCGCAGCAGTCTCGGAAGGAGATGGAAAAGTCTTATGATCAACGGAGATATAGGGCTGAAGAAGAACGGGAGTAGGAGGGCGAGGTTGTATGGGACTTGGCGGTGATTTGTTTCCTCTTTTCTGATTGTTTGGTTTGGTCCGGTTTGCTTCTTATGATTCTGGAGGAATGGCTGTATTTGCCTTGTAATATCGCCATTTGGAGGAGTACTGGCTACTGCTGGATTGGTTTTATTGGCTTCTTGCTACGATATTTGCTTCTGGAGGGCCGGCGCGGGAGAGGTCGCATCTTCTTGGGATATGGTGATTGGGGGTTGAGTAATGGGATTGAAGATGGGTAGGCGTTTCGTCATCATGATATTTGATGGGCTTTATGTGGTGATGAGAGATGTGATTCCCGCTACAGGCGGCTTCATGTACGGCTGGGAATGACTTGATACTGCTCACAAGTCGCGAAACACACTGTAGAATCTCGACGCTGCGCAAAGCAGCCAGCCTGCTTCAATATTAGTTTTTCAATTTTTTTTTGCTGTCTGCCCTTCACCATCCTCACCTTGGTCTGGGTGTATCGACATCCCGCACGACCTGTACGGATTTTTTTTTTCCTTCCCTGAAGCGTTTTGTTACCGTCCCCCACCATCCACCTCCGCTTTGACACTCTGACGCCAGCAGCGGCTTGCCTGCCGCCATGATCGCGTATCGCGGGTGCTATTCCCACTTATCGCAGATCGGTAACCGAACGAACCGTTCCCTTTGATTTAAAGCCACAGGGATGTATGCACGAAATACCTGGAGCACACTCAGCCAAGAAAGGGACCAGCCAACAACAGAGCAAAGTTGATTCGGGGCGAGCCGAATGAGCTCCGAGCACCGAGATCTCTAAGTTCTACGACCACCAACGAAACACAAACTTAAGCATCAACGTTCGTATGATTATCGTCGCCTATTAAGCAGGGAGCCGTTAAGCTTACACTCGGAGAAAATCAAACCCTAACAAGCATGCCACCTTCGTCGAGTCTCATCGCTGCGGGACACGGGCGCAGACCCCAGGGAGATGAAACATCGCGCTTTGACACAAACTAACCTGCCAGCCGCGAACACGGTTGACGCTCGACAGTGGCGGCTGCACAGAACGGTTAAGCTGTTGCAGTGAGATAAGCGAGACAGCTCACTGCCTACCATTTCTTACCCACGGCAGATGGAATGATTGGGTTCAGGGTAGGAAGAAGAAAGGTAACGGTGCAGTAAAGTAGGAAGCTGACTAAGGTGTTGTTACTGACAATATCGACTGTGCCGCCTTCAACTTGTGCTAGGCACTGATCTTGATCGTGGGCTTTTAGCGCATGGGATTTTAGGACTCGAAACTAAAAATAAGTTTCTTCATGCTACTCCTTGCGCGTCGCTCTACCTGCTTGAAGAAGACCCTGCAGTAGCACCCCGTACATACCGTCCTTGTAGGTGCAAATCTTGAAGCTGGAGCGAGATGCAGGACCCTGTCTTAGCACAATGCTCCGGGCTTCTTGTTTACCCCTCCACGGTCCAAGCTCAAGGACATGGAGTGAGATAAAATATAACTGAAGATGATAGTAGTAATCGAAGACCAAAGTGAAAGGCCCTTCCAAACCCCATTTAGAGCACAGTCGCTGATCAGCTAGAAGCCATTTGTTTCATAGAAGGTTGAGCTGAGCTCATCATCCCTTGAATTCAGGGACTTGCCCCTCGCAGGATGTGTTCCTGCTCTGGACTCGAACTGCAGAGCCGAAGCGCATGCAGGAACGCGCTATTGTATGCAAGTATTTGGGTTTAGGCTTTCCATTACGCAACGGCGAAAGTTGCGACTAATATTTGAACTTTGAACTGTTAAAGCTTTCCGAGGGCACGGATGTTTTCATGTTTCAGTGGGCAGGAGAGAGATAGATGCCGCAATTTTGCTGCACCCAGCCTCAGGATGCGATTTTTTTTTTACAGCAGATACGCTTTCTTCCTTATCTGAGAAAGATGCTGGGAACGTGTTGTTCAGTGCTCGGTTGGCATAACTTCATTAACCACGAAGTGTTGTCCAGCTATGGAGGGCCAGCTACGATCCCGCAAGCCTCGAAACCAGACGGCTTGTCAACTTATTCAAAATTATTTCAGCTGGCGTTACACTTTGCTTGTGGGGAGACCTGTTGGCAAGCCTTTTTTTGCACTTCTTCCTTGCTGCCAACGATTGTGATGGAGAGCTCAACTTCGCCAAAACCGATAAGACTAATGCAAGAGCGGGAGAGAAACTCCTCTGCGTGAAATTTAGGCGTATGACTTTTACATGGAATTCGAACTGAAGCAGCTTGGCCGTTATAGCCAGCGGAATGGTTGCAGAATGCAGACGTTAAGCTTCTCTTCAGCGGTTTGACACGGCTGAGATGCGTCTTCAGTTCTTTGTCAGGAGTCGATGGGGTCAGGGCGTTGGGTCGACAGCCATCAACTCCACAGATCACATCCTCCAAATCATCAATCAAGATACTAAAACTGTTACAGTTTAGCTGACTTGAACCTGCTCAGCCGTTGAAAGCAGAGTGAAAACACACAAAAACATCACACTTCCTTAGATAAAAACAAGACCCCCGTCCATATTGCATTACCAACCATCCAACACAGTCATGTTGATGTACATGCCCTTGTTAGGTCTGGCGGTGATCCCGCCTCCGATCTTGACATTCTTGTAAACCGCCAGCTCTGGGTCGTGCAACTCCATTTTGAAGCGGCCTACCCAGGCAGCCAGGAGACACGTGAACTCTTCCTTCGCAAAATTCTGACCAATACAGCCCCGCGGCCCATGCAAGAAAGTCAAGAAGGCTAGTTTGCTTACAGCAACCCCAAACGGTTTGATATTCTCAGTTTCCCTGTCGCCACCATCCTCAATGGGAGAGCGCGCCGGAACAGTCTTGAGCCACCAGCGAGGATTGAAGTGCAACGCGTCCTTGCTCCAAAGCCTCTCACTCTTATTAATCGCCCAGGGCACAAGAAAGACTTCTGACCCAGCCGGGATGTGCACATCTCCAATCCTTGTGTCGCGGATCGCCACGCGCGCGGTCAGTGGCAGGGGAGGAAAACACCACAGTACTTCGAGGCAGACGGTGGTTAGATAGGGTAGGCGGTCGATGTTGTGCTTTGTGATACCTTGCCCCCAGGCCGGCGAGGGGAGGTTTTCTCGGACTTCCTGTCGCAATGTTTCTTGGATATCGGGGTAAACTGCTAAGAGGTAGATTACCCAGGTCATTGCCGCAGCCGTCGTCTCGTGGCCCGCGATGAGGAAGGTCATCAGCTGATCGACGAGGGCCTCCGTGTCATGGTAAAAATGCATCTGACTGGAGAGTGACAGACAGTATATCCAACCCCCGTCAGCTTTCCTTGCGTCACCAGCTGAAGCTTCCTTGATCAGCTGCCGACACACATTGCGAACGGACTTGACACCAGCCTTGATATCCCTATTCGCCTTCAGTGGCACCAAAGACACCACCCACGGAGGGAAGATCATCCCCAGGATAAACAACGTCCAGCTGTGAGAACTCGGCGCAAAGATCTTGCTGTACGCCTGGATGAGTTCCCCTTCCGGGCTCTTCAGAGCCTGAAAATCGTGCCCTAGCCCCGCAACACCGATAATATCCAGCGTCGCGCGAGATGCCCAACCTGAGACCTCGACCGTTCCACTGACAGGATTGCCCTTCCCTGACGCTTTCGGTCCCCAGTCGTCTTTGTGCCGTGTGCTGATGTGTTTAATTAACTCTGCCACGCACTCGCACGCCTTGGCCCAAAAGATGGGGTACAGATCGTCGCGGATGTGGCGAGATTTGAAAACAGGCGTCAACGCCTTGCGCTGGATGCGATGTACGTCGCCTTCGGCAAAGTAAAGGCCGAAACCGAGAATTCGACCAAGGTTGGTCCTGAAGTGTTTAGGCTTCTCCCAGTCGTAAGCGCGGTTCACAAGAACATCCGCCAAGGTCTCTGGGGTCGTTAGGAAAAAGCGTCCTCGATTGAAGGGGCCAAGGTATCGGATGGTTCCATTATTAGGAATGGCCCGCAACCTGGGAGGAAGTCAGCATCAGCCTTTTTCGCTGAGAGATGAAAGTGGAGGTATGGAGGGCAGAGGAATACCAATCGATATGCGGCTCTCCAGTCACTGACTTGGTTAGTCTGCTTGTTTGCCCCATAAACATTGAATTGCCTCCAGGGCCGGGTAGGCACCGCAAAGGGGAAAAATACAGAGGATGCAAGATTACATCATAAACCACTTCGCATAGCAGTTTTACTGCTCAGAGAGGTAGGAACAGACCCAAAAAGTTAAACCTTTCTGTCCCTGGAATGAGACCCAGGGAGAGGGCACAACTCGTCGCCAGCAAGATGACGGTCGTCTTGCCCCTGCGACAAGGCATGGTCACTGATATCGATTTTGGCTGAAGGAAAGAAATGGGAGTAACAGTCTGCGTAAAGATCGACTGCCCGTGGAAGTATATGATCTGCAGTAAGTGCACTGAGTAAAGCATTGCAAATGTGATGTGAAGCAAATCAGCACTGACTGGCTAGATATTTAACCACCACATCTCACCCATCCTTTCATCCTCCTAGCGTTGGGAAGAGCCCAGAGCGTCGAGAGCTCTACCGATGCTACTGCTGCTCGGTTCTGCCATGCACCGTCATCTTCCACGACATCCTCCTTCTTCTTCGACCTCTTTCCGCTGCATCGGCAGGCAAGGAGGCTGTACATCGACCCTCCAGTACCATAATGCACTTGAATGACTTGACGCGATCTGACGTAATCCGGATCATGCTCCCCGCAAGGATTTGCAGTTTTGGTGTCGCGAACCTATTCGCTTTTTATCACCTGCATCGAGCTCAGAGCTTCTCAAACAGCACTAAGCGATGTTTCCTCTAATTGATCGGTTGGCACCGAGCGATCGAAGCTGCGATTTTCTCCCCCCCCCCCCTCTCCCCCCAAATGCTCTCTCAACGATTTCCAATCGGGGTTTGAGCGAGCGGCGAGCGATCCCGGCTTCGGTCATGTTGTGTGTAAACAGAGTACGAGCAGCGGTCTGAGCGGGCGGGATAAACTCGGCAGACGGACGGACGGGCAGATGGAGCCAGCCGAATCAATTGTTTCATGCGAAACCCGGATCACAGTAATTTTTTTCTAGCCGATCGCCGAGCGGTCCGAACCGATCGGGATGTGGTTGCGATGGCTTCGGAAGACTGCTGTTGGCAGCAAGTTGGCGATCCAATCATGGAGGAGAAATGGGTGGGACGGCGCCTTATTGTTGACATGGAGATGGTGCCGGAACTGATAGAGTTTAGCAAGCTAAAAGGAGAGAAGAGCACGTTCTTATTTTAGGATTAAAGTTTATTGAAGTTCTCCAGAGTTACATTTGTTCACAAAAGAGGAATGGGTCGGTTTTGAAACTAAGTTCTTCAGGAAGCGGAGAATCATCCCAGATAATTTCAACTCGTCAACTCGATATTGGATGAAGACAGGTATATCCTTAAGCCTACATAGACAGTTTAATATGACAAGAAGGTAAAAGCACCCTGTTACATCTTAGGTTAGAAAGAACATTCGTAAAGTTGACTCTCGACAAGCGTTCTCTCCGAAGAACAGTCCAATTCTTTAGCCAAGAGCCCCTTCCTCACCCTCGCCGGCGCCATCCAAACCGCACCTGCTAGCAAAACCCCTAACCCCACCGCCAAACCTTCTTTTGGCGAGAAGAAAGCAACAGTCATATCCCAATGTCCCCCTGAGAGACTCTCAGAACGCATCACCATCCATACCGGCTACCGTCCCGGTCTCCTAGGCCGCACGCTCTCCATGCATTTGGCCTTCTACCACTCTCTAACAGGCTGGGGTCGTTTGTTCGAAGCGAAGCTGGCAATTGGAATTGGAGACCTTTTGACGAGGTTGGATCAACCTGTGAATGAGGTGTGGTTGGCAGTCCTCTCCCCTAACGCTTCCTCTCCGAGTCCAGGGAATGGTGCTGGTGTTGGCCAAGACAATGTTGAAGGAGAGATCGTGGGCGTGATCTACATCGACGGCGAAATTGAACGCCAACCCGACGTGGCTCGCGTAAGATGCTTCATCGTCGATGAGTCTGTTCGCGGACGGGGTGTCGGGAGAACATTACTTCGGAAGGCGATGGAGTTTGTGCGAGAAAAAGGGTTTCGCGAGTGTAGGTTGTCGACGATGAGGGAGTTGACAGCCGCGAGAAGGTTGTATGAACGGGAAGGCTTTAGGCCGGAGGGAAAGGAAGTGTGGTTCGAAGAATTTGGGACGGGGGTTTGGGAGATGAGATATGTTTGGCGACGGGAGGATTGTTCGGAGGAGAAGGGACAGGGGAGCTCGTTGTAGAGTACTGTTGAGGGCCTGGCGTTCTGTTTTTGACATGAAGATGAGATGAGTGTATGCCCAATCCTGTGATAACCTTCAAATGTTTCTCATCATTAAGACCGCAGTAAAGCCTTAACAGCCCCCAATCCCCAACTCACAAGCTTCCAACTCATCCACATCAGCCCCAAACTGATCACTATCAACCCAATCATCACCCAGCGTCTCATCTCAAACGCCTCTTCTGCTTCCATTCTCAGCAACTTTCGCTGATGGCTATGATAGTAATCATCATCCAAACCGCCCCTAGTTACCCTTCTCTTCCTTGCGGGCGCCTCATCTTTGAGTCTCTGCCCAGGTGAAACCCCTGAAGAATTTCGGTCGGTAGTAGTAGATCGAGACGGCTGGTAGAAGATGGCGCGATGCAACCAGCTCGGTACACGAGGAGGGTTCTGCTCGCCATGATAGTGCGCGCGACGAGCGGTGTTGCGCAGGTCAACTAGGGCGAGGGAGATGAGGAAGCTGATGAAATAGAGGGGAGTTGTGATGAAGGTTATCGGGTTTTCGATGAACTGGCTTGATGTTAGCTTGCCTGGATTCTTTTCAAGAACCACTGTTCTTTGCTGAGGGGATGGGACAACCGACAGTGACCTGAGTCGGACAGATTATGGGGAGCTATACCTTATAAATTCGTGATGTGAAGCTCTCTTGGGTATCGCTCCGGTTGGGAGCCACGGTTACTGGTGGTGACATGACTCGTGAATGAAGCACGTCCAGTACGTTTGCAGTAACTTTAGCGATTATTGCACTCCGTCGCCGTCAACTGACAGGCATAGGGATTGGGCGGCTAGCTACAGCCTGGCAGCCTGAAGAGAGATGGCAGATGATGTGGTCGTCAGCAGGGATGTGACACAGCCCCTCACTCAAGGCTCATTGGAGTGGGCGGCCAATAAACGGCTGCGAGCTCTGGGAGCAACATCACCTGCTCAACCGTGTTGGATTCTTCCGACGGCGATTTTATACTCAAAATTTGACGTCTTCGAGAAAATTTTTGATCCTGGAATTTTATGCTTTCTCGATGAGTCGTGGAAAGAACACTACTAGTGTGAGACCAGACCCTCCCTCGTCGTGGCCTCGGTGGAGCCCCGCCGTCATGCCGATGCTTCCGATTGTGATGACTCCCGCAAACACTCGCCACAACAGCATCACAAACCTCAGCAGTTGGAAACGGATTACTTGGAAGATGGATGAACTTTTTGATTGAGATATTTACCATTCTCTACACAGCCATTGGGCCCGTATCTTCCCTTCAAGGAAGAGCAATGCACTCAATCTCAACATCCACACCCTTGGGCAGCTGCTTAACAGCGACGCAGCTGCGCGCCGGCTTGTGGGTGAACCACTTGGCGTACTCTTCGTTCATGCTCTGAAACCCTATTTAGCAAAACGTTCATGAACCAATTGGGTCTTGAAACAGGGGGCACTCACAGCAAAGTCACCCATATCCGCGAGGAAGACGTTGACCTTGACGACCTTCTCGAGGGACGAGCCGGCCTCCTCAAGTACAGCCTTCAGATTGTTGATACACTGACGAGTCTTTTCCTGGATGGTGCCCTCAATCAGGTTGCCCTCAGGGTCGCAGGGGATCTGACCCGAGCAGTAGATGGCAGTAGGAGTCTTGATGGCCTGGGACTAGAAGGGCGTGAGTATCACAACTGGGCTAGCCTTACATCATTGGGTTGAGGAGAGCTTAGGAAGACGTACGTAAGGGCCAGCCGCTGTGAGGTGTTAGCCATAGATCATATATCAAAACATGAAAACATAAGAGCAGCCAGCGCCAGCAGGCACCGGGCAGCTCAAGTTAGGATGGTACATACGGGGAGCAGCGTTCTTTGTATAAACCGGAGTAGCAGACATATTGGAGCTGAATCGAACGTTCCGACTGAGACTCAAGGCAAAGGCTTTTGTTGGAGCGGAGCGGATAAAGACAGGAAGAGCTCGCCTGGTCGTGGTGACAGCCAGCACAGGAAACATGGAGAAGTCTCAGCAATCCCGAGCTGGAGAAGGGGAACGCAGGTCTCCGGTTCTCCACGGGCGTGATTTTGCAATGCAGGTTCCGCTGCTAACCTCCTGTTGGCCTTGCTCCGTTCTTCGGATTGCGGAAAGGAGGGGCCCTTCGATGGAGGGGTCCAACAGAGGCGGGTCGGGACTTCGACCCCGCGACCCACGCCCCTATAAAGGAGCTGAAGCTTGGCTGGGGCGGGCTGCTGGCCAGTTGCAGGACCTTAGGTAGCTCTACCTAGTGCGGTCACGCTATACAGTTGATATTCGTGATAGTCCGCCCATTGTTGCTTGTGATATTTCTTCTGTTCTCTACCTATTGACATCCTGAAAATCATGTGCCCTGGATCTTCCTCAAAGCATCAAGTTCCATATCCTGCGTTGACATTTTGTGCCTTCCGTTACTGGATGAGGGAGAAGTACCAAATATATAGTAACTCTCTGGAGCAGCACCAAACGCTCAGCAGTAGAACATAGATGAAATTATAACTTCTAATTTTGTAGATTTGTGGTAATTCAGAAAAATCTCTGTATCTTTAGTCTTTATCAGGATGGTTTTGGGGACCAGATCAAATCCAACGATGAAATGCACATGAAAAATTGGATCTAAACTGGGACGGGGGCTTTCATGAAGCTCGAGCTGGAACAGGGGTCAAAGCCGCCCCACCAGCCCCATGGCGCCACACCAGAGCGCCAAACGTGGCCCGAGCTCAACTCCTGGATCTAGGTTGCGACAGGTGGCCAGAAAAAAAGCAGTGGAGCCAAGACCGAGCCATAAGCTTCTTCACACGTTGGCTGTCAGCCTTGTCGCAGCCAGATGCAGTGTTAAAGGGGGTTCATGTCCCCATCCCAAACTTTCGTCGTCAGCCGCTGACGCGACATCACCACCATTCTATACCCAATTTTCACTCTATTGTTTGTTTGAACATTACCGTCTTCTACTTCTCGACTGTCGTTAATCATCTCTTTCTCTGTGTCTTTCCTTTCTTTCCTTTGTGATTTCGAGGAGTTACTACGTCATCTGCTGAGCATCTGGCTGAGGTGAGTGAGCTTGACTCCGTGTCCATCTTCTCTCCTGCTTTGTGTGACCTTCCATCCCTGGGGATTTTCAAGTGCTTGATTGAGTAGATACAGTCCGATAGTTTGAACCATATCTCCTCCATGTTTGACTGCTCGTCTCCACCAATTGATGATATTCTCGTATCCCCATCCTAACCCGACCTAGCTAACACCCTCCCCTCCAGATCCAAACCTGCCATGGCTGGCTCTCCAGCGCCTCAAGGCGCTTTGCGCCAACGGATTGTGGCTTCCACTCCCAAAAAGACAAAAGAGTCAAAAGATGGTGCTGCCTCGGACGCCGAGCTGGACAAACTCGTGAAAGAAGCTGCAGCAGCTAAGGCTCCTGCTGGCTCGGAGCGCGACTACAAGATTGCCTTCGCTATCATCACTGCCCTGGCCTTCCTCACCCGCTTCTGGGGCATCAGCCATCCCGATCAGGTCGTCTTCGACGAGGTCCACTTCGGCAAGGTTGCTATCCTGCGCTATTACACACTCTGCGAGCCATGCTGACCCTCCCCAGTTCGCCTCATACTACCTCCAGAGGACATACTTCTTTGATGTGCACCCCCCGCTCGGCAAGCTGCTGTTCGCCTTTATGGGCTGGCTGGTTGGATATGATGGTCACTTCCACTTTGATAACATCGGCGATCCTTATGTCATCAATAAGGTGCCCTATGTCGCCTTCCGCGCCCTGCCTGCGATTCTCGGTTCCCTGACAGTCTCGGTCGTCTTCTTGATCATGTGGGAGTCTGGGTACAGCCTGCCGGCTTGTATTCTGGCCTCTGGCCTGGTTCTGCTGGACAATGCCCACATCGGTCAGACCCGGCTGATCCTACTTGACGCTACCCTCGTCTTCGCCATGGCGTGCAGCTTGCTCTGCTACATCAAGTTCTACAAGCTGCGCCACGAGCCCTTCTCGAGGAAGTGGTGGAAGTGGCTGATCCTGACTGGCTTCGCCCTCTCCTGCGACATCTCCACCAAGTATGTTGGTCTGTTCGCCTTCATCACCATCGGCTCGGCGGTTTGCATTGATCTCTGGGACCTCCTGAACATCAACCGCCCCAAGGGTGCTCTCACTCTTCCCCAGTTCGGCAAGCACTTTGCTGCTCGCGCGTTCGGCCTGATCTTCATGCCATTCATGTTCTACCTCTTCTGGTTCCAGGTTCACTTCTCCATCCTGACCCGCTCCGGTCCCGGCGATGACTTCATGACCCCTGAGTTCCAGGAGACCCTCAGCGACAACATCATGCTTGCCAACGCTGTCACTATCGACTACTGGGACACCATCACCATCAAGCACAAGGAAACTAAGGCCTACCTGCACAGCCATCCCGACCGCTATCCTCTTCGTTATGATGACGGCCGTGTCTCTAGCCAGGGCCAGCAGGTCACCGGCTACCCCTTCAACGACACCAACAACTGGTGGCAGATTCTCCCTGCTGGTCCCTTTGAGGAGCCCAAGCTCGGCCGCCACGTCAAGCATCGCGATCTCGTCCGTCTGCGCCACGTCGGCACTGATACCTACCTTCTGTCTCACGACGTCGCGTCGCCCTACTACCCCACCAACCAGGAGTTCACCACCGTCTCCTTCAACGAGGCCTACGGCGACCGCGCGGCCGACACTCTCTTCGAGGTCCGCATCGAGCACGGCAAGCCCGGTCAGGAATTCAAGAGCATTTCCAGCCACTTTAAGCTGATCCACAACCCCAGCAAAGTCGCCATGTGGACACATCCGACGCCCCTTCCCGACTGGGGCCACCGCCAGCAAGAGATCAATGGCAACAAGCAGATCGCTCCAAGCTCGAATGTCTGGTTGGTCGAAGACATTGTGTCACTTCCCGCAGACCACAAGCGTCGTGAGAAGCCCGAGCGCAAGGTCAAGACGCTGCCTTTCCTGAGGAAGTGGTTCGAGTTGCAGCGGTCTATGTTTTGGCATAATAACCAGCTGACGGCGAGCCATCCGTATGCTTCGTTGCCGTACCAGTGGCCTTTCTTGCTTAGAGGTGTGAGCTTCTGGACGAATAGTGAGACGAGGCAGCAGATCTACTTCCTAGGCAACCCGGTAGGTTGGTGGATTGCCAGCAGTGTGCTGGCCATTTATGTGGGGATCGTGCTGGCCGATCAATTCTCGCTAAGGAGAGGCATTGACGCTTTGGATCATCGTAAGTTCACCACTCTTTTTGTATCCCTAAGATAAGCAGTTGCTGACCTTGCTGCAGGCACCCGCTCTCGCCTCTACAACTCCACCGGCTTCTTCTTCCTTGCATGGGCGACTCACTACTTCCCCTTCTTCGTCATGGGCCGTCAGCTCTTCTTGCACCACTACCTGCCCGCCCATCTCGCCTCAACCCTCGTCACCGGCGCCTTGGTCGAGTTCATCTTCAGCCCCGAGGCTCCCGAGCACGAGATTGCTGCTCAGCAGGCCAAGTCCTCTTCCTCTGGCAAGAGGGGTGGCGTGGCCATGAAGAGACACATCACTGCGCGCGAGCGGTTTGCGGGCCAAAGCTTGATGGGCTCGTGGATTGCCACGGCGGTGATCCTCGCCTTAGTGGCCTGGAGCTGGTGGTTCTTCCTGCCGCTGACGTACGGGTATCCGGGCATGTCGGTGCAGCAGGTGCTGAGGAGGAAATGGTTGGGGTATGACTTGCATTTTGCGAAGTAAGGAGCCTCTAAAACAGTAGGGGGTGAAAAGAAGGGGATCGAATGGAAAGAGGTAATTGAGAGTTAGAGGGGGATGTTGAGGTAGGGCGGTGAAATGTTTTGTCATTGATGCGAATGGATCGAGATTAGCAAGATCACAGAGTGTAATTTGTACTGTACGATCTCGAATATAGCACTCAATTCTCTGCCAGATGTTTCCCTTCCGGTGTATCCATGTCTCCTCACTGGGCAAGAGCCGCAGCCAGGCTTCATGGGGATGGATATAGAGAATTACACTTCACATAAGTGGTAGCAGGCATATCAACATCGAGATAACTCGTTTACTCTAGCCAGCTATCTCTAGGAAGCTACCCTACACTAGGTAATGTAGGAAAGGTAGTTCTGAACCTATCCTTCCACCTCACCAGGAAAGCCCACGTGAAACCGAACCTCCTGGACGGATGAAACCCAGGCCGTAACGCCCTTCCGCGTCCATGAAGAACAAACGCCTAAAACTAGTCCGCTGCTAGGCCTAAGCTTATCCTTCCCCTGGCCCGGGGATATCATCCTCCCCTCCACCCAGAACGCAAAAGCCACTTTAGCACAGTCCTCGCAATCTTCTGTATACGGGCTTCTCTTCCAGAGAAGGCCTCTCGAAGTACCGCGGCGCCGTTAGCACCTGGAATGCTCTGTGTTTGGGGACGGAGGGTCAGGGCGCCGGACGACAATATGTTCGGCCGTATCCCATCGGTGCTCACCCACATAGGCGCAGCAGACCCAGTGTTGCATGATGTGGGGCCGTTGAGCCATTGTTGCGGGCGAGTTAACGCGTTCTAGGCCTGGAAAGATAGCGAGCACTACGTAGGACAGGGAACACTCGGTAAAAAGAAAGTAAGCCTTGTTGAGCAAAACTATCTATAGGACAGTGGATAGATGAGCAAATATATAGGGTGTGGATAGTTTGCTCATTAGGCCTTTCTTTCTCACCAGTGTCCCCTCCCTTACGCAGTGCTCTTTCTCCTTTAACTCCTTCAGCACATCATAATGTCATGTTGGCTGTTGGATTTCGCGAGCACTGCTATCAATAAGACTGTTTGGATCATGCGTGTATAATGGCGGGTGCTCAAGTTCAATGCCTTCATTGTGTGCCTAAGTGTGGAATCACCGTAGTTGCTCACCGGGATGAGCAATCAGTGCCGGGTCTCTGTCACTGCAGATGTCGCAGACGGTAATGCCAAACTGTTTCCATATCCAACATTCGAAATCTTGAACAGTCTCTGCAATTGAGGTGTGACTTTCTCCTTGGCTGGAAAGGTCCAGATGCGGCATGTCGAGCAACCTCTGGCTGAGGGGAGTCCCACTGTGATCGTTCATGGTTACCTGGTGAGGTTTGATTTCCAGTTGTAGGCACCATTTAACGGTTGTGTGGAGCCTACACAACTGGCCCCGGCCCTGGAAACCCTAAAGCACTAGGCCGCGATGCTGCGAAGGCAAGAAAACAGCAGCACTCTGATGAGTTGATTTATGATATAATTCAAGAAGCTAGACCCAGTCCACCGAATGCTGCTTATGTGACTGCTTATCACATGACTGTGAACGGTCATCATGGGGCTCCCATGAACCAGAGGTTTGCTCGACATGCGACAGTAACCTCCTATGCAACGATGGGTCAGATTGCTACAGCAGAAGGGGTGTCAGCGGGCGATTGTCTTTCAGACGCGTTTACACTTGCAGTAAACAGGACTGCAGAAGCATGAGAGAAACAGCAGAAATCTTCATTCAGCTGTCGGTAGTTGGCACACGAATGAAGCTCTCCTGGAGCATAAATGATGAGGTATTCCTTCAAAGGGGGGATGTTTCACAGCCTCACGGTGTCGGTTTTGATCGGCTGAGTTGTTGACCCAGTTCCTGGGTAGAGCATAATACTCTTGGAAATCGTCTTTGCATATCTCGAACAGGGTCCCTCGCCCCTCCTATCCATCTTTTGGTACTCTGGTATAATTCGATTGAGGAACATGGCGATGGCACTGAGGACATTCTTTGGTCGATTTCTAGTGTTTCCACCCACTTCCAAGTTACTGTGCATAGAACTGGTTGGCTTGTCAACCTTAAGATGCTTGTACTCTTCCTGGGTTAACGCATTTCGGCCTGATATCGAACTCGTCGTGGGGTTCGCCAAACTCCCAGATGTCCCGCTCTTTGGCGAGGCTTTCATAGCGGTAGTACCAGCAAACCCAACGTCTCTAAGTGATTTCTCCGTTTGGGTAGAAGTGAAGGTACACTTGTTTGTCTTAAAGAAACCACTGGGAGCATTACAGTGATGGTTAATATGCTCGTCCTATTGCGAGGATAATGGAGATGTCTATGGCAATGGCGACGGTTTCGAGAGACAATCCTGCAGCATAATGGGTGCACAGTATGATCTTAGTCTTGATGATAAGTGCCTTGCGAAGAGGAGAAAGCAGCAAGACAAGCAGTCTAACGGGAAATTCATCTCTTATCAGGTCGCGTCAGATGAGGACCGCGCTCAACACAATCACAAGAGTGAGGATTGCCACCCCTGTGACCAAGAATTAGCCCTACTATATAGTCGGTTGACGCCTACCCCAGGCTCTGTGCAGCGCTCAACAAGAAACGACAGGCTTTGAGCCAACGAGGAACCTCAACAAAGCATCCTTATCCACATGCCCAGGGACCCGTGCTCTTGAACCGGTCTTTGGAGTGGGAAGGGGCACTTTGAATAAGAAGTTGTAGACTCACCCCACCAGGATTAGGAGGGTGGCATGTCGGTCATAATCGGGTCCAAACTGGTGGCTTCGATGTGACACAGGTGACGAATTACATTGAAACAGAGAGATTTGTTCACAGAAATAAAAGAAAATGGGACTGTATCGAGCTCAGAACCACTGGTTAATTAAAGCAATCTATCTGAGAGGCATGCACGCAGTCCTGCACCATGGCATATCTTGACAGAAGTATGCTGTCAAGGACAACAAAGCAATGCATCTCCATCATCAGAGACGCAACCACCTATTGCCAGCCATGGTACAGGTCGCTCCGAGCCATACCCCTGGCCTTTGGCCCTTGGAGGACTCAGATTCAGTCGATTGCCCTCATCTTCTATTAACCTAAATCACGCCAGTCAGCAACTTGCTCACCGGAAACGCCTTCCCACATATGTCAGGAAGGACGATGACGACGGGATAAACAATATCTCAATAAAACATAGCTCAAAACCAAAGCCCCATCAGAAACCCAGAGTATAAGCACGACCAACCCCACCGCCAGCCGCCGCCTCCTCTCCCGGACACCCAAGCCCATCCCGCAAGCACATGACGGTGCAAGCGTTTATCCATTTTCTCGGGAATAGATGTAGACCTAGGGCCGAAGAGAGAGCAGACACGACTGTTGCGGCCTAAAGGGGCGCGCATACAACCCTCAGCAACCCCCCAGCGAGGAGGGAGCCAGAAGATGATGCGGAGGCCCGGGGCCAGTTCAGACGGCTCTTCCTATTTTAATCGAAGTGTAGGGTTGCAACAAGGCGTTGCGTACATCATCATGTGGCGGCTTTCATGTGTGGTTGTGGTAGAGTGAGAGATTGAACGTACCGTTGGGCAAGAGTCCGACGTAGTCTAGCAAAAGCTTAGCTCTGCACAGCAGAATATCGGCACAAAATGCTCAGCAGAAAATAGCTTGCTTGAAAGAAAGAAACAAGCACAACTTCAGTCACGGAACCGTTGGCGAACAACATCCAGCAACTCATCTGTTCGGCGGCACCAGGCCTGCTGCGGCCGGGCTGGATGTATCGGAGAGAGTAAGGAATTTTTTTCGAAGTCGGGCTTTGACAAGTTGTAGGGCAGCGAATTGAGCCGACTCCGCTCCAAGCCCCACAAGGGACCGCGCACGGACCAAATCACTTGGGATGGATCTCCGAAAGGTTCGGTGAAGAGTCAAACAGCGACGCTCCGTTCGGCGGGTCATTATTACAGCAGCTCGGACAAGCGACATGGGATACGCGTGGGACAAGATACGTGCTCATCAAATGATGAACTTGTCATCGTAATTGTGAGGGACTTTAGCTGGTATACTATCCGTAAGTTCAATTACTCTACCTGCCCTCTGCCATTCAGACCAAGACTCAAGCACCGTCGTTCATGATCAGTTTCATTTTTCATACACGATATGTGAACCTCAGGAGAATATGATGGGAAAGAAGAGAAACACTTAAAACACCAGAAATACAAGACGGTCCATTCTGAACCAGGTCCCAGCAGAACGCGCCATTCCAGATCGCCAATTCCAGAATCATTATGTCTCGTAAATGTCATGATTTAGTCCCACCGTAGTCACTATGATGACTGTTTCACCTGTCAAGCTAAGGCCCGCTTAATTCCGGAGGTAGTTGTTAAAGTCATGGACGGACCATTCCATGCCAAGGGCGTTCAGGACGTCCTGGGACGATGGCTGAGAGAAGCCAGCCGAGATGCTAGGGACATCAGCCGTCGCGAAGAGAGGCTCAGGGAACAGGGGCTTTGAAACTCGAGCTCCGCCGTTAGGGAAGAGAATGAAATCGCCGCCATTTATTGCATTGCCCATTACAATGTCATTGCACTCGTCAAATCCCTCGTCAACCTCCGCTAGGGAGCTCGGAGTAAACAGCATGGCACTCCCTTGCCCAACAGGCGAAAGCTCTGGAACCGGTTGAGGATGGCAGAGATCAGCCCCAGTGAAGGGAACGAGCTGCGGGATCGGCTCCTTGTAGAGATTAACGAGAGGAGGAGGCGTAGGCAATTGGACCGGGGCGCTGTATATGTCCTCGAAGAGGGTAAAGTCGGTTGGAATGTCTTGGTAGGCCGAGTTGAAGTCTACACCCGCATCGGTAGACGGAGTAGGATTGTCCAACGGGGTAGGGCTGTCAAACGGCGTGGAGTGGTCAATTGGCGACAGATCAAGCGTAAGCTCTTGTGGGATCATGGTGAAATCGGCATCATTGGGCACGTAAGTAGGGAAATCCAAATTGCTCCCATAGATGCGACTCCAATCATCAGGGCTAGCCACGCTGGGAGTGGGCTCGCTTGGAGGAGTGGGAATGTTCTGGAGCTGGGGAGTAGGTTGAGTAGAACTGTTCTGAGGGGAGCTATTGGTCTTGTTATTGCCGGCAACGCTGGCATTGGACTTTTTGCCGTTGGTCTTGGTACGGATGTAGGTCCAACCGTGAGCTTTCTCCATGTGCTGCTTGCAATTGGACTCACGCTTCGACTTGTACGGGCACGGCTTGAAGTAGCATTCGAACATCGGCGGATTGTCCGCGTGTTTGTCGTTGATGTGACGATCCATCTCCTTCTCGGTCGGCCAGCCGTACTCATGGTATTTGCATGTGGTGACAGGGCACTTCCACGGACGAGAGTGGGTCTTTTCATGCTTAGTCAAGTCGCAGGGGCGCTTGAACTCTTTACCGCAGCCAGGCACACGGCACTTCTTGGGAGCGAGCTCCTCCGGGCTGGCGTTCTTCTTGCGCCGAGCCATCGATCGCATGATTTCCTCCTCGTCAGCCAGCTCTTGGCTGGCAGAGCGCTTGAACCCAATCGATGGGTTAGGCTCCTCCTCCAGCTTCTCAATAGTCTCACCGGTGGCCAGCGAGATCATCTTGCCGTTCTTCTTGACACGGACAAGCTCAGCAGGGCGACCGTTGATGTGAATGCCGCCGTGGAGCTTAATCTCGTCGGTGCTGGTCATTGCGTTAGCACGAACATGATCGAGAACACAAGAAGAAGTCACATACGCATCAAGATCCGTGTCGCCTTCGTCACCCTTCTCCTTGGCCTCAGCAAGCTGTTGTGCGTAACGGTGGATTTGGGCAATCAGGTCCAGGAAGTAGCCACTGCTGTATGGCACATCGCCTGGCCGGATCTGCTCCTGATCACTGAGGTATTCAACCGTCGCCTGGATGCATCGGATAGTAGCCTGGCAGAAATCGAGATAGAGCCCAGCAGTTTTGGCCCTCTCCTGAACCACAAAGCATGATAAGCATTGGCACTCACGTAGATCTCAGGGGGTAATTCACTTACCGGAGCCACAAGAAGCAAGGTCTTCTCAACGTCACGCAGGCAAACAATCTGTTTCTCACGAATCTTCTTCGGGCATTCAAGGACCAAGGGATGGAAGTCCTTGAAGAAAGACTTGGCGAGAAGAGGCTTCAGAGTATGCTCATAGATGCGGTTGGTTGCGCGAGCACTGAGGCCAGGGAGAGAGGCACCAGCGGCAGTGCGGGTCGCAGACCGAGTGACTGCAGAGGTTTTGACCGACTTCTTGAACTCAGCTTCCTTTTCAGGGGTCGAGGGAACAGAAGTGCCCAGGCCACTGTCCGAGTCGTGATGACGAGAAGAGCGAGGGGAGCGAGGGCGGATGATACGGCGCTCGGGCTGCTCCTTGCCCATATAGGCGTCAAGAGTATGATGCAAAAGCACGCGGGGGAGAGGAAGGCTGTCGTCACGCAGACTCTTGAGGGCCGAAGGGGACGAGTCGTCTTTGGTGGTAAGACCGGACAGGACTTTGTCAATGTCCTCAATGGTCAAAGCAACGCGACGGCGATGGGCGTCGATGACATCGTCAAGATTCGTGTGCGAGCGACTAGGAAGTGGAGGAGGGCGGAAGACACGTTCAGGAGAGTCAGAGGGGGTAGTAGGAGAGTGGAAGGTCGCGCCCTTCTTGAGGACCGCATTGGTCTTGAGGGTCAACCCCCTCGAATCCGCACGAGTCACCGGTGTCCTACGCGGATTGGACGACATGGTTGCTAGTAGAAAGGAAGACGTGGGGTAGCCCCGGGGCTTTGTGAGTCGAGATTAGGAGAGAACACTGTGTAAAGTCCTCAAGTCAGTCGGTAGATCAATAGGTCAATGACTTCATTGTAGGGCTGAGTGCCGCTGAGCGGGTGAGTCATATTGGCATGCGACACCGACTGCAGGAAGCTTTCTGCACCGGCTCCTGGGCATCGGAAAGGTGCGAAAGACCGAGATTCTCAGAGAAGGTGGAAGAAGCGGAAAGAGTCCAGTGGATAGAGGGTCAAGAGTGGCATAGGGCAGGGCGATTCCTTGTAAAGGCCATTGGAAATTTTCTTACCAAGCCCAGCACACTATTCAAAGTGAACGCCAAAGGCCCGGGACGTTTTGGTGTCCGGTTCTGGCGAAAGGGTACGGGTGTGTCGAGGACGCGACGGTTTCTGTTGGGTGGATTTGAGGACGAACGCCGGCGTGGGTATGAGCGCGATATGTTATGAATGAGATGAGGACCAAGTCGAAACAAAGAGAATGCCTGACAAAAGAGGCCGAAACAGGAACAAATTTCAAGAACTTGTTCCCGTGCTGAGCTCAGCAGTGCCCGGGGTGTTTACCTCTGGCCTCGATGCAAGAAGTGCTGGGAAGAGAGGAAGAACTCCAAGACCAGCAGACGCGAGAAGAACAGAAGGAGCTCTGCCGCGGTGGGCTTGGGCGGGATGATGAGAAATGCGGCCGGGTGGGCTGTTGAACGTTGCTGCCTGCTGGGCGACAGGGGTGCTGCCGCGGTACCCTGTCGTTTTGTGGGTCCAAGGCGGGCGCAGCTCGGCCAAAAACGTTATGATTGGCTGCTTGTTGATCCTCCAGTTTTGGCCCCTGCGCCAGCTCCAATCAGCCCCAGGACCCCAACTCTTGACAGGTGCCGTTTGTCGTTGGAGTCGCTGGGACGAACTGCGCGTTAAGAAGTGACGTCGGATGCATAGCTGCAGGCCTGCGGCTTTTCGCCCAATTTCAGTCTCGAGTTAACAAAGAAAGGAACCGTGTTCCCCTTGTCAGGTACCCCCTCCATAGGATCGAGCTGCCCGATTTCTTCCTCACCATGTTGCAACCGCAATGGCCGCTTGATTTCCTGCGAAAGAGCTGCGCATCAGGTCCTTGATGAAAGTAAACTGCAATCGTTAGGATGGCACGCCAATCATCCATCATTATTCTGCGGAGTTCTGCAGTTTCTTTGCCGGAAACCAACGTGACTATGGAGGTGCTCAGAGGAGGCTTGGCTGTGTGGGCAATCAACGACCACCGCGAGTCCAAAAACTGCATCGTTCCGAGACCCCACCGCAACCACAGGGAAAGTTCGGCTGGATCTCGGCGGGCTCTTGTGGCTCAGCAGCTCAAACATTCTCCTAGATGTGCGTAAGGTTACTCATCTTTCTAGTGTGCATGAAGAAGTGCTGTTATAAAAACTGATAATTATGATAAGGGGCGTTGTTTGTGTAGACAAAGGAGATTTGCAGGTTTGACGTTGATAGACACCTTCCAAGCTTGATAACCGGGTAATCATGCCCTCAGTACCCAGACACCCGGCTCCCTGCCTGTTACTGTGCTTGAAATTGTTGTGTATTCCGGGGCCTAGCTATCAAGTTCCAGTGTTTAGCGATCCACCTCCGCCCCACCAAGGCAAAAAAAAAGGTCACACAACGTCATTTGCGGTACCATGCACAATCATATAAACTTCAACATCACGACAACCACCCAAGAAAGCACTCCAAAATGCTTGGTTACCTGGCGGTAGGGTTAGTGGTTAGGGCTCTGGTTAGCGGTTAGGGTTAGGTTCGGAGTATGCATATCAGGTGTCGGAAGCAGGTGTAAGTTACGTGTAATGATGTGTATTTGCCAAGTCGCGAGGGAACCACAACTGTTGGAAATGGACAGCAACACCGTTTTCCGACCTGGGAGAGGGGAGCACAGCCACCACCACGGATCTACACGCTACGATCAAAGCACACCAGTTCGGATCGAGATGTTCGAACGGCAAATACAGAACGCCAACGGACAAATACAGGCATGAAAATCGGAATAAGGTAGAGCAAACAAAGCAGTTGTGTCGGCCGGTATCATCGAAAACCGGCCACTTTCATTCGGCTCCAGCGCCGCGTCGGTTCTATCTCTAAACTTGCAAGTACGTATCGGGCCCGGGTTACTGGTAGCTGGAGAAACGGTCATGGAACAGTCAAACGCCGCGTTGCGGCCCGGAACGTATTTCCAGGTCAGCAACCTGACAGCGTGGTGAAATAGCAACTCAGACTCATGCGAATCTATTGCGGTTCCCAACATTCCAAAGAGGCGGGATTCAGGGAGAAAACAATGAGAAAACGGACTCAGACTAGTACCACGTACGACATGTATGAACAGTTGTCCCTGACTCTCCCCGGTCAGCTACATCTCAACCAACCAACCCTGGCCGAGTCTGTTTCCGACTGGTGACTCTCCCCATGACAGCGGCGCGGCTGACCGTTGCGTTGATGATCGTTGCATGCACCTTGCAGCAGAACAGACTCAAGCATTCCGCTTCCTCCCGCTTCGTAGGGCTAGTCACCGATCTACGTATGACAGTCCTTCAGGGCTTCGTAACTTACATCCCCTCTTGGAAAGAGCTTCATCAAATCCTTAACCAAGGAAATGATCGGGCAGAGGCCACGTCGTACGGAACGGCATAGGCTTACCAGCATGCGTTAAATCCGGGTTATGGGTCCGTAGTTTTCAGCCCTATGAGCAGATGAGCGAATGGGATGGCAGAGAACTCGGGAGCCTCAGAGTCGCTGTGAATGCAAGTTGATTGCGTTACGTGGCCGCAGATATTGAGCGCCCAAACCCCGCAGAAATTAGTGGTGAACCCCTCATTCCCCTGCACTCTTCCTTACGTGTCCTCTCAGGCACCTGAGTTTTCTTCAGGCTTCTTTTTTTGACCCTTGAGACGAAGGCTTGTCTTAGCAGGGACAGATTCTAGGCGCATAAACAGAAGGGTGACGTGACTCGATCCCAAACAAGGACAGAATGGCCAGATTGTACCGCCTGGAAAGCTCCAGACGGTTGCAGAAAAGTGATCAGGAACAGGATATGGCAGCTCTCTTCCTCCCAATTCAGTAACTGACATACGCGTCTTTTGTCTTTATGAGCTGTATCTTGGGTGGCAACCACGCATGCTAATGCCAATAAACACCAGACTATGGACTATCAAAGGGTAGTATTGGAAGATGATTATCATTTGACGATCGATTTTACCTACCAGCGACCTGTCTTATTAGTGACGATCAACACAACCAAGAACTAGCCCTCCCAAATCATCTTCCTCCACGCCAGAAGGACATGGATTTCCCTGCCCTGGGTCCAACCCGGGTCCAGGAACACAAGACACCGTTTGATCGTGGCACTGCTCAGCAGGAAGGAGGATGGCAAGCAGCCATGCCATCCACTTCCTACTTCCGGCTGAGGGTCTTCTTGATTATAACTTGCTCGCCATGGCCCAACTGTTTTGGATAAAGCAATTAAAGAAGGCTTTCAACTAACGTGAACATTGATGTAGGACTGGGGCACAATCGGCTAAACGGTTCATTGGTCTCAATCAGCCAGTTGTATGGGACTCCTTTGTCCGGGCGGCATAAGCTAAAGAAACCTCCTAGAGAGTTGCAAGAAAAGAGTTTGTAGTGCAATAAGAATGGTTTCTCTCTATCACCAGACCCAACGAGAACCCGGCCTGCTGGACGAGGGCTCGGGGTGGTGGCAATTGAGGACCAGAACTAGTACTAGTCCTGCCATCGTAGTAACCCACAGTTATCGCATTTGTCAATTTGAAGTTACCTACCTAGGCAGTCAAGAACAGGGACCAAGGGGAACTTTTTTTGAATGTTCAGCTTCAGCAACGATGCTGGTGATCGACCGAGGGAAGTTACCACGCATCTCACGTCCAAAGTAAACATGCAACATGAAAATTCTTAAAAAGAGATCTGCAACACACGAAGTATTCCGGACTCCCTTCTGTTAAGCACTTAAACTTTGGAATCATGATAGGTCCCAATATCTCGTCGATGGCCGGCAAGCCAGAGAAGGGACCTTTGACATAATCCAAAAGACTGATATCGGAGTTTTTGCCAAAAGTCCAACTAATAATTGAGTTCAAAATTACCGCCAAAGCAACTCTCTCATCGCGATGAGTCAGCCCCCCAAACCCAGCTTCCCCCGTTGGTATCAAACTAATGGACAAGGGCTTCCTAGAGGACTGGGATCGAAAATCGCCGATCAAGGGGCGTTCTAATAATGCTCTATATCGCGATTTAGATCGTCGACCGGACGGTCCGCATAGCAATCCACAACTAGTGGCAGTGATAGTCCGACTTACCTTGCCAGCAATTGCAATAACACCAAGCTCTGCTAGTCAGTTTAATAGCAGCCTCGTTCCTACATCTGACGGTATGCACAGAAAACCATCCATGAGCAATAGTGGTAACCAACTAGTTCGACGCTTGGTTTCACGAAACACACCTCTCTGCGCAAATGCGTCCGAGTCAGCCAACAGCTGCATTGCGATCTTGTAATTGCATCCGGAAAGGGACTCGACCAAAATGCTTATAGAGCAATGACGCGGTCTGGCTTAGCTGCTGCATTTAGAAGCCCGGAGTCACTCGAGCACGCCAGTCATGACAAGGCCCAGCAGTGAGGTACAGAAGGAAGACACACTCAATACTCTTCAGAAAGAAAGGAGTAAGCGCAAGACAGCAGTCATCACATGGAAGAAATGTGGGAGACTGACCTAAAGTGGGATGGATGTGTGAATAGGGAGAGAGCGGTACGATACAGATCGTCGTGAGAGCCATGGTCGAAAAGATAAAGGTGAGAAATTAAGACAGAAACAGGGTGCTGAGGGCGGGTCCCTCAACAGTCGGACTAGGAGCAACAGCGATACGACTGTCGCAAATACACCCTTGACTCTCAAGTGCCGTCTGGTCAAGTGAGCTCATGTATCGGAGTCACAGCCAGCTTCAGAAATAATGGAAACTGCATGATTCGGGAGTGGAAGTTAGAGAAATTGCAGGCTGTTGAGGGACAGGTTTATCAGGCTGGGAATCGTCAGATTACTGTTATTGAGATTGAGATAAAGATTGAACTTCCCACCAACTGGGCTTGAGATGGACTTTATGTAGATTGAGGTTCCTTTTGATTCAAGTCTGTGATTTGGCTGTAGATGGCTATGGACATCATAATAGGTCTTGTCGCTGCAGAGAAGCAAGATATTGGAACAGTGAACGCGCTTTGTGACTGAACAGTTCAATTGATGTCTTTCACAACAAAACAAAAAACCAAACCATTGTTTATGGGTTGTCTCAGGAATAAACAGAGAATTGATCTAAAATGCCCAGTTGGAGCCAATCTTGAGAGTGATGCCCAGGTAATTTGGGTCACATACTGAACCTCCTTCTAAAGCCCACGTGTCCAATGCAATAGCCAGAAAGTCATTAATCAGGTAGGAAGTATTGCCTAGACTAAGTAATTAGGTAGGTCCTGCCTCTATGTTCAACTCCTTCGCGCCGTCGTCCCACCATAATCCTGCTCAACACTCACTCGTCATCCTCACTATCCGTCAATATCTGCTTCCTTCTCTTCCCCAAGGGCTTCCTCGGCGACGGGCGCGGCTCTTCATCCTCATTCTCCTCATCCCCACCATTCCTGGTCGTAGTTCTTGTCCTCGCAACGCGGGATGTCGCCTTTTCCTTCCATTCCCCCTTATCCTCCTTCTGCTTCTGTTTCTCCTTCTTAGCCGACTCCACAATCTGATCCAAATCAGGCATCTCATCATCCGAGCCCGAATCCTGCGTCGGGTCAAACTTGGTCGGCTCCCAGAACGGCTTCTCTTCAACCTCATCCTTCTCCTGCTTACCCAACCTCAAACTCAACCCCGACGACGCGGGCAAAGACGATGAGAACCCATCCTCATCACCAGACGACCTCACGCGCAGCGCAGACGATGGCACATCATCGTCGACAATAAAGTCTGCCAAGTCCCCGCCGCTGTCAGAACCATCCGTCTCCGCCATGTCGCTCGTACGCGTGCAGTCATCACCGATGTCCTCGAGGTGGTCGCCCACACGCTTGATACGGCCACGGATACTGCTTGGGGTTCTGCCGCCTTTCCCATTATGACCACGCCCATGGGCTGGTGTGGTCGTGGCTGAGGCGGCGGCTTCTTCGTCATCGTCGTCAACTACCTTGGCGCAATCATCCAGCCAGTTGTGGTCAATACGGCGTTTCTTGGTGACCTTGCCGGCGGGACTACTCGCACCACTGCTGGGCACGCGGCCTCGCTTTGTCTGTCTCGGACGAGTAGGGCTCTTCTTCGATGACTCGTCATGGTCGTCAACATCTTGGCCGCCATCGGTATCATCGGCGTACGGGGTCATAGGAAGTTTCTGCCAGTCCTTTGGGTCGAAGTCAGGGCAAGGGTCTTCATAGGCCCAGCTCTTCTCGCGGCGTTCTTTGAGCTTCTGGAAGAGCTGGACGCAGCGCTTTGTTAGATCGCTGTGCTTGATCTTGGAGGTGCGAGTGAGTGCCACGAGAGCCATAGGAGAGGCGGTAAGCGTCGAGGCATCAATCTCCTCGGTCTTGCCATTCTGGCCACGTGGAAGCGTCTTGTAGCGTCGGTTGAGCTGATTTATCTTGTCTTTATCCAGGAAAACTCTGTCCAACCTGGGGATATCGGCGAGCTCTTCGAGTTCGGACGGCTCTTTGGGGGCATTGCCAGCTTGATTCTTGCCACTATGCTGGCCAAACTCGGAGGCCTTGATAAAGCCGGTGATCACACCGTCGGGCATGTGGAATTTCTTTTTAAGCGGCTTCTTTTTTCCCCTAAGAGGGGTCTTCTTCGGCTCGGGAAGCGACTTGTCTTGGGTGTTTTCGATCGGGATGTCAATATGGCGCTTGTCGACTTCCGGTTTGATGTCGCGCGGGATAATTCGCGCAGATAGTTCATGACGGAAAGTAAAGCTAGCACCATCGCAAATGAGCTGCTGCATCTTTTGGTAATTGTCCTTGGCCTCCGCAAACTTCTCTTCCTCCTTGCCCTTCATGAGCAGCAATACGATGTTGCCCGCCCTCTTTCTGCCGGTACGACCCATGCGTTGGAGCATGCGGATCGGTGAAGACGAGGCATCATAGCAGATAATCAAGTCGACCTGACCGATATCAAGGCCCTCTTCGCCAATGGATGTGGCAACAAGCACATTGAACTGTCCCGACTTGAACTTCTCGATCGTTTCGATCTGTTGCTTCTGCTTCATACCCTCGCTTCTCTTGGAATCAGCCTGCCCAACAAACACGGTGGCACTGACCATGGGCTGCGTGTTCAGTAAACGAACAATCTCCTCGGCACTATCGCGATACTCGGCGAAGACAATGGCCCTAGTGTTAGACCCTTCTCCCGCATCAGCAAAATGGTTGACAAGGACCTGACAGAGATATGTCAGCTTCGGGTGACCATGGAAGTCCTTGAGCTTCATCCACTTCTCGATCATGGTCATCATCTTCTGGAAACTCTCATCATTGAGGAGTTGCCGCTTGAGTTTTGAACCTCTCTCTCCCTTGGCCTCCTCTGTAGAACGGAATTCGGCCATAGCATAGTAGAAGGGCTTAATTCCGTGGAAATTGAGCAGCTTGATGGAATGAGCGACGCTTTGGAGAATGCCAAAGACGCTCATTATCATGAATTTGAGGCCCTGGTTGGCATGTCTCCCTGGTCCAGCCAACCACTCATTCCTGGACTTGAGTAAGCCATAAGTTGTCAGGCTCATGGGGTCTCTGCCGTAGTAGATGTTTTGCGAACTCAACTTGTCCACCAGGGGCTTGAGCGCTTTGGAGAACAGACTCTTCACCTCTTCCATCTCGTCGGAAGGGTCGAAGGTAACCGTCTCAATGTTGCGTGAGTGAACATACTGACGGATGTCTATCGACTCCTCGGTCCTGATCTCCACATGCGAGATACAAAGGTTGTCAATGACTTCCTGAACCCCTTCAACGGTCGAACCAGGAGTAGCCGTCAACGCAAGAACTCGAAAGCTCTTGTTGAAACGCCGCATGAACTCGATGACCTTGACGTAGGCATAGTCGCCAGTCGCACGATGGGCTTCGTCGATGACCAGGAGAACGATGCTCTTTGGATCGGCCGATCCAATGGAGAGATCGTTCATCAGAGTTTGGGGAGTCATGAAAAAGAGTCGCTTAGTCTCCCACTCCTCTCTCCGAAGGCTCGGGCTCGTCTCACCCGTAAGCAGCGTGGTCTGTGACCTCGGAATGCCAGCAACATTAAGGCAAGCCTCGACCTGCTGAGAGACCAGGGGCTTGGTCGGGGCCGCAAAGACGATCTTGGCATCTTTCGTCCAGCGAAAGAAGTTCAACATAACTGTGGCTGCGATGAAGGTTTTGCCGAGGCCTGTCGGAAGAGCGACTAGAGTGTTGTGGAAGAGGGCATTTTTGACGATGCTGAACTGGTAATCGCGAATAGGGCCGAGGTTCAGGGGATATACCCACTTCCCAAGCTCGCTTTCGTTCAGCTTATGGTGCGTAGGCGGTTCAAGAGGCAGGTCGGCCAGATACGGGCGATTGTTAAGTGTCTGTGATGCTGTGATTCGACCTGGATCCTCCCGCAAGGTGCCTCCAAAAAGTGTTGTTTGTCGGTAAGTTTGGGTGTGTGATGGATGCCGTTGAAGCGTGCGGGGAGCGGCAGGCTGACGGGGTCGTTCAGGTGAGGTGGTAGGAGATTTGGAAGTAGGGTTGCTCTGATAACTTCGATTCGAGGTGTTACTGAGCGTACGAGCGGGACCTCTGCTAAACTGACTGATGCCTCCTTGTTTCGTTTGCGCAGTTTGGTTGAACTGACTAAACTGGCTGGGCTGTCCGGCTTGCCCAGACTGAGCGGGCTGGGTAAATTGACTGAACTGACCTGGTTTCCTGGGCTGGACAGGCTGACTGAACTGACTGACCGGTCGGGGAGGACTCGTCCTTCTAGAGAACTGGCTTGGAGGAGGTTGGACTGCTAGAGGGTTGCTGGAGTTACCCCTCGTTTCATTCCCAGTTAGTGCGGCCTCGGCTGCGGCATCAACAGCCTGAGTAAGGGCCACGAGGAGCTCCTCGTCTGAAAAGTCATCATACTCATCGAAGTCCTTGCCCATGGCTGATGACCGTTGGAATACTAAGTGCTAAACTAAACAGAAAAGGGGCCAATGATGATGGCAGACAGCAGGGTGCTAGGCAATGCGAGCCATCAGACTGTCGTAGTATTTGGGTGTCCAGGTCTGGATAAACAGCCTGTCGCTGAGTACCGCTTTCCACCAAAACTGGTCGAACTTGACGACGCTACGTTTATGTGTCGTTTCTGAGTACACTCAATCGAGGAGAGGCTATACTTGCTAATATTGTCGGAGAGTGTCGCTGAAGCAGAGTGTACTCTCGCTTATGTTGAGTATACCAGATCACCTAATCAAATGAGATTGCGCCGAGCCTCTAGACCTTTTTTCTAGGTGTTTGGTTAAAAAACAGTGCTTTTTGCTGAAGTTGTGAAAACTCTTGTCGAGTTGGAATCGTGGGAATTTAGGTGATATTAGTGACGTTGCGGGTTGTGTTACTTCTCGCCAAGGTTGGAAAATTTTCGCTGACCTTATGGCATTTCCCAGAGTTTAATCGGATGGGCAATGCTATTATTTGTCGAAGGTGTGGTTGGTTTTTTGTCGAATCAGCACTGGTATCGAAGACAAAGAGGCTCCGATTGAAGTTGTGAGCTATGGGACTTTTCGTCAAATTTAGAGTATCGTTCGTGAACGCTTGATCGGAGAGCCAAACTTTATTGCTGAAGTGACAATTCTTCCCCTGTCAGAGTGCCACAGGACACTGAAAGCGAAGGCATTCACGCTGTCGTTGTGAATCCTGGAAATTGTCGTCAATTTACAGTGCTGTTCCCTGGGAGTTTGGCCCAAATAACACTTTTGCTGGAGTATCTCGGGAAAGTTTGATCCAAAATATCGTGCTTGACACTGAAATCACAAGCCCTAATTGCTGAAGTTGCGATTTGTCTCGCCAGAGTCGACCTTTGTTTCCACTGAAGTGTGGCTTTTGGCTGAAGTTTTTCGAAGGGGTTTGATCTGGTATGCCGTGGTTTTCACTGAAGTTGTAAGCTCCAAACCCTAACGTCACGAATCTTTTCCTGCAGAAGTCAACCTTTGTTTTCGTTGTTGCGCGATCTGGTATATCGTGTTTTTCGCTCCAGTGGTAAGCCCCAATCCTTGAAGTGGTGCTTCTTTCTCGCTGAAGTTAATCTCTGCTTTCGGTGATGTGGGGTTTTTGGTGAAGTCGTTCAAGAGGTTTCAATCCAATCAGTTGTGATGTTTGCTAAATTCGCAATCCCCCTTTTCTCTGAAGTTGGCTATTGATATCGCTAATCTAGGAGTTTCTGCTGCAGTCTCTCAGGAGGTTTTGATCTGATCTGTAGTGTTCCTCGCTAAGGCCGCAATCCCCTCTCACTGCAGCCACGACACCCTCTTGCTGATGTTGGTATATCTCGATGAAATGTTAAAGGGAGTGTTATTCTGATCAGTATTGATGTTCACCGATGTCACAATGGAACCAGCAGGCGCTGACTGATGGTGAGGTGATGATGATGAGAAGGTTAAGGATGAGTCCGATCTTGGAGCACTGAATAGGCTCAGGATCTGTCCCCCAAGGGAATGTCTGCCTGCTAGTGTTAGTCTTGGCCCTTGGATGTTTGATGCTTCTCCCCCTCACATACTTGGCTGGATGGCTGAAGTCAAAGACCTTCAAGATGACAATACCTTCACTGCCTGGCTTTTGTAGAACCCCCGTCACCTTCTCCCTCTCCTGCGACTCGTTGAAGTTAACTTTCAATGTGGGTATTTTCGCCGAATCTTTTCAAGAAGTAGTGATCTGATCAGCAAGGTGTTTGTGCAGTCACAGCTCTTTCTTGTGGAGATCCGTGCACTTCGCTGAATTCGACCTATTGTCACTGATGGGTGGTTATCGTCGAACTTTTTCAAGAGGGGCTGATCAAATCAGCAGCGCTTTTTGTTGTGGGTACAATTCCTTTTTCAAAAACTTCTTAGACAAAGAGTTGATGTGACCAGACTTCCTTTTCTGAGGCTGTGATCAGTAACCTGTTGGAGTCTGCAAAGGCTGTTGAAGTTGAGGGCCGCTTTGGTCGATATTCAAGTGCCATAAAAAGTTTGACGAAATGACAATCCGATCAGGAGTGGTTCTTTCCAAAATTGAGGAGCCACAATTGGTTCTTCTCGGAGTTGGTGAAGCTCGGTGAAGGTAAGGACGACGTTTGTGGATGTTTGGTTTATTGCAGAACTCTTTAGGAAGACGATGGCTCAATCTGTAGTGAAGCTTGCCAAAGTTGAGCCCTGCTTTTGTGAATGTGTGGATTTTTGCTGAAGTTGGCAATGAGGATTTGCCAATATCCAGTAGTGTTTTTGCTGATGATGAGATTCCTTTCACGGATGCGGGGCTCTGCGTGAACTCAGAGCGTTATCTTATTCTCTGACTCTTGTGAAGACCTTGGTGAACTTGACGAATGCCAAATATTTTGGTTTTTACGGAAGAGATAGCGCCCTTCGCCCGGAGTTGGTGACCTTGATAGAAGACAGAAGTTGAATGTTAATAGTTTCATTGAGTTCGGGTAGTCTTTGTCTGAAGTCCCAACCGGTTTTCACAAGGTTGATGAGTTCTGATGAACATATATTTAGTTCCGATGGTGTCCTGGGATAGTCAATCTCTGAGGTTGACGGATGCTATTGCTGATGTGTCTTGATCCAAAAATAGCCCTCTCCACTGGAGTTGAGACAGCCAACAGCTCTCTTCAGTGGCCCAGTCGCACGGTTGGAAACCTTGGTCGCAGACCAAACTGGTCAATGTCCGTCCTGCTCTGTGTTCGTCAACACAAAGCCTTCAACAAGGCAATAGATAGCAAGCTCTGTTCAGCCTTCAGTATTCTTGTCTCCATAACTCAAGGTCAGACAGCCAGGATCTCAAGTCTCACACATATACTCTGGTTTTCTCTGATCCTTAGGTAGGGCCTGAAGAATCAAGCTCACCCGTCTGAGCTTCGGTATTAGTCTTGGAGAAGTGCCTTGCTTCTTGCTGAATTGGAAACCTAGCAACTGAGAGCTGGGCTCCTCATCTAAAGTCAAGAGTGCACTCGCTGAGGTTTCTTCGTTTTCCCCGGGTAAGAAGCTCTGCCGGATCACAACCACAAGGATAATAGATCACGATCGATTCCAGAACTTTCCATCCACTATGGATTCTTGTTCAGAGCATCGACTGGAAATTCCTAGTCCAGGTGCTCTACTGGCAGGAAAGTTCAGCGTTGGCAGCCCGCGCCCAGGTAACACATATGAAGGCGCAGATATCAACGTCTGACACGGAGCACTTCAAGTTTCGTCGCTGCCAATCACAAGATCCTGAGGCCCTCTAAGAAGATCCAATCGTAGGTTGAGTTGTTTTTTCAGGCTGTCGACCTTGGTCTCGGGGAGTTTCGAAGTATGGCAAGTTCGAGACGTTTTGTAGCCGCAACAAGTCAGGGTTGCTTCCCCATATGCGGTAATCTGATTCTTGAACCATTAGGACACCATAGTCTAGCAGCGTTTGACATTGCAGATACTCACAAGCCACAGCTCGGATCAAACAATCAGTGCTGAGTTGAGAAATTACAGGAGCCCTGGATGTGCCAGTCCATCAAGTCCTTGGGCGTTGTGTCGATGCTTGACATTCAGGCGAAACAATGACTGCCCCTCTGTTGAGGTGGTCCAGCTCACGTGGGCCCTGTGAGAATGAGACGCGACGCGGTCTTGCATTGGCTAGCCACTGCCTGCTGTCACCGACGTGTTGAATCACCACAGCACGTGAGAGTGACGCAGAACTTCACAGCCCTGTGTCCCACCTTTGCCGCTGCAGCACTGCTTATTGGTGCGTTCACACGTCCCAAAAGATTGAAGTGGGTCCGCAGCCGCTGCGGAGTGGGGTCTAGCGGATAAAGTGGACGCGAAGCTTTGCCAAGCGCACGGGCTTTTGATCCGCCAACTGCTTCAGATCTGGACCTGCTCTTTGTGAGCAAGTCATTCACCACACACGAAGCAAGACACACAGTCCGTGGCACAACCCGGCCCATTGACTAGCATTCCGCCGGACCAATCTCGATACGTCCATCAGCGGTTCATTCATTTGGACATCGCTTTTCTAGATTCAACACGCAAGCCCATTCCTGGTCGGTTGGTCACTGTATGTCCCCCTTCTAATGTCAACTAGTCCCCGGCTTGCTCGTCTCGTTCACAACCAGCAGCTGCGTGCAAACCACTGGTCTGGTTTTCTCGGCACATCATGCTAACCAATATCAAGAAATAGCTCTCGGCATTAGGCGTCTTGCATCATATCGACGGCATCAGCCGTCCTCTGGCACATCACGATCGATTGATCATTAGCTCGTGATAGCCTGTGACACTTTGCTCGCCTGTAACTAATTTCATCCTTCGGTTGAACTGGCGTACCACTCTCAGAATTCTCTTACACATTTCTCATAAACAAAAACCGCCCTGCTTGCTACTGAGCAGGTCCAGACGCGACTTCTTGCGCAAGCTCATACTACCATTTTTTTCCTACTCGAGAATACAACACGACTATGGCGCCCCCAACTGGACCTCGTCGTGGTGGCTCTGCGCAAAAAACAGCCCTGCGTCCTACTCGTGGAGGAGGCATCTCTAAGCATCGGCCCGCTCCGAAGACTGACATCGATGGCGATATTGCTATGGGCGGACCACCTGCTGACACAAGCAAACGAGGTTCCGGTTCGTCCGGCCGCGGGGCTCGTGCAGGTCGCGGTGGCAGGGCGACGTCAAGAATGGCTCAGAACATTCGGAACTATGCCACCGAGCTTGCAGTTGGCAGCAATGGCGCCAAGACGCAACCCAACAAGACTGTCATAAAAATCCTCGGTCTGAAGAACAGCAAAGCTGCAAGTAATCCAGATGGTGGTTTGCGCTCACTGCTCGACTTCCTGGAGCGCAAATCTAAGGAAAAGATTACACTTGGAAGGGTACAGTGACACGTTAGAAAATATGTGTTATCAATATCCATACTAACTTTTCGCAGGGCATCATCGACGGCGACTATGTCTGGCTGAAAGTCAACAAAGACGACGCGCAGCATCTCCTAAGGCTCAACGGCTTCACCTACGCTGGTGCTACCTTGACCATTGAGGAGACAAACGAGCCAATGCCAGCACTGTCATCACAAAGCAAACTGTCCCAGGCAGCTCAGGAGACAAAGCAGAAACTCACCTCTTGTCTGGCTAGGAGGTACAATGCTGAGCAGAAGCTCCTGGATTTGTCGGCCTTGGGAACAGACGAGACTCTGAGTAGCCTGGGCTCCTTTAACAATCAGTCCCTTGCTGAGAAATCCTTCAAAGCCCTGATGCATCTTGTTAGCAACGAGTATAAGGACCCCGAGCAGAAGAACGAGGCAATCCAGGCCGTATCACTCGCTCGTAATGATATCCTCGATGTCGGCCAGGTCTACTCGTTGGCAGTAACTCTGCCTCGTCTTCGTCGTCTCGACCTTAGCGGAAATAATTTAGAGAACCTCTCTAAGATCTCCAAGTGGCAACAGGAGTTCCGATTCCTCGAGGAGCTTCATCTCACTGGAAACCCGGTCACAACTCTCCCGAACTATGCCACAGAAATTAAGAAGTGGTTCCCATCTCTCCAGATTCTGGATGGACAGCAAATCCGAACCCCCCAAGAGGCGGCTGAGTCGCTCAAGTCCTCGTTCCCAACACCCCTTCCGCAGCTGCCGTCAAACGTCAGGGATGGTGAAAACAATGTGGCCAGCACTTTCCTCCAGGCGTTCTTCCAGCTCTGGGATCATGACAGACTGACCCTGATCCCTCAGTTCTACGACTCGGAGACCACTTTCTCTGTTGTCTTTGCTACGGACTCACCCCAAGATCCTGCATCATCTTCATGTTCTAAATTCTCGAGAAACCTCAACATCCTTAGCCCGCGGCATCCTTCTACCCTGCAGCGTCTCTTCGTTGGTAGTAATCTTATCGCCGATCTCTGGAAGGTGCTCCCTGCCACTCGGCATCCCAGCCTCGATCAAACCAGCCAGTGGCTCATCGACTGCCACACCTTCCCACACCTCGCCGACCCGACTGGCATGGCTCCCTACGCCATGGGTCTGATGATTAACGTCAACGGCCAGTGCGAAGAGGCAGACATTTCGCAGAACCTCTACGGCACGCGCACCTTCTCGCGCTGCTTCATTCTCGGCCCTAGCAAGCCTGGTGCTCCGCACCCTTACCGTGTCCTGAGCGATCAGCTCACGCTGCACACTTGGAAGCCGCAGCCTGCACCGCAAGTCGGTACGGTCCCCCCTCCGGCCGTGGCGGCGCCTATGCCGGGAGCTGTGCCCATCCCTACTGCAACACCCGCTGTTGCTCCCGTGCCGCCAGTCATGGGCGACGAACCGGATGATGCCACCAAGGCGCAGCTTATTGCTGAGGTGTCCCGGCGCACTGGCATGAATGTGGAGTACTCGCAGATGTGCTTGACGGGCGCCGCGAACTGGAACCTGGAACTTGCGCTGCAGTCCTTTGAACAGCAGAAGGCTAATGTTCCGCCTGAGGCGTTCATTAGCCAACCTCAGGTGTGAAGCTGAAAGGATCTTGACACTACAACATCATCACAGCATGAAAAGGCAATAGCAGATAAGCGGGATGCTTTCAGGAACTTTCAGCGCATTCGATTTCACGAAGCTAGCAAGTGTCATGGACGCATCAGTGGAATGATGGATTGGTTGCTATTGTTCATATTTGTGAGGAAGTGGGGGAACTCTAAACCAAACCAACATACAGAAATAAAAACCAAACAAATAAAATGCGGAAAACCAAAACCAAATGTATACAGCGAAACCAAACCAAAAACTAAGTGGCGGAAAATGGATGGGCGGATGGACGGATGGGTGGGTGGGAGAGTGGTTCTGTGAAGCAGGCATGGCTCTTGTTGAATGTGATCAGAGACGAGGAATAACCTTTTTCAGGGGACCGGCATGGCAAGGAGGATGAGTTTGCTTTTAGACTGATACCAAGAGCGTTTTCTTCCCTTCTATCATCAGCATACATCGGGAAGGCAAAATGGGAGTCGTGTGCGTGTGGCTTTTGCTTTGGGAGCGGATTGAGATTCTTATATTGTGTTTTTATGGGAGGACCTTTTCATACAAAAGGACTTTGATTCACTTGGGGGAAAGGGTAGGACCTTTAGGAGCAGTGGTGAGCTGGCTTAGCATTATGACAGTGTACTTTAGAGCGAAACTTTCTACTTGGAGAGTATATGGATTGGGGGGAACAAGCTGGGATGGATTTGACGGGTTTGTTTGGGTTTATCAGCAGTTTGGGTCCCTTGGTCTTCTGGTGAGATGTGCTTGTGCTCATGGCTGGTGATGGTTAAGGAGTTTACGGGTTGCCATGTTAATACTACTGCCCTTTGACCAAAAAAAAATCACGGACATGAGACTCTAGGAAGATCACATCCCGGCGCTGATGTGTTTTGGGCTGTTTTTGTGATGGCTACGGACGTTCAGAGCATTGGATGTATTTTTTTTTTTTTTTTTTTACCTGGGCGTCCCAGGACCCGGACCTTATTCTGTCCCAAACTGCAAGCTAGAACGTAGAAGGATGGTTCCAATATATTGGATTTCAATTCAAGCTATTGACTCTTCAATCAATTATGACCCTTGAAAATTATTGCAATTTGCAAGGCCGAAGTCTCTCTGACGTCGACAAAGTGAATACGAAAACCTTCGTGATGATCGACAAAGCTGCAGATACCCATATGCCTTCGAGCCGAGTGCGACTGGACCTTTGCTAATCGATCTCAGCGCATTGTGCACATGTAAAACGATTTTTACTGCGCAATCCTGACTTTCATACCTAAATTACCCTCTACGTCGTCATTCCTTATCTGGGAAGTCGAACGCTTAAAGAGGCAGCCATACTCAAGCTGAAGAGTTCGCGTGTAAGCCTCAGGCCTCTCACCCCCCACCGTATCGATTGGCCAAGCGGCACTTGAACTGCATCACGGACGGGTTGGGTAATCGGGATCTGATCTTATGCCCATGTTTTTACGAAATCTTGCATTTTGCATTTCCGCTGAACGGGCATTGGCCAATTTGGGATGGGCTGAGCTTTGAAAGATGTTTGGCCAGCAGACGAGTCTTATTTTAACGTCTGCAAGAGTGAACTCTCATTGGCGCCGGGAGGTGACCTATCGAGAGGGCTCATAAGCTCGGAGCACCAATGACGAGAGAAAAGCTTACCTTGAGCTTGATGAGGAAGTTGGATAGGATATTGCTCAGTCATAGTGTGATAGACAAAGATACGTCGGATGGGAGAGTTCCTCCGTATCGACAATGGTATTGTCATCCTCGTGATATGTCTGTTGTTAGTGGCTTAGTGCTACTGATTTAATAGAATGATGACCTCTATCCCTCTCATGCGCCGCATCCCCCGCAGCGCCGTTCTGGGGCACAGCACCGCAGGCACGCTGCTGCAGCTATTCTTTTCCCGTACCGGATCGGCACGCGCAGCGGCTAAAAGGCTGCTTGCAGCTTGTCACAGTCAACAACTGTGCCGCCAGCTGACCGCAGCGAACGCCAAGGTAAACTTTCTCATCTTCTAACTCCAGCGATTTCAGTAATGACATGTTCAGGCAAAAGTGTCGCGAGAGAGGGGTTTGGGGGTTTCTGTCACCAGGGTCATAGAGCATCCTCGTAGCTGAATACTATTGTTGTTTTGCTGTGGATCTTGATTGCGCAGACGAGAGAAGTTTAAGCTGGGTAAGGGGATAGTGATAGGGTCGCCGTTCTTTGGCGGCGGCGTTGGCATAGCTTGCTTTGAACGCTCACCATAGAACTCATAGAAGCTAACTCATTGGTGCCACCAGGCCTTGTTAAACGGCCGAAATTACTCAATGGTTCGCGAGCGTCTGCCCCTTTTCTTGCTTGGCCTATGGAGGTCAAGTTTGCGGGCCTGCTTGGCCCACGTAGGCTGCTGGGAGTAGATGTTTATGCGCGTCTCTGTTATCGTCGTCAACCTGAGGACAGGAAGATCGAGACGGCCGCCTCACCAGAGTTCAACTCTGGAGGAAGCTATAGCCGGGCTTCGATAAATTCCATGGAAAGTGGAGGAATGTTTTGATTCTAGGGGGTTGGATGCTGGGTTGATGTGGGTTTAATGAACGTGTAGGGCATCCACACAGACGTTGACATCAAGCAAAGGATAGCATGAAATTCGACTGCGGAAGCTTCCAAGCTTTCGCAAACAGATGGCCGAAGCACAGGCTGTGAAATCCATCAATCCACAAAAAGCAGCTCTCTGGCTAGCGGTGGTGAAGGCTGATAGTGAGCCAGTTTCCAGTTTCTCAGCCTGTATCCAATCCAATGCCTTCGCCGTTGCAATTGGCGCGGGGCCCTTACTAGCCATGTGGGTGGGGCAGCGGTGGGGAGACCTGGTCTTGGCGCTCCAGGCATTGTAGACAGGAGTTAGGACAGGGGATCTTCTGTCCCCTTTGGGTTAGTGCGCGGTATGCTCTCGGCAGCCTAGTGTTTCAAGAAAATGCAGCGCAAGGGTTCGATTCGACCCGACTCCATGTTCCCTCGTCGCTGTTGTCTCCCTCACTTTTTGAGGGCAGAAGGTCGCATCGACGAGGTGAAAGGAACCGGCGCTTCTTTCTTCTGTGGCTTGGATGTGTGGTAGCGAAATCCCGAAATGCACTTTTGGTATGTGGTTGGCTGATGTCCAGTGATTTTTCGCTGATTTGATTTTCTGTGTCAGTGTGTCCTTTTGCTCTAACTTGCTCTTTGTGTAGGTATTGCAGGGCCGCGCTGGCCACAGGTTAGTGTTCCAGGTTGTGCTGTCCAAAAGCGGCATTGACAGCTTGATGCTGTTGGCGGAATCGAGGCCCGACTCGCAATTTGCGAAGATCCTGTTATATCATCTAGACCGGGAACCCAAACTCGGCGATGGCAGCAGTGCCTCTTTCACAGGAAGCACCGAACATCCCTTAAAGTGGTTACACCTGCAAGTACAGCGGACGGATATCTGCTCTCAACCCGGCAGTTCGAGAGCAGCATGTCGTTGTCGTATTCGGAGGAACTGGGTTCCAGCAAGCTGCTGCTCAGCAATTTTCTGGCGTTGCGCCCAAGCCCCCTTTTTGAAGGAGATATCAGTCCAATATCTGCGAGCAAGGTTGCTGCGATGTCACTCGGAGTCGGGGATACCTCGCCGGACGGTTGCCAAACGATGCGAGCAGGAGGTTGCTCGCATGAAGTTTTGAACATGCGGCAGGGAGGACCCTGGTCATGGCCGTTGACGTTGCGTTGACGTTCCTGATTCGACTAGGGCCTGTGGTGTTCCCAGCCCAAAGCTGTCCAGGGCTCCAGTGCTCGGCGAGGGCGCCCTCCATCCTGGGCACCCGCTACAAGCCCTGGCCCGTACCCCTTGTCTGACCCTCTGCCCATTCCTGTTTGGTTCATCGACCCTCGTCCTCTTGGATCACGGACCCCTGTCGTCGGTTGCCCGATGACTTGTTCGCTCTGCGCCGCCTGCGCTTTGCTCGCTCGTGCCCTTCCCCTCTTTCTGGTGGTGTCAGCTCGGGCAGCTGCTGCTTGAACTTTTCGTCAAAGGAAACGCGGGAGAGAAGGGAACGACAGTGCTGTTCCAAACTTTCTAGCCTTCCAACGTTCCATTTCGCCCTCCACGCTTTGTTCTTTACCCTACCATCATTTTCACTTAGCCTTTCGCTTTCTTACCTTTTCGCTCTCCTCCTTTCTGTACTACTCTACTATCCTCACATTTTCTCACCCGCGCCATAGGCACCGGCATTCGATCCTTTTCTCTTCTGTTTTTGACCACGACACACCGCTGGCATAGTCTATTCTCCGCGCCGTGTGGACTGATACCCGTGTTCAGGGGCTTGCAGGAGGGTAGACGGTTACATGCCATCCATCAAACACTTCTACAACAGAGAAACCCCCATTCACGTCACCCGCGGGCATCCTGCGACGCCGAACACTTCAGAACAGCGGATTTTTGTGTTTTGATCACCACCACCAACAGCTGCCTCTGCAGCTTGTTTTGCCTGTTTGCTTTGCGGAAACACAACCCGGCGTTTGTTCCGTCGATCTCCCTTCTCTGATCCAAACACAGGGGCCGGTCCTCGAGCTTCCAGATCGACGTTGTGCATTTGCTCCCGCTTTCCCTTCGCTCAGCACTCGTGCGTACTGCTAATTCGAAGCTTTCCCCCTTCTCAATCCCTTTTCTCAGCAATTGGATCGCCTGGCGCTCTGTTTGGACGACCCGATTGTCAATCCTCAGTCTGGACTGAACTCACGAGCGACCAATCCGTGTGCTTCGACATGTCTTTTTGAACGCGACCCTTCGTTGAGGCTTTCTGCTTGGCTGTAGGAGATTGGCCGCCCAGGTTTTGTATTCTGGATCAGCTGGCGGCCGAGTTAATCAACAATGCCACTTCCCAAGCCGAAGGTTGCGTTGAATAACGCGTGTTCGGTCATTTTCAACAACACACTATACGTCTATACTCCTGACGCTTTTCAGTCGCTGCGTTTGGAGCCAGGGGCGGAATGGAAGACGTTGCCGCATGGTGAGAAAGTGACGGGTGGTGTTTGCGTGGGTGCTCACACGGGTGTCTCAGAAACATCGTCATTCTGGGTTGTTGGTGGTATAGGAACCTCGGAGGATTATCATGGACTGCAAAAGTTCACGTATTCTACGGGTACATGGGAGACTATTAAGCTGCCGGAGGATGGGAAGGTGACACATCAACGGCAAGGGCATGCCGCTGTCTACTTAAACGCGACCGACTCGATCCTGGTTTATGGCGGCTCTCAAGATTTGACCACAAACCCGTCTTCGCAAACATACACCATTCGCGCGTCGGCACCGTATACGGCACTTGCTCACGATGGTGCTATTGCTCCTCCGTCGAGCAAGCCGATCCTGCTTCCGTGGTCTACTTACGAGGCTGTTCTGGTAGGCGGCAGCACCTGGAATACCCAAGTGATGCTATTTAATGGTGAGACCGGAGTCTGGCAGGATTCAGGGGCTACGCTCCTGGCACCGCTGCCCAAGGACACGTCCGCAATTCAGGGTGCGCTCCTGACGGGCGACGATGGATCAAAAAACCTCATCACCTTCGACGCGAGCGTTTCTCCTAACCTGGTTCAGCGGCATATCCTGTACACCGCTCCCGGGCAACCGGTCATTAACTCGGTGCCGGTACGGAGGAGGTCATCAAGGAGGATGGCCAGAAGGGCAGAGCCTCTAACACTGCAGAATTGGCCCGCGTATAACTCGACACTAGCTCCGACGACTACGAGGAGTAATTATGCGCTTGCCCAGGGTCCGGATGGGATGATTGTGATTGCTGGAGGTAACGAGGATGATGTGCTTTGCATGTTCGACGCGAAGCAGAACAGCTGGCAGGATGCGAATCAGAAGTTGGGACAGTTCCGCCTTCTGTCCTCTGACACAACAAGCTCGACAGTGTCGACGACGAAGACCACTGCTGCCACAGTATCCACTCTTGCGACCTCGGTGTCGAGCACAGCATCGCCTACAGGCTTGGTTACAGCCACCACAGCGGCGGAGACAGCGACCTCAACTCCTGATGTGCGGGTGCAAACTCTCTCAGGTGACGGCAAGGGCCCTTCAGTCAACACGGTTTTGGGTGCTGTTCTTGGTGGATTCTTTGGTCTCGCGGCAATTCTTGCCGCTATTTACTTCGTTCTGCGGAGGAAGAAGCTGCGGGAGAGCTATATTCGTAGGACGAGCGGGGAGGCATCAAACGAGAAGGATGGCGTGGGATTCTCAAAGGACACATATACCGCTGGGACAGTGTATCGCGGGGGTCACCAGTACAACGACTCGCAGAACTCGTTTTCGTCGATGGCAATTCTCATGGGCCACGCTGAGCCCTCAAAGCCGCGTCTACCCCCTCTCCGCTTGGGCCGCAAGGGGAGCAGTAGCAGCCGTCGCAAGTCCTCGACCAGCACGTTCAAGGACTTTAAGGCTGCAATCAGCAAGCCCATCCTGCATGAGGTACAGTCCATGTCCTCGACTCAGTTCCCGCCGAGACCACCCCGCGACGATACCTCTGGCTCCTCGACCCCTGCTAGCAACGGCCCTGAGCCTCGCCCCCGCAACCTGACTGGTGTTGTCGCCGATGACGCGACTCGTCGCAGCTCCGGCTGGAACCGCTACTGGTCCGGTGGCTCAGCATTAAACATCCTCGGCTTCGGCAGCGGCAACAAGGACGCCAACCTCACCCCAAACCCCAACGGTCCGGCTGGTCTGACCCCCAGCAACATTTCCCGCCCGACCACCTTCCACTCCGAGTCCGGCTCGTCGCACTACTCCGACCCACACCGCATGACCCGCGACAGCGCGACCGTGCCCCCACTGCAGGTCTTCACCAACCGCGACCATCCGCGCATGTCCTTCAGCCGCGTGCGTACCCAGAGCCCGACGATCGAGGTGCCTGAATCGCCATTGCACGAGGGGATGAGTGTTAAGATCGAAGGCGGCCCATCCAACACCACAACTAATGGCAGTACCACTAGCGGCCTCGCAGTCCTAGGTCTCGAAGAACCCCGTCCAGTGAGCGCGATGACCTACGGTTCAGCTTCCCAATACTCCAGCGGCATCCCCGAGTCGGTCGCTGAGGCGTGGGACCCGACTGCGACCAGCTCGAGTGCCTCCAACAGCAGAGATAGTAACAAGCCATGGGGCGACGGTAGGCCATATATGGGATTTGGTGGGTATCCGACGCCGCTGGCGCCTGCGTCTGCGGCGAGGGCGCAGCAGACACTGCAGCAAGGAGGGACCCAACCAAAGAGGAATATGCAGGAGCCGGTGAGGGATGATATGAGTTGGTTGAATTTGAATGCTAGCTGAAGCTAGTTTTGGGGTCTGTCGATCTGGTTGTTTTCGCTTCTTGGTTTGAGTTTTGGCGGCCCGGGATCGGTCATACATCAAGAAATGCTGGTTTTATTCGGCATCTTGCTGTCATCATCACTACCACCATCTTTGTTTACATCTTCGCTCTTATTTTTGGATACATTTCTGTTGCCGATACCAGCGTTCCTTTTCGTTTCTTTTGCTATTTGGTAGTTGAAGGTATCGTATCGCTGGAGTAATAGTGTTACCAGCTAGCCTTGGGCTCGTTGGTCCGGGTATAGGGGTAGTAGATGTAAGAGGGGGTAGGGCAGGTGTACTAGTACCACCTTTGTGTTTAAAGACGTACATAGGTATATACGGGCAGGGCTCTTGTATATTATTGTTGTTTTTCATATGCTTGGGTGGCTGTTGTGATTGCAACGTGGGATTGTATGCATGTTGGTATCTCTATATCGATCCAAAGTCTCTGAGCAAAGTTTCCTGGTCTGTGACTCAGCAAACAGCCTGCGTCCTGGACTCCCGATCTCGGTGCATCTTGGTAAGTCAAAGAAGCCCTGGAAATTCTTGTTATGACGCCGTAGTCGACTCTGGAGAGTCTTGGCTCTTGTCCGCCTTGGCAAAGTTGTCAAGTGACTTCAACCTACTGTCTCCTGTCTAGCAACCGCGGGTACGGACCAGAAATGAGCCAAATTGAAATCCATTCATACACTCATCTCTTCGAAAACATAGCATTGTTAAGTGGGTAAGCCTTATAAAAATCACAGCATACAGCACCGGGGATTCCCGGTCGTCACTGGCCAGAAGTCCTAGCCCGGCCCTCAGTGGTTCGTCTATGGGAGAACAGACGGGACCCCAAATCTTCCACCGGGTATGGTCAAGTGTAAAAGGAGAAAGCGAAAACTTGCATTAATGTGCCTCCGTCGCCTGGGACGGAGTTCTTTAACAAGAATCGCTGCTGCTCCAATAACCATTACCTGTTCTCAACGATCAACACGTTTGTTGGTTCCCGTTAGTACCTGAATCTTCCGTGCAGACCTTTTCCTACCTGCAGCAGGGCAATGCAACCTTGGTGGAATTTTTCTGCCATAATTGATTCCACACGTTCTGTTTGCGTTTTCCGCTGACTGGGGGGGGTCTCGCCTGTGAACTTGGCTGACTCACGAGAACGTGGCGGTGCCGCGGGGCCGGGAGCCCAGGGACTTGCTCAGCAAGGTTCTGTCCTAACAAGAGTTGCAGTTCCATGCAGACCGGCAGCGACAGCAGCAGCAGCGCGCGTGGTGTGGACGTGGGTAGCCCGCACACAGCGAGGGAGGGCCTGGATTTTCGCTCTCGCTTCCTGCAGCAGCGGAATGCTTGGATGCCCCACCAAATCCACGGATGTTGGGATGGGATTGGACAGTTTTTTATCGAATGGAGGGTCGCCCGCTTTCCATCCACCCCAGGGTCCAGTCGCGGCCCTCTCTGGTGATCGAGGGAGATCAAGAGGGACGGCAGCTCCCTCGTAACAGTTTATCGTCAGTCCCAACAGCGAGTCAAACCAAGAGAGCGCTCTCCTGACGCCGTCATCAAAGGGCCAACGATCCTGCCATTGCCACATCACTCCCTAAACCGCAGGGGCGCTTTTTCAAGTGCCCTTTAGCCCGCGGAAGTGGGCTTCGCGGATCGACTGGAATCGAGAAAGAGGGGAGACCGTCGCCATCGCAAATCGTAACAACACTTATCGTCGGACGGCTCGTGTTCGATCGGGACAACCCACTGTCAAGCTCACGAAACAGGACGGTCTCTGGTCAATTGGTGCTAGAGACTGTAGCACAAGATCTTGCTTCAGTACATAAAAGAAACGGACAAGAAGTGAGATAAAGATCGAGACAGACCCCGAGTGCTAGCAATCAACAGTCGCACATACATCACCACTCCTCCGTTCAACCGGCTGTCTGTCCAACGATGGACCCATCGACCTCGTGGGCCGTCGGCGACCGTCATGGCGCCACGGTTACGGACGACGCCCTCCAACAATTCCTGAACAACATGAACATGGACGCAGCTATGGGCAACCTGGCCGACGGCATGAACTACGATTTCCAGGACTTCCCGACGACCGTCGCAACAGCCCCGATGCTTTCGGCCCATGCGCCTGAACCCCTAGACTTGACGATGAGCGGTACGGATGCCGCTCAGGCAGCGGCGGCCGCGGCCGCAATGCTCGTGTCACCTGCGATGGGCCCCGTGCAGTCCATAGCGACCACGGCCCCTCCATTCGGGTCCATCCCGGCGTCGATGATGCCTCCGCCTACCCCGAGCGGTGCTGTTGTGGATAGCATTGATGCGCAGATCCAGTTCCTGCAGCAGGAGAAGCTGAGGCACCAGCAAAGGCAGTTGGAACAGCAGCAGCAAGCCGCTGCTCTCTTTGCCCGGCAACAGGCCGACATCATCCCTCCAACACCGCAGAGCTTCGAGATGCAACCTGGGGCTTCGCAGTTCCTAGGGCAGTCAAACGCAACCGAGCAGCATCATCATCATCATCAACAACAACGCCAGTCCGTGAGCTTCCAGAGTTTGACTGATCAGTCGGATGTTCGTCGACCCCTTGACAATGTTCACCATTATCATCACCGGGGAAGTGAGCATCTTACTGACCGTCTCCAGGTCTCGTTTACGCCATTGGTCTCTCCAGCCGTCACGCCGCTCGATGCCAATTTCTCCATCGAGTCACAGTTCAATGTGACGGGGACGATGTGCTTCAGCCCCTTAACGTCTCCAGCTCTGCACGCGCAGAACGATTGCCTGAATGTCTTCGACCAGAGGCAGACGATGAACGACTCGCCGATCGAGATGGACCTCGACTCGACTGTGGCTGCAGCGCAAAACCAGCCGCCAGGCGACTTAGCTAAGAAGATGCGCAAGAACGCAGCCAAAGCCCGGGCTAAGTCTGGCGCTGCCGGCATCAAGCAGTCTCCCATCTCGAAGCACGTGCGGAGGAAGACTGCCACCACCCCGAGTCTGAGTGCTCAGGCTTTGAGCGAGATAGCCGAGGGCGTGGAGAATAGCAACATTCAAGACAACCAGCAGCTACTGCTACCCACACCTATGATGCCGACAGCGAGTTCATCCTCGTCTACGGCTTCGGTAGGTGGCATTACGGACTCAGAGAACGGGTCGACCTCCCCCGAGGCCATGCCTGATTCTGTTACGTCGGAGATGCCACCACCGCCATTGCCCAGGTCAAGGTCAGCTAAGCCATCTCCTTTCCTTGCTCCGCAAGGTGGTGCTGGGGGTGTGTTGGGGAGCTTGCAGCCTAGGCAAGGTGTGGCCTCGCCTGCTACTCCGGCGTCGTTAATGAAGTTGAATTCGCCGGGGACTCGGAGCTCAGGGGTCAAGGCAGGTAGTCATGGCGCTGTGGATAACGACCACATCGAGGCTTTCTCGCTGCCAGAGTCAGCAAGCTTCGGCCACTCGACCATCGTCCCAGCCCCGAGCACCAGCCAACCCGTGGAGTCAACATCCACGCAACCGACACCCAAACAGCCGCCCAAAGATAGCGGTCCGTTCTCGAAAACCCCAGCTCTTGTCCCTCTCCCGTCGCCTTCTCTCCGGATCCCCCCAACAGCCGTCTCCTCCGCCGCTCCAAGCCCACAAATCCCCGCCATGAACTCCGGCCTCGACTCCCGCAAAACCACGCCTCAGATCGTGCCCCGCAACAGCAAGAAACGCCCCAGCGTCAGCTCCATCCCCGCCGGTGCAACAATATCCCCCGCGCTACGCCCAAAAATCTCGCCTAACATCAAGCCCCTGATTCCTGGTGGCGGGCAGGATGTTATCGACGAGGAGGAGGCATCACGAATATTGGCTTCGAAATCGAATTATCAGAGGATATTGGAGGGGAATCACTTACCGGGGGTTTCATATCCGAGTGAACTCAGCGCGAATCTCACGCAAAAGAGGACGTCGCATAAGCTGGCTGAGCAGGGGAGAAGGAATAGGATAAATTCTGCGTTGCAGGAGATTGCATCGTTGTTACCGAAGAAGACTTTTCTTCAGCAACAGCTGAAGGAGTCTTCTGAAGGGGAGGGAGGAGGGAATAATAGTAGTGAAGGTGGGCAGGGGCAAGGGCAGCAAAGGAAGAATAGTGGCGGGGTACCGATTAGTAAGGCGAGTACGGTTGAGATGGCGATTGAGTATATTAAGCAGCTGCAGAGGGAGGTGGCGGAGGCGACAAAACGGGCCGAGGAGGCGGAAAGGAGGTTGAGGGAACGGGAGGAGAGAGAGAGGGCTGGCTGCAAGGAGAGTAAAGAAAGTGGGAAAGGGGAAACGAATAATAAGGATGGGGACGTCAAGACGGATGAGGATAGCAAAGAGCAGTCTCAGAAGGAAGACCGAGGGAAGGATTTGGATGCGACTATGACGGAAAGTTGTTAGATGAGGGCTGGCTGGAAAGAGCGGGAGCTTTGGGCTTCGGGTGCGCAGCAAAAGGTACGCAAAAGGTCGTTTTCAGGGTCTATTTTGGATGCACAACAGCGGATAACACCCCGGGTGAGTAATGGTTCAGTCGATCGCCTTCATTGCCTTAATTAAGGTTATCTCTTGCGACTTTTATGACTTGGATAACATTACAACAGGTTTGGATAAACTACGTACAGTTTGGATGGGATAGTACATAGAACAGGGGATTTGATGGTAAAGATCGAATTGGACAAGTGCATAATGACAAATCAACAGCAGAGAGCTGCTCGTTTAAAGGTTATGTTTATAACACTCTTGATATGAATCCGTAACATCCGTGAGGGTTTCCAAGGTGACGCGTCCTCGCAGGGTGGCGAGGATGTAGGAGCAGCTCCCCTTGCTCCGTTTAAGCGGGGACTGTCTGCCTGTCAGGCCATTCACCCCTTGCTCTACTCCTTGCTCCTGATAACTATATATCACCCACTCACCCTCAGCCAGAACTGAGCTCAACAACAACCGGTCAGACCGGTCATACACTTATCAATAACTAAAGCAAAAGTCATGTCAACCCGGCCCGGAAACTCAGGCCAAGAGCCCGACCTCTACGACATTACTGCTGCCGCGAGAGCTGCCGAAGCGGAAATTATTGATGTTCATCATGGCCAGGAAGTGGGCAAAATTCCTACAACGAGCACAAAGACACAAGAGCGCAGTGGGAAGATGAATGGACAAGAACGACAGAGCAGTAGAAGAATGGCCAGCGGTGAGCCGGATTTGGAGGATATCACTGCTGCGGCGAGGGAAGCGGAGAGGGAGATTTTGGAGGGGAGGGGGAAGTAAAGGGTTTGGTATTTCCTACGCAACAAACGCTGAACCCTATAATCATATGATTTTTCATATAGGGGGGGGTTCATGAGGAAGTAAATGAAATAGCTGAGGTTAGGAGGGGTTCCGAAAGCCAAAGAAAGTCGTTAAAACATTAGGAGTTGGGAGAAGTGTTTTCCTCGAGTCACTGTCGTAGAAGGGGTACAAGCTGTGCTCTTATGAGATTCATTGTCAGACAGATAAGTTAAACGCGAGGTTTGATACCTAGGAAGCTGAAGATTTCATATGAAAGCATCCAAGACTTCACTTTAGTCCTTCGTCGAACTTTTCAATGTCGCCAGGGAGCCCCGTGAGACCATGCCCAAGCATGTGATGTGGCGCCACATACGCACCAGCCACAGCATGGCTTTACGGTTGCCATCAACAACAGGCTCCGCTTTCGTCATGACTCTCCCCCAGGCTTGGTTTGTTTTGTCGATTCGCGCTTGGCCCGGATCAGCAGCACAACACGTTTGCAATTTCCCCCCCCCCCCTTCTCTTTTCCCCGCATCGCGTCTCATCACCTTAGGATTCAAGCCGTATCCCGTGGCTTGCCAGGCATTGAGTGTAATAGTTGGCAGCACAAGGGAGCATTAACGGGTAAACGTGCGTCGGGCTGCAGATTACAGGTTACCACTGCATCAGCGCTGCTGCAGGCGGCAGGCAGCTGGGCGAGCAAGTTTAAAGCTACGAGCAATCAGCAAGGTTTACAGGTGTCAAGCGAGAAGCGACGTGCGTACCACACAGACCGCGACCGTTGTCGCGCGACGTGATCAGCACATCCCGACAGCGCTCCACCGGCAGGATAACATAACTTCCTGATCGACAACAGCACGCGCTGTTCTCAACTTCAGCTTTCTCTCCAACTTTACAAAAGCCCCTGGACAACAAACAAACCCCAAAAATGTCTGATTCAGAAAGTGTCGACTACCTGCAGTCGGATTTTGATCCATGGACGCTGACCGTCCCGCGCCTGCGCTCCATCCTGGTCACCCACAACGTTCCATACCCTGCAACAGCAAAGAAACCGCAGCTCATTGAGCTCTTCAACAAGCATGTTGTGCCTCAGTCGCAGGCGATCCTAGCTCGCCGTCTACGCGCCAAGCGCTCTAGCATGGGCATCATCGACGCCGACTCGCAGGACACCGGCACCAGCACCGATTTCGACCACGACCGCGACCTGCGCCCGCCGCCGTCCGTCTCGTCGAGGAGATCGCGCTCTCCTAGGAAGAGCGCCCGCGTCAAGCGCGAGCCCGAGGATTCAGACCGCGACCATCACCTGCCGCCTGCCACGCCTTCGTTCCGCGAAAGCCCGCGGAAGAGGTCGTCGCGCTCGGCTAGCATCCAGCCCGCGTCCACGTACGATAGCGACGTGTCCGTGCCGGATACGGAACCCGCTCGTTCTGTCCGTGGTCATCGTTTGACGACCCCGGTTCCGAAACTGGAGCCGCCGGAGGAGGAAGATGATAGCTTCTTCAAGCGGACGCCTGAGACTGAGGGTATCTTTACCGATGATAATCCTTTCCAGAGCGGCGCCAACACGCCTGCTTCAGCCTTCAAAACCCCGGCTAGCACTCGTCGCAAGACAACCATGGGCGTGTTTGAGTCGGCGAGGAAGACGCCGTCCACGGTTACGATGTCCTCGCGGCGTCGGACCGAGGACCCGATCTATACGGGGCAGGAGATCGAGGAGCCGCCGTCGACGATTAGCAGCGTCAACACGAGCCGTACTATCGAAGTTCCGTTTAGCAGCCGGGCGTATCGTTCCAAGACGCCCGAGACTGTCCAGTATGAAGAGACCGAGCCAGATGAGGAGTTCACTCCAGAAGAGCAGCTCGCCCTGATGGAGGAGGAGCGCGCCAACCCCGAGCTGGCCGCTGCTCGGAGACCGCCAGAGCCGCCCAAGCGTCGTTCAAGTCTCTGGACCCCGATCTGGGTTCTCTTCACCACTCTCCTGGTAGCCTACGCCGCCTGGTACAGACAAGAGAAGATCGCCGTCGGGTACTGCGGTCTCGGCCGGGAGCCGACCGAGGTCCTGCCTTCCAGCCTTCCTATCCCCGAGTGGGCGTCCGAGGTGGCCGCTAAGCTCGACATCCAGACCATCGAGGTTCCCGACTGGCTGCGCGCAGCTTTTAAGCCGCAGTGTGAGCCTTGCCCGCCGCATGCTTACTGCTACGAGGACTTCACTGCTCGGTGCGAGTCGGACTACCTTCTGAAGCCGCACCCCCTGGCTCTGGGTGGTCTCATCCCCCTGCCCCCGACGTGCGAACCCGACAGTGATAAGCTGCGGCGCGTACAGGCCGTGGCGGACAAGGCCGTCGAGGAGTTGCGTGAGCGGAGGGCCAAGTTTGAGTGCGGCGAGTCACTCGAGCCGAATGGCCCGCCTGTGGATAGTCCTGCTATAGAGGAGGAGGAGCTGAAGGCTATTTTGAGCAAGAAGAGGAGCAAGCGCATGGCCGCAGAGGAGTTTGATGAGCTCTGGGTTGCGGCCATCGGTGAGATTAAGGCCCGCGAGGAGGTCGAAGTACAGCAGGTTGAGACGCCGACTGAGTAAGTACCCTTTCTGCTTCTCTCACATTACCCTTAATCCATCATACAACGCACGCCGCTGCATTCCATTTCTTATCAAATACACATCATTTCTGACTTCGCGCGGGGGACTAACCAGACCCAACCGCGAACCACTAGATTCAGAGCCGGACCCGGAACCGGAGGATATCCCCATTCCTTTCCGACCCCCAAGTTATCGTCCCACTCTCTCGCTCGCCTTCCGTACGCCTGTGCGATCCGCCGCTCGGTCAAGCTCGGAGTGGCAAGACATCGACTCAGCATTGGAGGTGTGATTTTTGCCGTCTTCATGGTCCTGTATGCCCGCCGTCGCTACCTGCGTAATCGTGCCTGGGCCGCGCAGATTCCCACCCTTGTGGACGAGGTTTTGGGACGCCTGGAGGCGCAGAAGGAGTTGGCTTTTGAGGCGGGCGGGGATGAAGTCGATGCGTTCCTTTTCCTTCCCAACTTGCGCGATGACATGTTGCGGAGTATACACAACATCAAGGAGCGCGAAGCATTGTGGCAGCGTGTCAAGGTCGTGGTCGAGCAGAACAGTAATGTGCGGACGGGTCAGCGGGAGGGCCGCAACGGTGAAGTGGGTAGGGCGTGGGAGTGGATTGGTCCGACGATGAGTCGGACTGGGGATGGAAGTACGGCTAGAAGGAGAAATACCATGGGTATGAGGGTCTCGTGGGGGGAAGATGTGAAGGGGAGCGGGGATGAGACACCTAAGGCTGGGGATAGGACTTTTAGGAAGTGGGAGGAGGGAGGGACCGGGAGGGTGATTTATTAGTTGGTAATTGTTGATGTTGAGGAGTCGACTCTTGGGTCTTTGATAGAGGGATGGGTTGATGGAATGGATCTGGTTTCGGATCGATCGGATGATTGGAGATGAGTTCCTGTATGGAGGGCTTGGACTTGAGGATGAATAGGTATGGAGTTTCTTTCGTACGCTCTCTTGGTCTCTTTCCCTCCTTCCCTTCTTCCCTTTCTCCCTTTATCTCTGTATGTACCTGACTTGTCTACTTTATCCCTCCGGTTCGGATGCCACACTCCTTGGCTTGTTTTCTTTTCTTTTTTTTTCCTTTTTCCCTCTGTTCAGGATTCTGTGTATGTATTTACATAAGCTACTACACTGTGCTATTTCTATCCAATCGAGGAAGATCACTAGGTTTATTATTGAGGGTTGTTTCACTAGGACATATAGTGACAGCTGCTTCCCGGACGGTGATGATTTATGCTTGGAGATATCGCCTTATCTTTCCATCTCATCTTTGTCCCCCCTCAACCACCCAGTCCACTAACTTCCTCCATTCCGACTTAAAATACAAGGTATCCAACTCTTTATCCCAACCAGCTCCTCAGCTTGACAATGATCAAGTGGTTTGGTGAGCGCAGCAATACACTGCTTCGGTATTCATCCTTCCTCCGGAAGTTGATGTGGATTCAACTAAATATCTGTGGTCCTTATCTGCCCAGGGATTGCTTTGCGTATGGGAAGTTTAGGTTTTTTTTTTTTTCGTTTTTGGCATATTTGCTTAACCAAAGAACCATGTGAGCATGAATGGAGAGATAGAAAAGAAAACCACACTCTAATTAAAAGCAAAAAACGTTTGAAGAAAATTTCCATGTCCAAGCAGGCTGTTCACATCAGCACCGACTAACACCCATAAACCATATCCAATTGCTAGCACAGGAGAACCACAGCAACACGCATCCAATCTTATTTTTTTTTACCTTTTTTTTTAGCTTTTTTCTACCCTTCTATCGCCTACCACTTCCCTACACAATCTACCTGGTATTATGAATATCCAAAACCAACACATCCTGTGCGCCAACCTGCACCAGCTCGTCCATGACCGTAGCAATCCTCTTCTTCTCCACCATTGCGCTGACCGCCACCCAGCCCTCCTCGTCAAGCGAGGTGACTGTTGGCGCGCGCTTACCGGGCGTGATCTTGACCGCGGCGGCCAGCTTCTCGCGTGGCACGTTGTACTGGCAGAGGACAAACTTCTGGGCGGTGATGACGCCGTTGATACGCGAGGCGATCAGGTCGACCAGGGCTGGGTTCGAGGGCGCTTTGGATTTGATCAAGATGGCGGAGGTCTCGATGACCGTGTCGATTGCCTTGAGGCCGGCAGCTTTCATTGTCTCGCCGGATTCTATAAGGGGGAGGGGGGTGAGTTGAGCAAGGGGTTCATAGGGGGTTCATTCACGGGGAAGGGGAAGAGACTTACCAACAAGGTCAACAATACCATCGGCGACACCCAGGGCACAGGCAGCCTCAACGCTACCGCTCAGTTCAATAATCTTGGTGCGCAGCTTGCGATTTTGCAGCTCAACCGGGTCGGTAATCCCCTCCTGCTCAGCCTCTAAGCGCGCAAAGTACTCATGGGTCAAGTGCACAAAGCTGGTGCCAATATTCTTCCCAATCAGGTCGCGGCCTTCCTTGTACTCGCCCTTCGCGGGGACCTGGACCTGCAGCTTGCAGGCTCCGAACCCAAGGTCGAGCACTGTCTCGCAGCCGTGGGGTTTACCCGTCGAGGGGCTCTCGCTGTTGCTAAAGTCGTTGCTCATGCGCCGTGCACGCGCCAGCGCCCGCACGCCCGCATCGTGTTCCTGCACCTGGTCGTAGCCCGTTATGCCCAGGTCGACGCGGCCCTCGCCTACGAAGGTCGGGATGTCGGCGGCGGGCAGAAAGACCAGCGCGATGGGCAGGTTCTTCACCAGTGCGATGTCCAGCCGGTTTTCGCGCTTGAACTGGATGTCGGCGCCCTCGAGAAGGTTCAGGCTGGCCTGAAGGAGGCGGCCCTCTTTCCGTGGGGGTCAGTCATGGAGGTTTCGAAAGACATGTGGGGGAGCGAACGCGGCACACACTCTTGGGGACTGCGAAAAGCAGTCGACCTTCTAGGCTTTCCGGGGTAATTAGCTTTTGGGTCATGTCGAACTTTTTTTTTTTTTTTCGGCGGGGAGGGGGGGGGTTGGTTGTGATAAGCGACAGAAGGGCAATGGCAGAAAAGATGGGTATAGGTTCAGGGATTTCAGAGGAGGGCTACTAACTGATTGACCAGATCCATGGCAACTAGGAGGGATATGGATGATCTGGACCGGGGACTAGGACGGAACTCTCGGGGAGACTGTCAGTATACAGCCTCAAGCGGCAGTATGGAGGGGGTACAGACTCGGAGAGGAGAGGAATGAGGGCCGAGTTTGGGGCGTCTGAATGGTCGGGATGACGTTCGTGTTGGCGTCGATAGGTCGTACAACAGTGGCAGCAAGCGTCGTCTGGCCGTAGTCGCCTGTCACGGGCAGAAGAACAAGAGCGCAGAGCAAAGGTGGTTTACAACTCGACACTTTGAACTTGAACTAGAGGGGCGAGCCGGGACGATGGGCAAGGCGCAGCGGGTGTGTGGACTTTTTTATGGGTCCTGACCGGCCTGTTCACAATCTGAGAGGTCGAGTCACGGCTGTCTGGACCGTTGTGATGGAATTTTGTTCGGGGATAGACCTGCTGCTGGGTCCCGTAAGGGTTCTTTTGACTTTTCGACGGAGAGGGTCCAAGTTCAAGTCCTGCATCGGAGCCCGGCGATCGACTCATCGCTGCCTCTCACTCGCCCGCTCACCGGCGCTGGAGAGGGGCATGGTGGGGCTCGCTGCGCATCCACGTTTTCTTGGCATGAGCTTGACTATGGCGAGGGTGGTACCTCAATCTCGATGTTTGCAGATGTGTCCATGGCGTTTCCGATGTTGTTGCCAGTTTGGCCTGAGGTGTCAGAGGACATCTGGAGTTTCTTGAATATCAATGAGCGACGCTGCGAGAAATGTCAGCCAAGCTCCTCTGAAATTTTGGCTTAGCGACCATTTCTTACGTAACAATACATACAGGTCAGGGCTTGGGTTGGATTTTAGAAGGGGTTCCTCACACGGTTGGCTATATCTGCTTTCTCGACTAGTTTGCAGTAAGAGGCAGGAAATGAAGGCTCCAACAAGTTTATGACACGTATACTTTTGACATTGAGCTGTCAATATTCTCTCTTGAGCACCAAAGGGAGTCGTATTGTCCTCACTTATACGGATACTGGCCGTTACACCTCTCCTGTTACTGTAACGTAACGGCCATCGACCCGACGTTGAGCCCCTATTTCGGCGGGCCATCTCCAAATTTCTTGGCACCAAGCTTGGGATTCAGTGATAAGATGGTCTCTTGTGCAGTCAGCGTCCAACTTTCGCTCATTGTCCAGCATCGTGGTCCATGGAACCCTCTGTCCAGTCGGACACTCGCTTCTGTTGCCTGATACTGTTTTTTTTTCTAAACTTTCTAGAGTTTTGCAATTTTGATTTCTTATACTGGTTTGACTTTGTAGTTTCGCTCGTTCTCCCTTTGCTGTGCTCCCTCGCCTTCCCTCGTTCGCTCGCTCGTTTCGCAATTGGTCGCCTGTCGGCGCAGCCCCGATCTCCAATCGATCGACAAGCACTGAGGCCACGGGGACCTGAACTGCACCGCAGCCAGCCACATATAACCGATTCTCGTCCGTGTACGACTGTTGCCTATCCCTACGGCGCCGTTCTCGTCCGAGTCGGTGCTGCGTCGTATTTATCCAGGTCTTCGATGGCGTATTTGGTGGTAAGAACACCGTTGTTATCTGTAGTTCCATGCCCCTCCGTTCATTATCTTCTCGTGTTTCGGCCACGACGCACATGGAAGTCGTCGACAGCGATGCTGATCTGACCCTTACGCAGACGCTGACCTGAGTGCTAAACGCACATCTAGCCTCTCGATCCCTCTCCAGCTGCTTGAATATTTTGTAGCCGCATCGTCTGCGCCGTCAGCGAGTGCCGTCATTCTTCCTACCAGCACCCGGGCTGTCGCAAGTCGAAGCAGCTTCCAAAATTTAGGAAGTTTTACTCGGCAACCATCGCCCCGCTTTCAAGTCTAGCCGCTCTTCCCGTCCGGTCTGCGTACGAGCAGGCCGTTGAACACCACACGGTCTAGACGGCCCAAGATAACACCAAGATGTCAACCTGGGCGGGACAGCCGCACGTGAAGGGGAGCACCGAGACCATGCGCATGGTGCTGCTGACATGCGTCTCGATCGGTATTACGTCCGTGATGCGTCCGGCTTTTAGTTTGAGTTTGCGTGCAGTTGGGGCTGACTTTGTGGCTGTAGCTTTACGTGGGGTGTTGAGATGACATGTAAGATTAAGATGCCCCTCTTAATCTCTGCTCCTGGGGCAGATATGCTGACTTCTCAGACTGTACGCCATATCTCCTCTCACTCGGCTTGACCAAGGGCCAGACATCGCTGGTATGGCTTGCTGGTCCCCTTTCGGGGTTGATCGTTCAACCGATCATAGGTGTAATAGCGGACGAGTCGACCTCGAAATGGGGCCGTCGCCGGCCTATCATTGTCATTGGCTCTGCCATTGTCGCCATGAGCCTTGTCACTCTTGGCTTTACGAAGGAGATTGTGGGTCATTTCGTCACAGACCCGGACATAGCGCGGTCATTGACCATTATGTTGGCCGTCCTGGCCCTCTATACTGTAGACTTCTCTATCAATGCAGGTGAGCATTCCAGCGATGTTTCTTGTGCTCGTCAAGGTGTCGCTAACGAAGCTGTAGTGATGTCCTGCGCGCGAAGTTTGGTTGTGGATACACTACCCATCCACAAGCAGCAGACTGGTGCTGCGTGGCGTAAGCGATCCCTTGCTTTCTACCCCTTGACTTTCCCTTCCCCTTGTAACTAACCGCGCTAGTGAGCCGTATGAACTCCCTCGGCCACATCATCGGCTACGCTATGGGCGCGATCGATCTCGTCCGGCTCTTCGGCCCGCGCCTTGGTGACAGCCAGTTCAAACAACTCACTGTCATCGCCGCTCTGGGAATGCTCAGCACAGCAGGCGTCACCTGCTGGGCAGTAACCGAGCGGGTGCTCCTCTCCGTGCGGCCCGATCCGCGCCGCTCAACAGGGCGTTTCAAGATCGTGCGCCAGATTTGGTCGACCCTGCTAACCCTCCCCCCTCGCATCCGCGGCATCTGCAATGCCGTCTTCTGGTCCTGGATCGGCTGGTTCCCGTTCATCGTTTATAGCAGCACCTGGGTCGGCGAAATGTACTTCCGGCATGACGTGCCCCCCGAGGCACGAAATTCTCATGATGCTCTCGGTGAGATGGGCCGTATTGGAAGCATGGCGTTAACCGTCTACTCGACCATGTCCTTCCTCAGCGCGTGGATCTTGCCGGCGTTGATTCGCTCTCCGGAGGATGAAATGCCCCCAGCCTACACCCCGCGCCCGCCTACGAGTCTGGCGCCGTACATCGAGGCATTCAACAAAGTCAAGCCGGACCTTCTGACCGCCTGGATCGCTAGTTGCGTTCTTTTCGCAGGCGCAATGTTTCTCACCCCGTTTGCTACCTCCTTCCGCTTGGCGACAGCCATCGTCGCGTTGTGCGGTATCCCCTGGAGTATCTCCCAGTGGGCACCCGTCACCTTCCTCGGCGTCGAGGTCAACAAGATGAGCAGCTCATCACCTTTCACACGCCCGCCGTCCTCGCCCCCCTATTATCACCGCCGGCGGGACTCTAACGACGGAACGACGGCCAGCAGCGAGAATAGTATCGAACTGCTGACACTGGAGCATGGTCCCGCCACAACGGCGAATAGCAGCGCTGCTAGCAGCGGCCTGCTTGAAGCCGGTGCCTTGAGTCATGGCGGCTCATCATCATCTACTGGCGAGCTCTCGGGCATCTACTTTGGCATTCTCAACATATATGTTACGATTCCGCAGTTTTTGAGCACCCTCATGAGCGGAATTATATTTGCTGTGCTCGAACCGGGGAAGAGTCCCGAGTTGGCCGGCCATGGACATGGTGCTGTGATGGATGATACGACGCATGGCCCGGACCCGAGTAAAGGGCCGAACGCAATTGCCGTGTGTTTGTTGCTTGGAGCGATCAGCTCGCTTGTGGCTGCTTGGACGACGAGGAAATTGAGGTGGTTATGACCCCGATTGTAAGGACGAACTTTCTTTTTTTTTGGGGGGGGGGGGGGAGGAGGCTCAGGAGTTGGGATTAAGTGCAGATGAGAGAGGAGAGACACCCGAATGGAAGCGGGCTTATTATCTGCAACAGACGGGTTGGTACCTGGATCTTTCTACATAATGTCTTTTCATGGCTTGATAACTATTGGACTGCTGGGCTATCTTTGATTGGCTGTTTGCCTTGCCTGTCTATACATGGTTTAGATTTGGCTCTATTTTCTGCATAGATGGATGGGATGAGGACAGGGATAAAAAAAGAGAGATTGTTTACTAGCACGGCAATGGATTATATCACTGTGGAACTTCTGCTATAGTTGAAATCGCCATAATGTTTGTCCAGAATGCCGGCAGCTCATCAAAAAAAAAAAAAAAGCACGGTTAGAGTGTCACTCCGAGTCATGATTAGCTTTCTTCGTGTTTCCTTATCGGCTCTGACCGACAGAAAGATTCCCTGGAGATTTGGAACACTGAAACACACAAATATAAAGATAATATTCCTCGTATCGTCCTACCCGTGTAGATGACTCTGTAGAACTGTGTTGTTAACTAGCAGGACAGGTATGTTGCTTTTCACACGTGCAGCATCCACTCATCAAGACGACAAATTAAGATGTTTTGTTCATGATGCACTTATCTCCTCTGGAGATTTTCCCGGATAGGAGAAAAGAAAAAAAGAAATAAACGATTAAATATCCACCTATCAAAGGAAAAGAAGGGGGAAAAAAAGACAACAAACTCCTCTACACACACACTCTCAGCCCTTCTCAAGGGATGGGCACAGCAGCCGCCCAGTTCTCATGTTGAATCCCGAGCCCATCGTTGGGATCCTACCTTTATCAGATTGGAAGACATACCGTGCCGCTTGATCATTCGGTTAAGTAGAAGGAGCTGGTTGTTAGGAGCGATATGGCTGGAAGAGGTATACATAGTTTGGAAGAAAGGTTAGGGTTAAGAGGGAGAGTGTAAGTAAGGGTGGGTCAGTGTGCTAGAGGGAGAGAGGATTGCAGCCTCGGTTCATGGGCAAACTCAGTCCCGTCAGGAATTTAGGTTGGGGAGACAATTCGATAGTTATTCTGGCAAAGTCGTCTTGGTGATGGTCTTCTATCAAGAGGTTTCACACCTTAACATGGACTGAGAAAGACGAAAGTCAGCAGCCATAGAGGATCCTAGCCAACTCATGGTAGTTAGGTAAACCACAACATCTTGAGAGCACTTTACACAGTGGGCTAATAACTGAACCATACCCAACATTACCCCAATGCAGGTGTGTATTTATTAACCTAGGTGCCCGAGTAAAGCAACATAGGCCAGTGAGCCCGCAAGGTTAAGCAGGTAGGCGCCCTCCTCTCTCCCCTATTCACGAATTCAGCAACAATCACCACAACTGTCCTGACAGAGGACATAACCAAGAGACGATATGCTTTACGTTCGAGAAACAGTTCTCAATTCCCCCTTATGCCACGCATACAATTGTTCAACTAATGATTGACCAATCCATCCGAAACTCCGTCTTGTTTATATTAAATTACGCGCCCTAGGTTTCGTATAAGGCAGGTGTGTGCTATGTAGTTGCAGTAGTAAGTACGTAGTAGTCAGGCCAAGGTTGAAGTTGGAAAGTGCTGGGTTAGGTCAAAGGTTAGGGTAGAGGGAGAGAGGTGGGTTCAGGGGTTTGGTGTGAAAAGGGGAGAGAAAGTTCCCACAGCCATCTTTCTCTTCTTCCATCGAGAAATAAACCAACCAACCAGCCGTTCAATCCTTCCCTGATATCGTTCCGTCGTCTTCATTCTTCCTGGCCTGGTTCTTCTTCCTTGCTCCTCCTCCGATCCAGGCATCATGATGGATGACTGATGATCGACCGAACAGACCTAATGCATATCTCCTTCTTCCTTCCTTTCTTGGAAACCCTTTCGAATGCCTGCTATTGTTTCGATGATCAAGCAGCCGATAGGACAGATTAAGTAGGCAATGCGAGAGAAAATACCCTTTTGAAAACAAACCAAGCCAACCAGCCGAAACCGAACAAGAGCACTAATAACAGAAAACGAGCAAGGAAAAAAGCGAGAGGGTAAAAAAAAAAGAAAAAAAGAACAACGATGAGATATAAATGCTCCAGTCCCCAAATGTATGTATCTTCCGGTGCAATGCTATTCACACCCGTAGTGCAGTATCGAATGCCCTTTTCTCACATGACAATGCACTCCTTATCGTCCTTATCGACACCGCCATGCTGCTTCTTCTTGCTGATCTTTGCCGGGCCATCAGGCAGGTTACCGCCGCTAGCGGCCGCCCGGATGGCTGCAATGCGCTGCTTGGCGCGCTCGTCGCCAGCGTCAGCCGCTTTGACATACCACACGTTAGCCTCGAGGATGTCGCGCCGGCAGCCGATGCCCATCTCGGTGAAGTAACCCACAGCATACTGCGCTTTTACATAACCTAGTGTGTGATCAAACACCAGTTAGTATCTCTTGTATCCGAGTCTAGGCAAAGAGAGGAAAAAAAAAAAAAGAACATACCGAGCTCGGCAGCCCGCCTAGCCCACTCATACGCCTCCTCTTCATCGCGCTCCAGGACGGGCTCGGCGCCCACCATATACCAGGCGCAGAGGCCCATCATGGCGGCTGGATGTCCGCGCTCGGCGGCGCCCGTGTAGAAATGCACACTCAGCGCCGGATCGCGCGGGCAATTGAGCTTGCCGTGCTCGTAGGCGTCGCCCATGCGGTAATTGGCCTCGGGGTGGCCCAGTTGGGCGGCCTGAGTGAAAAGCTCGGCGGCATAGCTCTCATCCTGGAAGATATCGTCGCCGTACCCATGCTCGTACAGGCAGCCGAGATGGTAAGGCGCCGCGTTGTATATGCTGTCGGCCGCTTCCGCAGCAAGCTTGAGCCACTTGATGCCCTCGCGGTAGCGCTTCTCGCCGAGGTCGCCAGACAAGCAGGCGACGCCCAGGCGGGTCATGGCCCCCGGGTGGCGCTTGGAGGCGGCAGAACGCAAGAACTGAACGGCCTTGGCAGGGTCTTTGCGGCAGCCCCAGCCGAACTCGTAGCACAGCGCGGTACGGTAGGCGGACTCTGCGTGGCCGTGTTTGGCAGCGAGGACGAACAGGGGGAAGGCCGAGTTGTAGTCCTCCTTGCCCTTGCTGAACAGGCCCGATGCGTAGCCATCGGCAAGGTAGTACTGCGCGAACGGGTACCCGTTGTTGCTCAACTTCTGTAGGATGGCGCGCGCTTCACGCACCAGGTCGTACGGAGATGATGACGTGGCGCCGTTGCTGCCGCCGTCTGGCTTGGGACTCTTTGTCCGCTGCTGTTTATGTGGCTCCGCGGGATCGAAGCCCATTTCTTGCGCCGTGGCGATGAGGAAGACTGCGAACGAGTAGAGCGTAGCAAAATCGTTCGTCTTCTTCACATTCTGCCGGTACATCTCGAGCGTCTTCTCCGTGCTGAGCAGGGACGCGTTGCTGCCCACGACCGAGCGCAGCTGCGAGTTATCCATCGAGATGGGCGCCGGCGCCTGCTGCGGGTAGGGCATGCTGAGCAGCTCTACGTACGACGAGGGCCGCACATCGGGTGATCTCCTCGTCGAAGACGGCGACCGGTACTGCGAGTTACCATACAAATTTGGGGAGCGGCCGCGAACACCATACTCGGACGTTACCGAGTAGGCCGACTGCGGGCGCGGTAGTGAGCTTCTCCTCATGTATTTCGCGTTGGGGGTCAGATGGCGGTTGACGGCTGCCCCGGTTTCTAGATTCGAACTGGACTGGGCGCGAGGATCCTGGTCGGTCAGGCTCGGGGGTCGCGGGAGGAAGGCTTGATGGTGGTACTGCAGCGGCTGCACAGGTTCGGGAGGCGGGGCATTCTCGTCAATGGGTACGCTTTCGATGGATGCGTCGGCCGACTTGTTGTCCTGGTTATCTGCGCAGTCGAGGACACCGGACATGGAGCTGTCACTCGTCGTCGCCGAGGACTCGGCCGAAGTCGGCTGCTGAGACGTACTCTCCGTGGAATCCGACTCTCGGCTGTTCCTCTTGACCGGCCCGTTGGGTTGGGGGGCTCTGACGCCATTTGACGCCGGGGTAACCGCTGTGGTCGGCGAGAGCGAGTTCTCAGCACCTGGCACATAATTCTGCGCAGCAGCAGGTATTTGCGAAGGTTGTTGTGGCTGGCTATACTGTTGCCATGGTTGTTGTTGGGGGTTATACGGTTGGTAAGCTTGACATTGCCTCTGTTCAGCCCCGTACTGCTGGGGAGTATGAGGAGGGGGCGTGGGAGCTTCGGGTGACTTAGGGAGGGGTCGTTCGTAAACAGGCGCTGGAATGGGGCCTGCGTGAGGGATATGAGTCTCGATAGTGCCGGCCGAGGGCCTGGCCCAGTCTTCTGGCTGGAAATTGACCTTGACGGGCGACATGGGCGGCTGACGGATACGGGGAGATGAATCAGGAACGCCGGAACCGGGCTTCAAGTTCTCCCCCCAGTCATAGCGCTCTATGGGTGAGAGGCCATGGTGAGGGAGAGGTTTCCTGTGGACGGGACTTGTGGGAGAGGCTGGAGAAGTGGGAGAAGAGGGCGGCGCAGAGCCAACGGCCGCCATGGCAGGCGGTCGAAGCGAGGGATCGCCGGTGGTAGTGGAGCTGAATGCGGGAGAGGGGAGAGAGGGGACGATGTGCGGCCGGATATAGAGATCGGAGTCGATTGATGAGGAACGCGGGTTCTAAAATATGCTTCTTTTGGTGTTGCTGGCTGTGGGGGGGGGGACTCTCTGAGATCGGATCTAGGTAGGGCGCGGGGGCCAGGGGAAAGAAAGGAGCTGTCCGTCGCAGACGTCGGTCGGTTGGGGGACAGAGAAGAGAAGAGAAGACGGGGAACCTGGCGAAATTGGAGATGGAGCTCGGGTTGAAGAATCGAGGAGTCGGTTTGGATTCGGAACTCTGGCCGAGTGCAGGAGTCCAGTGCAGGTGACGACGAAGTGTCAGTCGAGGTGCCAGGTGCCAAACAGGTGCTGGATGAGCAGTGAGGGACTCAGGGACCGAGCGAGTGATGTAGGTACGTGCTTCCCCTTAGGGGTCCTGGTCTCTCCTGGCCTTGGGGATGGGGATCCGCAGAGCGTGGGTAGGGCGCAATTCCGCACGAAACCTAAACCTGGAAGTCGTGTGGAATGTTTCGCGCAGCAGATCAGGTTTTCGCGGCTTATCGAAGTCCAGGGTCCAGGTTGTTCCTAACTTCTAACTCACGAACAGCCCAGGATCCTGTACTTCTGAAAAACAACTGGCCTTTCTGGCTGCTTGCAAAAATAAATCTATATTCCAGACTCGCTCGCAAGCACACCGAAATCGAGTTCACCGAAACCCAATCACGATCGTACGGATCGTTAACAAGCGAATGCACTTTCTGCGGTCAGCACCCAAATTCTGAGCTCCGCGGCTTGCTGCCGGATCGGACAAGCTGCAATGTAATTCTATCAAGTTCCCGAGGCAATGGATACTGAGGTTGGGATCTAGGCTACGGATACCTAGCCCAGGTTCCAAGTTTCCGAAATCCTAACGAGCGGCAGCGGCAGCGGCAGGGGCGGTTGGAGACTGTAGGACGGCAGCGAGAGATGTCGGCGACCGTGACCGTGACCGTAACAACCTCGGCCGTGGGACGGATGGTGACAGCGTCAGCGACAGCGGACCACGTGGTCGTTGGGGGGGGGGGGAGGGGAAAAAGAGAAAGGGAGAAAAGAATAAAAAAGGGGAGGAAATGAGACCAGCGAGCGTCGAGGTTGGGACAAAGGCTGAGTTGCAGAGAGAATAAAAGGGCAACAGACGGCAACGAGTGCAGCAGCACCACCTGTTGAGGTGATGGATGGAGTTGCAGGAAAGGGCAGGGTTGGGGTCTTGGGGTCTTGGAATGAGGTGTGTGCGTGAGAGTCCGGGAACCAGGTGTGAAAGATGGGAGATGCTGGGCATCAGCACAACCAGCACCAGCGGAGCACGCTGCCTTGCCCTGCGGTGCTGTTGCAGCCACTGCAAGCTAAAGCATGGGTGGCTCTGGCTGGCCTTGAAGGCTCTGTTGCAGCGCTCTCATTGGGTCCAACCCAGGTGCCCTGTGCTTGTTCGCGAGCCTGGCTACGGAGAGCGAAACTGGCCGCGCCACGATTGCAGAATGCTCGGAGCCTTGTTTGTGGTGATGTCGCTGACATTTCCCAGTGTTCAAGTAGTTCGGTCCCCAATTCGGTCCACTCCAGGTCTATTCAGGCATTGCTCGCTCGAACACAGTGCTCGCGTCGACTTACATTACGCATCGCCTGAAAGACGATGCTGACGGTGAGTGATTTCAATCCCCTCATCATCCTGACTTGAGCTGGATTGTAGCAGATGGCTCCCTTTTGATTGTCTAGAATGACAGTAACAGATCGAGAAATAGAAAGCTCGATAAAAAAAAAAACAGGTTTGGAGATCCCATCTGCCTTTCCCTAGAGGGGAAGCTGTGCGTCTCTATTACTTGCTGCAGTGATCTCCTAATGCGCGCTAGCGTAGGAACGCTACGGAGAACGCCACAGAGCTAAGTCACGGAGACAAAAATTTCAACCCTTTTCATCCCTCCCTGTCGTTGCGGAAAGGCTTGTCTTGTGTCATTGCGCCATTCAGCCCTGGTTTGCTTTCACTTTTCAGTGCTGTGTCACCGACGAGCTTTGAGAAGAGACAATAAACACCCTATTCTCGAAGGAGCGGGAAAAATGGTGAATCTTTTGCCCCCTTGTCTTAGCTGCACGACCCTCTCTGCCATTAAAGTGTAGAATGCTACTGGAGAACTGGAGAGCTACTTCGCCTAACCCCGCGTTCAATGCACGCGCGAGCGGTGCCGCCGATGATACCATTCCATGGCTTCCTGTGGAAGCTCATCAGATGAGGGAAACCTCTCAATCGCGGAGGGTGCTTTTGCCAACCTGTCCTTGCTGTTCATCTTGCTTCTCTCTATGCCGTTATGTCTCATATACCTCTACCTAAGCTGTCAATGCATTATGAGCATCACTATAACTGACGTAGTCCAAGCCCCTGTGATCAAGACACATCCATGGTTATCCTCATTGCAGCCACTGGAAGCTTGTTTCTCCTACAATACTACACAACGGAGTACTGACCCCGTATTCCGGAATCCGGAAATACGGCCCTTACACAGCATATCTGATCGAGTTGGAGGTTGCATGCGAGCACAGATCAGGCACAGAATATCATCAAGATCATGATTTTGGTCCCGGTTTCCGCAAAAACCTTGGCCGGTTCCCTCCGTATCCCATGCCCCTCCACAATAGCCAATGATTTCGCCACGCACATCCTTATTTGGTCAAGAACATTTCTCTCTTTTTTTTCCTTGCTGCTCACTGGCGACGAGATCTCGCTTAACTTCGATCCGCGCTGCGGTTAGGCAGGCCTGCGCTAGTCTACGGAGGGCCATATTTTAACATCTCCCATTCACAACAACTCTCACTCAAGCTATGTATGTATGGATACAGAAGCTCTTCACTGCACACATAGCCGTGCATAAACACGTCATTCGTAACACCAGGCAGCTGAACGGCCCCGCCTAAGACGGTCCAGGCTGAATACTTGGGACATAGTCCTCGGTGCAATGCTTCGGCGGATGAGACTTTTCGTTTCCGATCGGGGACCGGGGTGGACGTGGAAGACAGCAGGTAAGATGGGTCCCGTTGTGGTCATAGATCGAGCGAGCTACATCAGATGGCTCGTCATTGCATACCGCCCGTTGCGTCCGAACTTTCACTGGACCACGTTGGTGAGGCTGGGGCGTCTCAGAGCCTGTTGTTGGGAAGGGCCAAACCTGCGTAGGGCTGACTTTGGCTGGAAGCAAGTGGGATGAGTGTTCCGACTGTTCCGCTCGGCGGTGTCTTGCCTGCTATGCGTGCTTGCTGCTAATGCTCCTGTCAGCTCAGCAGGGATCTCGGGCTGGGCTGTTGTGTTAAGTTGCCGCCATTGCTGCTGCTTGGAGCCTTATTCTCTGGCTGCATTACTCTTCGTACATTGGGCATGCGTTGCTTCCGCCGTTGCCATATTCGCGTGCCGAGGGGATCTTTGCTCAGTTAGTTGTGCAACCGGACATGCGTCTTTATCGACTCACTGGTCTTCCATATACGATATGTAAGCCGGGCTGTGCCCCGGTGCAACGCCGTGGTTCTGGACTTGTGTTACTACCCATTGGGGTCCAAAGCTGTGGTCGCACCGCTTGACGGCTTTGTTTGAGCTGTGTCTGAGGGAGTATCTCATCATTCCACCATCGTGGCTGATGCTCAAAAACGGCCAGTTGAATATCATAGCGTTGTTATTGTTGCTGACCACTGGTCAACTTCCTGACAGCCACCGCAGCAACTCGGGCAATTGAAAGGATCTACAAAAACCGATTGATATATATATATATATACATGTTTTACCTTAGACCTGGGGTTGTAACACCAACTGTGAGTTTCTGAATCCCGGGAGAGACAAGTCCATGGGTTTGCGTGTGTTGGCAGCAACGTGTGCGGCGTAGTGTAGGAATGTAAGGTATTGCCCAAACGGCGAAGTCGAAACTGGCAATTTTGCTGTTGAGTTGACAACTTCAAACTCTTCTGAGGGCTGTGCCTCGAAGATGCTCTTTGAAAGAGTTAACACGCCGCAGACTTTTGGATGAAAGACATTCCATTCTCCCTCATCAATCACTTGTGTGTCGGTTGGCAGTGCTCGGGAAATGGTGGAAGCTGATACATCCAGGTTTTAGTTTTTAGGACAGCGGGTTCTATCTGGGCAACCGTCGTCCTCCTTCCCTACACAAATCTCCCCGAAGTCGTGGCAGATACTTGCCGCTGACAGCTTCGAACACCTTACTGTACGACAGACGGCATGTCAGATCCAAGAGTCTGTTTCATGAAAGAATACGGTTGAAGGAAATCGTACTGGCCCGATGGGTGTTGGTGTGGAAGCTGACATGGCCAAACAGGGACGGGAGAAAAACGAATGATCCCGCGGTCCTGTGACATCAGGGAATCTCATCCAAACCTTATATTCGTCAGACATAGCGCACTGGACCAACCCAGGAAGGTTTTCAAACCAATATAGACGCAAGACCATAGCATAGCTTTCACGTGGAGGTCTTGCAGCGCCTTAACGATCTGGCATCAGTAGCCAAATCCCGAAAAAAGACTCTGCCCGGCAAGAGAGACTTGATGTCACCCAGCGTCTGGTGACTTGCGGGGCCAAGGCCGGGGAACGGGACGATCTCGAAAAAATCCTGCAGGGTTCAGGCTCGATGGGGTTGGAAAGGGTGGGGCCGCAACGCCAGAATTGCGGACCCAGGGAAGAAAGGGTGTGGAGGCAACTCTTGGCACGCCAAAAAAGTCTTGTGCAATCAAACTTGCCGGCACCAATACGAGCGACATCTCAACGAGCAGCATGGGTAGGAGAGTTGGGAGAGAAAAGAACTGGCGCGGTTGAAGCATTCCATGTGGATCTTGAACCCAGAGTTCTGGTTCAGACTTTTGGACAACATGTTGTTCTCCGGAAGGGTCCCTTGGCAGACGAGGTGCCTCTAGATCAACGCTGCCTAACAAGAGAAAGAGCACATACACAACCCTAACCCTAAAATTTTGCGAATTGTGGGTGGAGGGCACCAGCTGGGAAAAGGAAAGGAAGATTGTTGTGGTGTGCAGGGGGTAGATGGTGTGTTGTGCCTGATGTTCGCTCAGCTGAGAGGGCGCAGGCCCAGAGCCCAGAAGAACATCGGGCTCGACTTTCGTGGTCGCCCGTCCTGGTTGATTTCCACTTTTTGTTCCCCGAGCGCGTCGTTCGACGTAGCATCTTTGAAGTGAGTGGTAGTAGTGTTAACTTGTCCGCTAGAGGCGCCTTTCTTGTCCCTCGTTTGGTTCGGTCATAGTATTTTTCCAGCCAGATACTTGACATTCTCTGTCCACTCAGAATTCTAGATTTTCCTTGGCTGTTCGTTGACGCGCTGCAATTTGCAGAGAAGCACGCGAGGGAAACTGATCGGCCCTCCACATCGGTTTTCTCTCGCTCACCTCCCACTCAGTCATTGTTTGCTTGCCCCTGAAACCTTTTTGCACCTCTGCCAATACCGATCTCGTCCACCTTCTTCTTTCCCTCGACTCGGCTTTTCCTTCGGAAATAAAAAGTCTTCACTCGACGCTCCCAACAACCGCAACAGCCGCATCCGTCGCCCTGATCCTTTCAATTCCCGCCTTGGCCAAGGACGAGGAAACATCGTCCGGACCTGACCCTGTGCCGTGAGCCGTCGCAGTCTGGGACCCCGAGCCCCGATCTCAATGCAACGCGCACGGCAGTAAGGTCCCTGCCCGACCACACATACCGCAGCACACCGTGCCGTGACGGCCCATTCTTGACCTTCGACGAGAGCCTCTTACGATTGGGAGTATCTAACGGCTACGAGCTGGAAACTGCCCGTCAGCTGGAGGAGGCTGGTCAGCGTCGACAAACCGGCAAATCACAGCACACGATTCACGCCGCGGGCCCGTCTCCTGAGGAACGAACGAAACACCCCGCCCACTTGCAGCCAGTTACTGCAAAGCGCAGCAACAACACACCTCACGCTGCCCACTTGCACACTTACAAGCAATTCAGGTCGACCAGCCGCCAGCAAAGCTGCTCTGCCTTCTGCGTGACTGCGCTCAGGCACCTGGCGACCGTCTCCTACTGCTATATCCACACAGCTTTGTCGGATCTAACCTTGCCGTGCTTCCCAAACAAATAAGACTAGCCCTGGACACAGTAAGTTACTTGCCTGTTACTGGTGTTTCCCTGTGGACGCCTTGCATCGTTGCATTGGCGCGCATTGCGGTAATGCGGCAATGCGCCTGTTTTTTTCTTGTCCTTGAATCCCTGTGACTCGGAATATTTCCTTCTACCCCTGCTACACTGCACGACTTACTACCGCAACGACTACATTCCATCATCATATCATTTTTTTCCCTCTCCCTGTTTTCTTCCCTTTGCTTTATTTCCCACTCCACTGCCACCCACAACGTCGGCCGAACTGTCCTTTCCCCTCTCACAGTCTCGTCAAACCGCCCAGTGGGCCGTGTTCCCGACGCGACGGCCCGTGGGACGTCCGTGGCAAAGGGTGAAGTCCCCTGATCCGATCTGATTGCGACGCTCGCGCCTCTCGTCTCCGCTGATTGTGCGCAACGAGTTGCTAACGCTCTGGCTGCGATCAGGACGATGTCTCTCCCCGAACGACCGGGCGCAACGCCCACGTACGAGGAACGGCATAGCTACCGAACCCAATCGCGGAGATCGCGGCCTGCAGACGTCGAGGCTGGAGGATACGCTCCCCTCGACGGGCAATCTCACCATCAACGTGGGCCCTCAGCATCCTCCTTCGCCGACACAATTCCGTCTCCTAATTCAGAAATAGAACAAACACCTTTGTCGCCGACGTCGCCGCAGACTCCGAGGGGCCCGAGCTCGCCGTCCTTCCAGCGCAAACGAAGCCTCATCCGCCCCGAACGGAACAGGATAACGAAAGACCATCCGAACTACCACTACCGTAAACATGCCCAAAACATGGCCACGATGCCATCAACAACGGGGAACGACCCGATAATTGAGGACATCGAAGGCACGACCGACCTATCCGGGGCCGGGTCGAGGAACGACGATGCCCTCTCCGATCAGTCCCCGCCCAGGAGACACCGCAGTGATGACGTCGAGAAGGGTAGAACCCGAAGGAGGACAAACAGCGGGAAGATCACCAAGGAGAAGCGCAAACAGCAAGAGCAATTACGCCCGCCGAGTCTATGGAACATCTACTGCGCAATTGTGACCTTCTGGTGCCCTGGCTTCGTGCTTAAGTGCTTCGGAATGCCCACAAAGGCACAGCAGAGAGCATGGAGGGAAAAGATGGGCCTGATCAGCCTTATCCTCATGATCATGGCGTTCGTCGGTTTTCTCACCTTCGGCTTTACACAGGTTGTTTGCGGTCGTCCCCCGCTACGGCTACGTGTGAACGAAGTGACTGCTGGTTACATGATCTTCCACGGATCGGCCTATAATCTAGCTGGTTCGGGTCACCCTCCTGCTATGGGGATTCCCCGCCGCCTCGACGGCAGTGCCGCAAACGTGCTCTACGACCTTCCGGAAAAACATGGTGGCAAGGACGGCAGCTTTCTGTTCCAAAACGTCAACGGCAAGTGCAAGGGCTTGATTAAGGCCGCCCCTGGCTCCGACGTGCCGACCGACAGAGACGGTAACCTCGCCTGGTACTTCCCGTGTACGACCTTCAACCAAGATGGTTCCTCGAAGCCGAACAAGACGATCCCCTACTATCTTGGCTACGCGTGTCATACCACCGCAAAAGCGAGAGACGCCTTCTACTTGAACCTCACGAATGCTGCCGACGTTTATTTCACCTGGGATGATGTCAAGAACAGCTCGCGGAACCTGATTGTCTATTCTGGTAACGTGCTGGATCTCGACCTTCTGTATTGGTTCAATGACACGCAGGTCACATATCCCGACCGTTTCAAGGAGCTGAGGAACAGAAACTCGTCTCTCAACAAAGCTGTTCGCGGTCGCGACGTCACGCGCGCTTTCCAGTCGCCCGGTGATAAGCAGATGGCGCAGTGCTTCGAGGAGATCATCAAGGTTGGCTATGTTGATACTGATACTGTCGGATGCATCGCTTCCAAGGTGGTCCTCTACATCTCGCTCGTTTTGATTCTGTCCGTTGTCCTTTCGCGTTTCGTGCTCGCTCTCATATTCCAGTGGTTTATTGCTCCGACATATGCGGCTGCCAAGACTTCGCAGTCGTCCGACCCTCGCAAGCGCGCCCGGCAGATCGAAGACTGGTCTGAAGACATTTATCGGGCACCGCCCCGGATGCCTGGTGATATCGGCAGCAGCGTCAATGGGTCGGATCGCCATAGTAAGCGCAGCAGCTTCCTGCCGACGACCTCTCGCTTCTCAGCCGTCTACGGCAATGACCGCGCAAGCCGCAAGTCCGGCGTGCCCACGACCATGACGACCCAGAACGCGGCCAGCCAGTATCTGAGCCCCGGTCCCTACCGCCATGGCAACGACAGCCGGACGAGCTTCCTCCGTTCCGACCCATATGCTAGTACCGTCAGCGCTTCGGACGGTCCAGGCCCTGCCGGCTTCATCCACGAGGCTGTCGTTCCTCAGCCGCCGGCCGACTACATGCCGTTCGGTTTCCCTCTCGCCCATGCCATCTGCCTGGTCACAGCCTACTCGGAAGGTGAACTTGGTCTCCGCACAACCTTGGATTCGATTGCCATGACGGACTACCCCAACAGCCACAAGGTGATCCTCGTTATTTGCGACGGTATCATCAAGGGCAAGGGTGAGTCCATGTCGACTCCTGATATTGTTTTGGGCATGCTCAAGGACCAGCTCCTGCCGCCGGAGGAGGTTCAGGCCTACTCGTACGTGGCTGTTGCCAGCGGTGCCAAGCGTCACAACATGGCCAAGGTCTACGCGGGCTTTTACGACTATGGCCCGAACTCGCCGATCCCCGTCGAGAAGCAACAGCGTGTGCCTATGATGGTCGTGGTCAAGTGTGGGACTCCCGAGGAAGAGCACGCTGCCAAACCTGGCAACCGTGGCAAGCGTGACAGTCAAATCATTCTGATGTCGTTCCTCCAGAAGGTTATGTTCGACGAGCGCATGACGGAACTCGAGTACGAGATGTTCAATGGCCTTTGGAGAATCACGGGCATCTCCCCTGATTTCTACGAGATGGTTCTCATGGTGGACGCCGACACCAAGGTGTTCCCTGACAGCTTGACGCACATGATCTCGGCCATGGTCAAGGATCCCGAGATCATGGGCCTGTGCGGTGAGACCAAGATCGCCAACAAACGCGCCAGCTGGGTCTCGGCCATCCAGGTCTTCGAGTACTTCATCTCCCATCACCTGGCCAAGTCCTTCGAGTCCGTCTTCGGTGGTGTCACCTGCCTGCCCGGTTGCTTCTGCATGTACCGCATCAAGGCCCCCAAGGGCGCTCAGAACTACTGGGTGCCCATTCTGGCCAACCCAGACGTCGTCGAGCACTACTCGGAGAACGTGGTGGACACGCTGCACAAGAAGAATCTTCTGCTGCTTGGTGAGGATCGTTACCTTTCGACGCTCATGCTTCGCACTTTCCCCAAGCGCAAGCAGATCTTCGTGCCGCAAGCCGTGTGCAAGACGACTGTGCCTGATGAGTTCAGGGTGCTGCTGTCGCAGCGTCGTCGTTGGATTAACTCGACTATTCACAACCTTATGGAACTCATCCTCGTCAAGGATCTTTGTGGTACTTTCTGCTTCTCCATGCAGTTTATTGTGTTTGTTGAGCTTATTGGTACCCTGGTTCTGCCCGCTGCCATCGCGTTCACGTTCTACGTCGGTAAGTACATGCTTTTTGTCCGGTCCTTGATTCTACCCAGGTTGCTAATAACTGAAGTCATCATCTCAATCGTAAACTCCCCGCCGCAAATTATCCCTCTCATCCTGCTCGCTCTGATCCTCGGTCTGCCGGCTGTTCTTATCGTAGTCACCGCACATAGCTGGTCATATGTGGTCTGGATGCTCATCTACCTGCTCTCACTGCCCATCTGGAACTTTGTGCTGCCGACGTACGCCTTCTGGAAGTTTGATGACTTTTCGTGGGGTGAAACGCGCAAGACTGCCGGAGATACCAAGGGCGGCGGCCACGGTGACGCCGAGGGCGAGTTCGACTCGTCCAAGATCACGATGAAGCGCTGGGCCGAGTTTGAGCGCGACCGTCGGCTGCTGGCTCAACAACAACAGCAGGCCGCGCAGATGCGGCATAATAGCTATAGCCATGCTAGCCATTGGGGATCGATGGAGAATGTGATTGGCGGCCCTGGCGGCGGTAGCCAGGCGCATCTGATGGGTGGTCATGGCCCGTACGACGGCGGGTATTACTCGGATGCTTAAACGAGTTTTTGTGATGGAAATCAATTGTGTGGAGTGATGGGAGGTAATGAAGTGAAGTGGTAATGGGCGTTGTTCAGAAGTCCTTTTTTTTTCTCGTCTCCTCTTGATCAGTTGGAAAGGGAAGGATGAGAGAAGACAAGCGAGGCCAAGAAACAGACAAAATGGGAATGACAAACTAATTGTCACATCAAAGTCTGAGTTTTGAGCAGCATGGCAGAGAGAGGGAAAGAGCTCGATATATGGCTACATAGACCGTCATGGCTAAGTGGCAGGGCTGGTCGGATGGGATATGAGTGTGGGATGGCAATGGTTGAAGGGGTTCTGTTTGTTCTTCACATCGGGGCGGTCTTCATTTTCTCTTTTTACGCCTTAATGTTTGCCCCGACTTTGAGGGTCTTAAACTGCATTGCGTTGCATTTCGCCTAGGAACAAACCTGGTCGATATTTTTCTTTCTTCCTCTTCAACGATTCTTTTCAAAAATCAACCTTTCCCCTTTTCGTCTCCAAAGTTATGATATCACCTTCGCACAGCACTTATTAGAGGAATGTAGGAGCACCCGGGCGGCGCATATTTTGTTTTTGTTCTTTTTTTTTATTCAACCTTCCTGTCCTTGGGCTATGGTTTTAAAAATCGCTGCTGCTCTTTATCCGCTCTGCCTTGCTTCTCAAGACTCTCTCCTCTTTCGAAGTGGTAGTTGTAAATACATCTTTTGTGTATGGACACATGTACGCACGCACTCCAAAAAGGACTAAGTATCCATAGTAGTGAGAGTAATGGTTAGTGAATTGACAAAGAAGCCTCACGTCTCTGGCTGTGGCTGATGTAAAACGGTATGTTGCCCTCTTGTGCCCTTAAAAGGCGCTCGATCAAGTACAGCCAGTAGATCCCATCCCCCTCCGACTCAAGATTAGGATGAGTGGTATGTATCACAACCTCCTCACCCTTTGGGCTGGGCGGTTACACAAGCTTTAGGCGAGCGAGCTGGTTCACCGAGCGCCACCATCACGATTCGCCAGGGACAAAGCTCAATTCTGAAACCTCTCTATGTGCTCAAGTGAGATTGGGCAAAGCCACTGTCGCAGCCACGTCTGCAGCTGTCGGAGTTCTAGATCCTATGTATTTAGCAGACAAGCCCCTCTCCGCATGTGTTTTCTATTCTGCATGCCACGGTTGTAGAGTACAACAGAAGTCAGCAGGAGCGCCGGAAAGACAGTGATCGCCAGACAGATGCTTTGTGTCAGGGCGAGAGAGGTCGCATGTAACCTGAACTAACTTGCCCTACCCGGATTGCCTGAACCACTCAGACAGACTCACTCTTACACAAGAGCCGATATCTGTGTATGTATGACAGGTGCCTATGCAGGTGGATAAATGGGGAAGCATCAAAGGCTCGGGAGGGGTGATATATATTGTAAGGTGGAAAGCTGTACGGATTATGTAGGGGCGGGAAGAAGGATGGTGGGAGGGGAAGGGTGCCCGGATTTTTTAGGAGATCATGCGGATGGGATGGAAAAACGAAGTTTGGGTCGGCAGTGCAGGTGATTTGCTCAGGGAAGACTGTAGAGAGGCTATAATTGTGGTGCAGATCTGTTTGCTTCGAAGACATCAAGACGTATTGTGTACCTCGTCCTTGAAGACGGGTTGCTGTGGCCCAGAGAACAGTCTTAGAATTGACTGAAGAACCCTTTAGACTGGACACATTACATCGGGACGTACGAGTTGCATCGGGGGTGAGGGGGTAAGCAGCAATGTCACTCGCTGACATCATGTGTCATTCTCTCTCGGCTCTCAAGCGTGCAGATCATCGAGTCAAGAGCCCACTATGTACGAAACGACACATCTCGGGCTGTCCAAACGCAGTCATCGAGCTACAGAAACCTGGAAACGATACGGATAAAGATAAACCAACTACGAGAACCACGCCACCTATATCAGTGCGTTATCTGTTTCGCACCTAAGGAAGGAGACTTATCTCTCCTGCTATGTTTCCAAGGGGAAGGGATGTGCTTCCCTTCAACCCGAACGAACGGGCCGGGCGAACGCTGCAAAGGCCCGAAAAGTCTCATGCGTGGTGCTTGACAAGTCGACCTGACCCTAACCCCTCTCTCCTCCCCGCATTACTGCTGCAATGGGATGCAGGCAGATTCGAGGAGCAGTTAGCGTTGGCTTTTACGTGTGTTCTTGGCCTTGGCTTTGGGCTCGGCTGCATTCTCGCTACGGAGACAGGCCACTGAGAAAGGAATAAAACCGATCATTTGTGATTATACGTTATGGACGGACGAGCTGAATACCATATCCGAGTTTTAGAAAAAAAAGGCTATCAGACAATGCTTCTCCTGAAGCTGATGACCTGAGCTCGATGGATCTCAGTGCCTTTGCACACTGTGCATCCTAGAGACAGGAGTGCACAGGGCAACATCTTCCTTGCAACCCACCACCTTGTTAAACCCCCTGACCGGATGAGGGACAGAACCCCAAGAAGCTAAGGCCAAGAAAAACCCACAAGGGGAATCAAAGTGGACCCTTCCCTACCGCCTGGGCCGCACACAACCGGCGCCTTTGTCCACCCAGGGAAAGGACGGCCTAAGAAGAGGCCAGCGCGCATCCCCCACACCAAACCTTTCGCTAACGCTGGACGGCCTGCCTGGGGCAAGGCGCGCACTGTGGAGCCCCATCTGAGCAGAGGGTCCCAAAAGAAGGAGGCAAGGAAGAGAGGGCAGGCGGCAAGGAAAAACAGCAGTTCGGCTGCGACGCTACGATGCGCTCCTACTGTACACCTGATTTGACGTACAGATGAATGCCCAAACGAACAAGGGCCCAGCCGTGCAAGACAGCAAGCAAGCAAGCAAGCAAGCAGCAGAAGCCTTGTAATTCCTGAGCGCTGATAGGGATTACAGATACGGCAGCATTAGTGTTGGCGATATTGATCACCGGGCTGAGTACTTCGATCAATCACGAGTTTCGTGTTACTCACCAAGCCACGACGAGGACAGAAAGAACCAAGTAAAGGAGGATTCAGAACCCCTCCTCCCACGTGTATTGGACCCCCCTCCGTCAATCATCAAGCTCCAAACCCGCGGGTCCCCAAGTGAGCTTGGGCCCTGGGCTATTGCGGAGAACAGAACGAAGTGGCTGGCTCATCCAGTTATCCGTCATCCGTCATCCGTCATCCGTCATCCCCCACATCCTCCCATCTCTCATCTTTAACTCACGAGTAGTGTGAGCAACGAACGAGGTGCAGGGTGGCGTCGAGGTCACTTTATCTAATCTAAGGAGCTCGGGGTTGGCCAAAGGGTCTTGAGGGACACGAGACCTTGGGGTCCATCTTGCCCCCTCTTGCTCACTGACAACACAGCTTCGGCTGGATCCTTCTCCGAGCTTCACTTTTCGCCTCACCACACACTTCACCTCCACGACACTCAGCGAAAGGACACGACGCCACCTTAACTCTGCCAACTTCACTCCAAGCTGGGCCCGCTTGGGCAGCTACCTATCTGGACAACTAGATTTGCAAGGTTTTTTTTTTTTTTGAAACGACCATCGGTTTTGATTAGCACTCTACAAGGGCTTGAAGCAGGGAAGTTTTGTGGCGTCAGCAAATGCATGTGTGAAGAGCGCGATCTAGGAACAAGCAGGATCACAATCATTACGATTTAGCACATTGGGGGCGGGTCCGGATTTGGCCCCCATTTACGGGAATCAACGTGTCCGATTGCCTTTGGGAGAGCTACACCTGGTTAACCGCCATGTCGTCCTTCTCCAATTACCCGATGACTGCCAACTACTACGGTCAAGAGTCGGCCGGCACAAGTTCATCAGCAATATATCTCCCACCGGATACCCAGAGTGGTGAGGAATATGATGGAAATGAGGCGAATATCTACTCATCGGAGTCATATATGGACATGGGGGACTCTAATGCGTACGGAAATAATCATTACGGGTACTCTGGCGATGATGAAATCGATGCGCAAAGCGGCGCAGAACAAGATGACTACCTAAACACCGACCAGTCCCGCGTGGATGAGAATTCGGTACAACAACCGTCGCGTGATCCACCAGAAGGCGAGGATGTCGATGCAGACGATGACGATGGAGACCCGGGCGGCGTGGCCTTGGACGACATAGGCCTTCCATTGGTTAGCCATGTTGGCCCAGGAGAGTATACCAGTGGGGAGGAGGATGACTACGACGAGCAGGACGATCTGGCTGGAATGAACGACACGGACAGCACCTTCTACATCAACCCGAACATTATGAGCTTCGCCCTGCTGCCTGACAACCTCGATGCCCCCGTTCCAATGCCCCCTAATGATGTTGGCAACGTCCCTTCCGCAGTACCCAACCCTCCTGCTTTCACAGGAGCGTTGTATACAGCGCCGTTCCATCTACCCCCCGCAATGCCGCCGCAGATGTCACCATTGACGGTTGGGTCGCTCAACTTGGGTCTGTGGGAGTTCCTGTACAATTGGTCGCTGGCAAACGCGAACTACAAGGCGCGGTCTTCGCTTAGCCCGCGGCTGGACAAGGTGCAGGAGCTGGCCAAGAATGAGGGGACGCCTCAGCGGGTCGATTACGCTGATCTCCAAGGAGACAAATGTGACTTCCAGGGTATCAATTGGGTCGAGCTGGGGATTGATAGGACTTGGGCTCGGGAGAGGAGGTTGAACACGTACAAGAACTATGTTAACGTGCCGGGGTCAGATCGGTGGAATGTGAGTAACCCATACTCCTTATGGTGTCCGTTTTGATGCTGACTGTTTAGCCCGGTCTCCCTGATCTCCTTCTCCCGCGAGCCGACAGCTTTTTCCGCTTCCGGAGGATGTACATCCGGCAGAATGTGCACCTAGCACACTTTCAGCTGCGCAACCTCCTAGCTGCGACCTCTCGAGCACGCGTATTCTACCCAATCCTGGGTGCTGTCCAGCAATTCAACCCCCTCTCCAACACCACACGCAATATTATGCGCCTGAACGAAGCCCCTCCGGCACAAATCTCTGCCATGGATGCTGCCTATGGCGTCCTCGTAGCTGGTGGCTTCAACGGCGAGTACGTCCTGCGCCATCTTGACACTGATGAGCCCGAGTCGACTGCTTGCCACGAGGGTATCATTACCACCAGCGTTAGCGGTATAACGAACCACATCGCGATCCAACTCGGTCGGTCTTCCTCGCCCAGCAACCCCCGTGCTGCCTTCGCCTCCAACGATACGTGCTTCCGCATTCTGGACCTCGCCACTGAGACATGGCTCCAGACCGAGAAATTCGACTACGCCATTAATTGCACGGCCCTCTCCCCCGATCGTCGTCTGCGTGTGCTTGTCGGCGACGAACGTGACGTCCTCATCACCGCTGACGAGCCCCGCTCGGATGGCACACCCAATATCCTCTACAAACTCCCTGCTCACCGCGATTTCGGCTTCGCCTGCGACTGGGCCGACGACGGCTGGACGATTGCGACCGGTTTCCAGGATAAGACTGTCCAGATTTGGGATGCCCGCCGGCTGGTCGACTCGCGGGGCAGTCCTCAACCAGTATGTGTCCTGCGCTCTGAAATGGTCGGCGTCCGCTCGCTCAAGTTCAGCCCCGTCGGCTCGGGTCCAAGGGTCCTTGTTGCCGCAGAGGAAGCCGACTTCATCAACATCATTGATGCGCGCTCGTGGCGGTCCAAGCAGATATTTGATGTGTTCGGGGAGCTGGCAGGCACTGTCTGGGTTGATGGTGGACAAGGGTTGTATGTGCTGTGTGCGGATCGGCACAGGGGCGGGATCATATATTTGGAAAGGTGCTACGGGAGTGTTAGGGGGCTGGAGCAGAATGGTGTGCCCGAGGACGGGATGGTGTGGGAGACGGAGGAGAGTGCTGAAGGGGATTGGAGAAGGAATATCTTTACCGAGGAGAAGAGAAGCAGGCATAGAGCATGGAGGGGGAGGAGGAGGCCTGTGGGGCATGTGGATATGGGGTTCTTTTAAGTAGGCAAGGGTGTTGGGGTGAAAGAGAGGGCAGTATGAGATATATAATGCATGAGGGCATCAAGCTACAAAGCAATGAACTGGCGTTTTGGGTTGATATGGGGTTGGCTACCTCACTGGAGGCTGGGCTGTGTTTTTATTGCATAAGTAAATTGATTGCTACAGCGACCGTGGTACTGGGAAAGTCCTTGAGCTATAAGTTAGATAGGATCGCTGGCCTGTTAGCCATTAAGTCTGCCCAGGCTTAAATATCAAGTAATCCAAGCCATTGGGGAGTTGGGAATTGAATAAAAAAGGATGGATGTGCTATGCCCGGTTAATAAGTTCAGTTTGTGTGGATTATGAAGCACGGAGAAAGCACATTAGTCATTCAGGTGAGTACATCATTGTTCACAAAAAATCTCGAGAAAAGGCTGACATCTTCTACTATAAAAATTGATTTAAAAAGAGTTTGGATTTTTTTAAAAAAATATTCATCATGATGTAAAAAAGAAAAAAAAGCAAGGTTGCAGACATTATTGTTGGCGCCAACAACAGCTAGTTGACTCGCGCCTGCTGGCATTGAAGTTGAGTTACCAGCACAAAGCACTCAGTTGCATAAAAGTTCATTGCAAGCATTGCTCGAAGAATCAACAATCCTTTGACTGCACAACCCCTGTATTGCACCATACAGCTACCCCATATGTCACAAAATCTACCCACCGCGGGATTCTCAAGGCACAAAATGGGCAGCACCGTCATCAGCCTCAAACCTGTCGAGGACGAAGTCAACAAGTCTACACCCCTGGACAGAGCCATTTCAATGTCCTTCGAGCTTCCCTTGACTTCCCATTCGGCCCAAACATCCATGGCTTCAAGCTCGTCAATGACGTTGAGTTCTAGGGAGGGGAAAGGATAAACACTTGGGAGAACATCTGGCATATAGTTTTCGGAATAATGTCCTGTATCGCCAGAACAAGAGTGGTAGAAGAGCTTTCTGCTATGCTTGGAGATCCTTCGCGTGGAACGTAGTTCCAGTCAAAAGTCGCCTCAGCCGAAGGAGGTCGACTCGTTTTAGCGGGAGGGGAAGGTAAGTGAGGCACAAATCCTGGGTGCCGGGTTGTTCTGGTGCAGAAGCACTGCAAGCTGATACTACTACTGATAGGAAACACTCGCCAAGCTTGGCCCTTTAAAGTTGACGATCGAGGCGAAATTGGGTACAGCAGGTAGGTTCTCGATCTTGGTGTCTCACAGCCCTACACTTCTGCAAGTTTACCGATGTATTATTAACCCCTCTTAGCCTGCAACCACGGAGACCCTAACCCCATTACTCTCTTGAAAAAACTTCGACTCCTCCATGGCTCGCTTCATCAGCAGCGAACAGGTCATATGGCTGTCGTATCCCATCTGGCAGCTTTGCGAGACTCGAAAGTGAAGCGAACTTCTCTCCTTCTTCTTCTTACACGCCGACTCCTCCCAAGACCATGCCGTCGTGGACGCCCACCAGTGGGTAACCTGTGAATAACCCATCTAGCGTGAGAAACCACTACACAAGCGGATCAGGGAGCTTGAAAGGACGAAGTTGACTGGGGATCAGGCAAGAGAGTTGCAGACGGGAAAAATGTGCCAGGGACTGCAGCTAATGAATACAGTGAGATGGGGTTTTTGGAAGAGGTGAAGAAGTAGTTGAACGAACCGCCAATCCGTCCCATAGCCTGAAAAAAAAAAAAAAACTTCAAGTTGGAAGACATCTCTTACTTATCATAGGGTCATGTGACTACCTAATTTTCACGCCACCAGACCGTGTAATGATTTACACGTCTCCGGCAACTAGGGCAAGGCTGACCAAAGCAGGACCAGATAGACTTGACCTGGTCGATTGGGGTGCAAGACATCCAGAAAAGCCTAACCTTTGTGAGAAATGGAGAGGTTGGGAACGCAACCAGATCACGATCGGACATTCCCCTCTCGGCGGGATCGATATGTCATGTTGCTGGGGATGTCAAGTTATCCTAGCAATATGCGGCGTAGAAGTTGCATTTCTCAGCTGCAGTATTTTTCATACGAGTTTCTGGATCAGTTTCTCCATATTTGACACTTACCACCAGAGAACGAGACGAGGTGCTCGTAATCTTTGGTGTGGAAGGTTTGTGTTAGGGGTCCCCAACTTCTTTATAGTGTGTATAGTTGTCACTCTTACTGACTCAATTTTGAATTGTAGGCCTGAAAAATCCTTAGATTCTTAGTCCGGTATTACTTTCCGATGGAGGAAACGGATCTCCAGCCACTTTCGATATGTTAAAATCATGGATTGACAACTGCACAAGCAACCACGAACGTTGCTCCTTGATATCAGGGCGCGACCCGCCGCTGCCAACCAGGGTACTGGACCTCGGTTTCAGTGATTCGGACCCAATCCGTCTGGTTGAATCAGCGGGAATGAGAGAACAGTACATCTGCCTTTCTTACCGCTGGGGTAAGGGGGAATTCATGAAAACTACAAGTGCAACCATTGATCACTATAAGCGTGGCATAGCGTTTGAGGAGCTTCCACGAACCTTCCAAGACACAGTCAAGAATCACGCGTATGCTCGGCATACGCTATCTCTGGATAGACGCTCTCTGCATCATCCAAAATGAACCTGACCTTGCTGATTGGAAGCGAGAATCGGTTAGGATGGCCGAAGGTTTTCAAAACTCATATATAACCATTTCCGCAACCTGGAACAATTCTCCCTTTGATGGTCTGTTTAAACCGCTTACGCCAGGACAATACGGGCCGGTAAATGTTTGCGTGGTTAGACATCCAGTTGACGGTCCCGGTGCAACAGAGTTTGTCGCCATTGGTCGTGGATATCCTTTGCTTTCACGAGCATGGACATATCAAGAGCGACTACTACCACCTCGGGTTCTTCATTTCAACTTGCACGAGGCAACATGGGAGTGTCTGGAATCACACGCCTGTCAATGCCCTCAATTTGACATGCCAAACTTCACCAAAGCTTCGGTAAATACAGTATTTGATGAAGATCTGATAAAATCGGACTTCTATAACGTTGTCTTGCGACAACGCGGGGCGGAAACAATTTGCCAGGATGACACACCTTTGGACTGCTTATGGAGACGGATAGTTTCTGGATACTCGCCCCGAAACCTCACCGTCAAGTCAGACAAGCTAGCTGCTGTCTCGGGGATAGCTGACGTTATATAGCGGGCAACTGGCTGGAAATACCTAGCTGGCTTGTGGAGGAAGTCGCTCCCACAAGACCTATGCTGGGCTGCGTATAGTTATTCGGACTGGAAAGTTGTAGGAGATTCTCCGAGACAACCTCAAACCCGACGCTCACCCACTTGGTCCTGGGCATCCACTGATCAGTTTATACTGTGGCATCCACCGTTATCCAGACGAGATCCTGACTTCATCAACCGCTTCCAGATCCATCAACATGTCGAGATCCTAGATGCTGGCTGCACATTATCTACTCCATCAGCAACAGGCCCAGTGGAGGACGGTTATCTCGACCTGCGATGTCACATTATCCAAGTCAACTAAGCAGCGCTAAAGACGAAAGTCTATCGTCGACCGGATAAACTAGCAACGCGGCGAGATCAAGTTCACGTGGATCAAGGTCAAGAATCGCTGAAAATGAGAGATGGGCCATTTTACCTTGTGCCAGTGATGAGCTATGATGGCTACTTGGATATGGGGCTTATTCTCGCGCCTACGAAAAGCCGTCCGAACTGCATGGCCCGTGTTGCGTTGTACACAAGATTTGCTAAACGGTGCGTGCCACGGACAGGGTGGAGAGAACGTCTTGGTATGACGCCGTTGTGGGAGTTGGCACTCGCCAGCGAGAAAAAGACGATCAGAATTGTATGACGATGGGAATGGTGGCAGTGGAACGGACATTGCTAGAAGGAAATAACACTGGGAGGGCAATCCTCCAATAGGTCAGCAAACTGAACTGGCACTGATACTCACATGAAGTGTCACGGTGAGCACCCTGCAAGTCATGTGTGTTTCTTGATCTCTTTTGGCTGGATACCTAGCTATGGCAGTGATGCTCTATTGAAGGCGGCTGTCTTGGTGTACATAGGATGCGTTGTAGTTATGGACAAATTCTTGCTCCTTCTCATTTTGTTGAGACTACCCCTGATTCTCCCCTGTGTCCCTCCGTTGCCTCGGTAACCACGTCATGTATCCACTTATTAGGCGCCTGCATATACTAACAAAAGTTAGGGATCTTTTACATGAATAATCAGGGTCAGAGTTAGGTATAGGGGTGCTAACAAACTCGCCACCTACCAGTTTCCCGTTATCCTGAAAGAGCATCATCCAAAAGCCTTGAGTCTGCATACGCTTGGACAGTTGTTACGTGCGGACAGCTCTATCCACCATAAAGGAACCGATATTCATGTAAAAAAGATCCCCGGCTTTTGCAAGTATCTACGGGTAGATATCCATCTATTCTATTGTTCTGCCAAGGTAACGCGCTGACATAACCCAAATGAGTTTGATGATGGTATCCATGTGTCACTTTACAATTTCGGTCATTGTATAATAAGAGGCCTCGTCTTATGGTATTGCGGATATGTCTGATTGTCAAACTGATCAGAAAAAAAGAGAGAGAGAGGGAGGGAGGGAGGGAGGGAGGGAGTTGAGTTGAAAAGTCTTCAAAAAGAGGGATAGAAAGACACTGCGCGATTCATTATTGAGTTGGCAGAATGGACCAAGGATCCCTCGCTTCAACCATTTCGGCTAGCTTTCTCGCTGCGGGCGTTATTAAGGGCATTTGCAAAGCTGCGGCAAGGCATAATGAGTAGGCAGAATAGCTGCTAGTTGTTCTGGGGCCTGCGTCACTTGGTAGGCGGTGCCATCCCCTTGCGTTGTGCATTAGGCTGTGTAATGTCACTTCCATACTGCCACGTCCCTCATACTCCAAAGTTCACAAAAAAAGGACCTCTTGTGACCAAGACTTTGACAACAATATTTGAAGCCCCTTCTACCTATCCTGCTATTA